GCCTTTAGGAGCACAGACATCCCCCCACAGGTCCTTCCTTGAGCAGGAAGGCATGATGATCAGGGTACTTTGGGTTGGGGAAGTAGCACAGACCTGCCGCATCTTCCTGGATGTTTATTTAAAAGCTATGTACACCACGATTTTTTTCTGTTCCCTTCCTATAAGTCTGAGTGTGTGTAGGTTACATGTGAATAAAAAATCGGTACTTACCTTCCCCAACCTGGCCCAAATCGCTGCAGTGTTCCCTCATTTTTGAGTTTTGTGTGGTGCTAGAGATTGTCTGGAGTATTTAAGATGGCTGCCAGTCACCTTCTAAAGTCTTAAGGATGACTGAAACTGCCACATCAGCAGGAACAAAATGGCTGTTGACCTTGGACAGAAAGGATATTGGAAAGGCATAGGTACTAGATATGATTTAGCTGATGTGTACTTTGTTTCTTTAATTGTATAAATGTTTTATTTGTATGTCCAGTGATGAAGCTGGATGTTACTGTATTTTGATAATGCTTGTGAATTTAATGTTATTGTTTAAATGGGTGTTGTTCCTTTAAGGGAGAATGGCCTACTCGGAGAGAATTGTACTACATAAGGGGCTGGAAAGTTCAGTGGGGGTTGTGATCTCTAGAAAGAAGGCTGGCATACAGCACATGGCATAGCATGAAGCATAAAAAAGATACAGTCCTATTTTTAGGCTCTATAACAGCCCTGACACACAATGCCCAATTGATGTATGACTTGCATTGGAAAGTTTCATGTAGCTCTATATCTAGAAGTACATATAGATCTTGTTTTCACTTTTGATATAGTTTATAATTAGAAAACCACACGAGTCAGAATACTCAGAGGTACTGTAGCTCTCTTTGCTGAGAGGTTCCACTTCTGTTGATAGCAGCTACTTTCTTGTACTTCTCTGATGATCTCAAACGTATTTCTCAGTGCTTCTTAATGCCAGAAGCAAAATCCTTTTTTTTCTTGTTACATGGATTGCACATGGATTGCTTTTCTGATTAAAGAATACATTAAATGTTATTAGCAAAGTGTATTCGATTCATTTTCATGTTTTGTTGTGGTGTTGAAAAATTAGTTTTAGGTCACCAGTACCTCTTATTTGCATTATGTGTGTAATGCAATCCAAACCTTACCACAGTCCCTGGGAGAAAACTGTGGTAGAAATAATGAGTTTCAACATCTTGAAATTTAGTTGGGATTTTTTCTTTATTTCAAATAAATTGTGAGAGCTTGTGTAAGTAATTTATGTTTATATGGCTAATACTATGTTACTATTTAGAGTAAATTCTAAGATAGTTAAGACTGAGGATTTGTCCTTAACAAGTTGTGTCAAAGACACTGAAACATATCCAATGAACATATTAAAATACATGATAAGATTGCAGACAAAAAAAAAATTCAAGTGTATCCAAACAGGGAAAGCAACTGTAATGTGAAATTTTACATCATAAAGTAAGTATAACATACCAACATGCAAATATGTAAAAGACAAAAAATACCACTGTTGGTCTTTAATGAAAGCTTTTGAAACTTGGTGCTAAAATGAGCGAAGATGGAAATAAAGACATACAATGCCTACCGTGCCTCTCTGTGTCTCTCAGGACCCTGGAGAGCACCACATCAGTTCTGCTTTCTGTTCGTAATTGTGTATTATGTGTGGACATCACAGATAAAATGTGACTTTCTCATGGTATCCTCCCTGTATCCCTAAATTAATTGTAGGGCTACTGCTAGACTTGAAGGCAAGCTTTCATTAAAACACCCTGCACCTGCTACACAATTTTATACCTGAGCTACTGTATTACTTGTTCAGATTACAAAGCTACCTTCAATGTATTTTCACATAAATGCTGTTTTTGATAAGAAAAACTATATATCATCATAGAGTACATGTCAAGATTATACATTCTAAAAATGTGCTTATTGCAAGACACAGTACCTATGTTACCTACAGGTACAGTAACATAAGATTACACATGTTCCACTGTATACTTCTATATGGCTGGAATGACAAATAAACGTGAACTTGAACTTAAGTGCCATTAATATAGGTCATCACTTGAGAGTTTCACACCCTTACTCTTTCCAACAGTACAATTGGATATTTAATGACCAACTCGTTATGGTCTTAGTTTCTTAAGCCTTTAACTTCTTATCTAAAGAATGGCAACGCCCAGAGCAAAGCCCTGTTTGTCTCTTAATAGGTGACAAAATTCGGCTAGACTTCAGTCATGTTGGTTGTCTTCAGTTTTATAGTATAATAATAATTAATAATTCCTTACACTTATATAGTTCTTTTCTGGACACTATATTCCTACTCCCAAAGCACTTTACAGGTAATGGGGACTCCCCTCCACCACCGCCAATGTGCAGCCCCACCCGGACAGCACATGCATTATACCACAGCAGCCAGAGTGCATCAGTACACTCACCACACATCATCTGTCAGTGGGGAGGATAGCAGAGTGATGAAGCCAGTTCATAGATGGGGATTACTAGGAGACCATGATTGGTAAAGGCCAATGGGAAATGTATCCAGGAAGCTAGTGTTACACCCCTACTATCTTCAAGGAACATCCTGGGATTTTTAATATACACAGATAGTCAGGACTTCAGTTTTACATCTCATCCAAAGGATGGCGCCTTTTTACAGTAGAGTGTCCCCATCACTATACTGGGGCAGCAACCTCAGTTTTTCCCAGGAGGTCTCCCACCCAGGTACTGGCCAGGCTGCTGAGCTTCAGTGGGCTGCCAGCTGTGAGCTGCAGGGTGATATGGCTGCTGGCTTATAAGATTCTGCAGACAACATCACCAAACACATATGTTAAAGAACAATGAATGTATCTGATGTTACAAGCTTCCTTTTAAAACTGATTAAAAGGGATTGATATGAAAAAAGTATTTAAAAAATGTCTAACAGTAAGAAGGAAAGTGTATTGCTCTTGTGGTATATTTCAGCACAGCGTTAACAATCCATAGTGTTGTTCTGCATCTGACATTTTGAAAAATGCCATCTGCACATGAAAATGACATTTAGATTCCATATCCAAAAAACATACTGTAGTTTTCGCAGGAAAGCACTGCATCTTACCCGCATTTGAATATTTCCTAACGAAAATGATCTTTCAATGGTTAGAAACATGGCAGAATCTTGCACAGTAGATGCTAGTAACCACCTGGGATCATGTTTAAACAGACTGAAAAAGCTAAATGGAAAGATAAGTTCAATTAATTTTAAATGATACACTTAATGGAGTAAAATGAGATATCCCAAAATGCCATTATCTTTACAACGATAGAAAAAGAAAATGTACAGAATGTTTAATAAAGAGTTTACAGTATGTAATACATTTTTTTTCAGTTTATTTTTTCCTTTCTGTTTTAGTATTGCAAATGCTCATTATGGTAAAGGCAGAATCAAACAATACTTGAAGTAATTTGAAGGGAAGGCCAAAGTTACAAATTCCCCAAGTTTTGTGTACAGAGACTACTGTATCCTAACTACCTTATGAATGACAAAGCATTCTAGATTTGCACAGCTCTACAGAATATTGATTAAGGCCCTGTTAGATATCATACAATAGAACAAATTTCAAACCATATTAATTACAATTGTTGTTCTCTCTTTTTAGTGATCTTCTGTCTTCAAACTATGTTGAACGGCATATTTCAGAAGGAGGAAAGGCTGTAATTTCCAAGGTAAGAATGAAGATAAATTTAATATAATTTCCAAATCAAAGCACTGAAAAAGGATGTGGGCATGCATACATCATGACATGAGAGCACAGTCTTTAAATGTGTAAAAAATATTAATGTGAATCATTTTTCGATAATGTTTTCCTGTGTATTGCCATATGTCAAATTATGAAATGTTATGCTGTTATCAGTCCTAGGAATTTGTCAACCCAAAGCTGCAGTGCTTGTCCACTTGTAGTGTCACCAATGTTTTATAATAGTACTGAAAGACAAAATATGAACAGGCTTTAGTAATAATTATTCTTCAATTACTGGATCATCAATTGTTCCAGTTAAAAAAAAAACCAAGCTGTTTAAACAGGTGCAAGTGTAATCTGGATAAAAACATTAGTGAAACCAACTAATTAAATTAACCTACCTTTATCTCCCACAATAGCGTAGTACCTACATGGGTGACATACAATAGCCAAATTGTGATTGCTTTAGCCAGTATCCCCACTACACAGCAGAGCAGTCACAGAACTGAAAAACTGCTTCAGCAATTGAATTAAAGGGGAACTTTAGGAAGGCCAAGTTGTACTCTGAAGTTACTAGTCAATGTATTCCCTGCCAGAGGAGTATTTACAAAATACTAGCAACAGGAATAGGTAATAAATTAATAAATGAGAATATGACCCTTGTGTTTTCTGTACTTCTTTCCTTATGACAATTTTTGCTTAAAAATTCTGACGCTCGGTAAATCTTTATGTTGTTTGTAGTTTACTGTTTCTTTTTCATCAAGGTTATGAATGCATATGAAAGGCACTGTTTGCACACTGATAAATTCTGGAAGCTTCAATTTAAAATTCATTTTCAAAAAGTGAAACAACTGAGATTCACAGCAAATTTGTTGTTGAGCAAACAACAGTGTAGTTGAAGTAGCTGTGTATCAGTTGCATTCCGGGTAATATAGTACACAGTTTGTAAATGTTTTGGCCGCTTTGATTTCGGTGGATTTTGTTAGTGTCGTTATCTGTCGCTTGTTATCTGTTCATCTTTCCTTCTCCCGCTTCCTCTGTGTTTCATTCTTTTGGTCTCATTCCTTTAGTCAAATTACATTTCCCAGACTTTGAGGATCTATAGAGTTAAATTGTACATTCAGGATTTTTTCCTTTACTTCAAAAAAATATTCCCGATATGCGGAATTTTATATGGAATCTATGGAATTTCTCTGGGTAAAGTTCCAAGGGGCTGTCTTAGAGTCGTTTGAGAGGAAATGAGATGTGCAGTTCTGTGTAGTAGAACACACTGCAATTTATAAATAGTTCATTCTGCCTCTTAGCTTACACACCACTTTGAAGGTACTTGTGCATAGCCTCCCCATGCACAGTAGCATCCAGAATTCCCCAGACCACTGCTTGGTCTGCTGATGCAGTCTGTGCTGACACTGCAGGATGTCCACAATTCTTCAAAAAACTGTTTTCATTGAGAAAAGAAATGCAAAGACAGCAGTATTACTGTATCTCTCTCTTTCTGGTATTTTAATAGGTTTGTTTGGGGCAGGGGGGGTTTTGAAGCAATTATATTTTACTGCTGTAAGGCACTTCATCACAATTGATCATTGTGGCATGGTTTCATTTGCTTGTGATTTTTTAGAAAAGTGCACAAAAATCAAAGTGTTTTGGAGAAACATATTTATTCCCAACTCCTCTTGGTTGTGTGTCTGGGATGGAAATAAGGTTGATGAGCGTTTCACCACTTTACATAAGTACCTCATAACCCACACATTTGGCTTCAATGAGCTTCGGCTTCAGACCAGAGGAAATAAAACATAAATATAGTACATTACTTTTTTAGAGTTTGTTTTCATCATGAAGGTAGTAGAGCTGGAAGTCCTCACTCCTTGTACCTCCTCCTTAGCACTGATATCCTCAAAAACTAAGAATCTCTTGTTTTCTGTACTGCAATGAGCTCATTTTCTGCTCTTATAGTAGAAAATTTCACCATCTTGACAAAGCTGTGTGTGGCCCGGCTCAGGGATGCTCCTGCTGTTCTGCTGCTCTCCATATGTGTAAATGTGTTCACTTGCAAAAACTGCAATGAAAATAAACACTGTGGTATTTACAAAATTAATTGTTTTCCTGGGTATTTAACAGTACAGTGACATTTTGTATGAAAAACACAGCAGACCATGCCTAGAGTTCAGTTGAGAAAGCATTTATTGTATCTCCTCTCTGAACACAGCTTAATCCCTGCACATACTGTATGTGTGCCATATTTTATTTGAAAATACTGTATATAGTCTCCTTTTCTATTACCTGGTCTGTTGTTTATACATTTGAATGCTATCAAATTTGATTGACAGAAAGTGGAAGCACTTCTCAAACATTGAGCTGACAATGAAAATCTTCCCAAATCGTCCATTAGCAGATGCATCATTGCATACAGGATGTAGTGTAACAAACTGCAGATGTGGCTGTTGAGACCCTAGGTGTCCAGGGGTAAAGAGCTGTAACAGTTAGGATGGTTTTGGATGCAGCTGGGTGTCTGGTGAGGGTCTTCGGAAGTGTGACACCAAAAGTGATTTAGTTTTAAAAAGTGAATAAATGACTGGTACTGTACGTGTACAGGACACAATAACACACAGGGAAAAGTATTTTGAGTGGTGCCAAAGGAAAGAAAATAACAAAACCAAACAGATCTAGCTAATACAGTGAGGTCTAACCTAACTAAAAATCAATAGGTCTTCGGCATCTTCATGCGCCCTCACCTCCCTACGTTGAACTAACCATAACCAAAATACATGAGTGGCACATGCCCCTACCCTAGTGTGTCTAGACAGAAAACAACCCTACCAGTGAAATATATATCTGACCATCTTACCCATGACCTTTTCCCTGAGTGTACAACAAGTTCACAGTTCAACACAAACAAGAGTGAGCAAATTGCACAATGGTGGAAAAAAAAGCCATGAACGGGGTATAATGAGAAGAAATAAGAAGCAACTAGCAAGGTAATACAAGCGCAAACAAAAACTAAATAAGCAAAAACAAAGCCGAAGCTAGAAAGACAAGCAAAAGATCGAGCAATGAGCATTCTCATTTGAGCCGGAGCTAATGGAGTCGAAACGTCTTCAGGTATTTAAACTGTAGATCCTGGGTTCTGATTGGCCGGGAGTAGAGATGATGATGACGTCACACAACTACAGCACTGGTGTAATGATGGACCAATGGGGGGGAGGGGAGGGTACCTGAATACAGGAAGGGGAAAAACAAAACAGAAACAAACTTCTACTGTTTGTTAAACAGAGAAAAAACCTTTCTTGTGCCTAATGTCTAAATTATTATTTTGTACAATCAAGGACCATGGCATGAGTCGCTGATCCTGATTGTACATACTTTACGAGAAAGTAAAATCAATGGGTTGTGGTCTGGGTATACCACCACCAGCAAACCACTGGACCCAACATAAACTTCGAAGTACTGCAACGCTAATAATAAGGCCAAAGCTTCCTTATTTGTTGTTGATGCTTATTTCCAGTGAGAATCAATCTTCCTCTCATCTACACCTTCTTTTTGGCAGTTTCAAGGAATGTTTCCTCCTTTTAAAATGAGTCACATGTTGTACAGGTGCTATGCTACAGCACACTGTAGTGTACTGTAACATCCTTTTCTGCATTTTTCACATTGCTTAAAGAAGTTCTGCTCTGCTCTGCTTTCAAAGCTACAGCTACGCGGGTTCACACATTACAGAGCCCAATTTCTAGGCAGTGTTGTGTTCACCAAGGTGACACATATCTCAATCTGCCCAAAATAGTCAGAATACGTAGTACAGTGTATGCAGTGCCTTTTTAAAAAAATGACAGATGGTTAATGAAAAATGCCCATCAAAAACAGCTGCTTGCAATAAACATTGGCAATGTTCTTGATACTGGCTGAATACAGTATGAGTGCTTGTACATGAGATCTACACGAGGCCTCTCACAAATAGGATTCAAGTAAAAATAACCCAAAAATCTGTCATATTCAATGCCATGGGGACCTCGCAAATAGAAGGATAAGTAATTTAAATTCTGTGGGATTATTCATCTGATTGACACAGAAATTTTAAAAAATAATTTTAATATTGAAGAAAAGTGCATATATAGATCTGATATATATATATATCCGAACCAGAAAGGCGCTTAGCATTGGAATTGAGCTTATAGATTATTATGATAAAGGTCTTCCCTGTTTCCTTACACAGCACCATCCAGCTCCTCATCCCTCTCTGTCAGGAATGGCTTCCCAGCTGTTTGTAATAAAAACGTCTTGTTCACTAGTCTGGCAGGTTTCTGCTAGAGACTGAATAGGCACGAGCATAGCCTGACCTGAAGCCCCTGATCTCTGCTTGCAGCCTGCAAGTCTGAGTGAGGGGCACAGAGCCATGAGCAGCAGTGAGCTACATTGCTGATAAGAATCCTCCCCCAAAAAAGCAGTGAAATTCAGTGATGGGATGCTGACTTAATAAACCCGTAAGGGCTGCACAGTAATTGATCTTCAGTTAAGAGCAGATGCAGTCGAGCATCCAAGAAGCTACATCCAACTTAAAAGCCAGCAGGCATTCCACTCCACTGAGTGGGGGCTTAATGGAACAGTAAATAGTGGGTGTGGGCACTTCCATGTTAAGTGATATATGCGGCCCTGAACTGATGTGCTCAGCACACAAGATGAAAGCATTAAGCAGGTTAGGAGTAATAATGTTACGTGAGAGGGGCTGATGGTTGCTCTTGCTTCCTGTCGATCGATCAACATGCCTCCTTACTGGACAGAAAGATTAAGATGAGACTGCAAGTCAGCTAATCAATAGTGGTAACAGGATCCCATCCACAGCAGGCCACACGTTAACCCTGTGTAGCAAACTAACGAAAAAGACCAGATAATGAAGAGGTCATTTAACAAACCATTATGCACAGTGCACAAGGAAGATAAGATGCACACCCTTGTCCAGAAATTAGTCCAGGGGTAAAATTTGTATTTTTTTGTATCCAGAAAGGAACAAAGACATCATACATTTTACAAACTTGTAAGTATTTTAAAATAAAAGTGTGGGTTATTCTCAGAGGTGTAAAGATTTACTTGTTGTGGACTGTTGTGTTCGTAGGTGGTTTAGAACACCTTCCACACACTAACAAAAGGTGTAGATAAACAGTTCACATGTTAGATTGATCGTCCAGATGTCTATAAAAGTGCAGAATAACACAGAACTCAACCAAATCGCAAAGCACATGGAGTTATAGGAAGAAGCCATGTTTATTAAAGCCAGAGGATGTGAGGGGAGTTAACAGATGAAAGATCTGGCAGCTGTCAGAGGGGAGAATTTGCATTTTGGCTTAAACTTTCCACCTGGGCAGGGAGAGTCAGCTGAGACTGATTCCCTTCAGCGTGTGAGAGCACCTCATGTTGCACACAAATAAATGAAAACTTCCACTACAATACGACTATCAATACATCCTTTTGTATTCCACCCTTTGTTAGTTCCCTGCAGTGTTTCTCCCTGCTCTGTGATTAATCCTGGGGACAAGGTCAGTGTTGCTGCACGCTGAGATCCCCTGCCTGTCAGTGCCGGAGACTGTTTAGTCCTGTCAGTATTGGATGGGAAGACTATCAGCAGGGTACACTGTCCTGCACTGAGGGCATCTTCTGCAAACATGATAGTCAGCCAGTGGTTTCTGTCACATTTCAGATGAGACAATATGTGTGGTTCCTCTTTCTCATCTTCTTCTTCCTTATCATTCATTCTTTATTATTAACAAACTCTCGGTAAAGATTACACCCAAGCCATCGATAAACCTAATGTCAAGCAATGTAAAGCTGAAGTGAATATTATTGCTTTTTCTTACAAGTTCTAAATACAGAGATAAGTGGTTGCTCCTTAAATTCAGCTTCCCGTGAACTGAATTTACAACCCGGAGAACAGTCTCCTCCATTGTGAGAATGGTTGCTGTCTGATGGCCCAGTGTGCTTCTCAGTGTTCACTGGTACTGCTCGTACAAATGAAAGAGAAAATGATCTTTACAAGTAACTGACTCATGCGTTACAGTTGTGCTTTTACAGGCAGCGACCTCTGCTATTATTGTTGTGAGTGGAAGCTGGAAGCTGCCAGGTTAACCTTTCCTGTTCCCTTGTGGTTGTAGGGTGGAGAGCACTGCTACTACCAAGGCAAAATCCGCGACATCCCACAGTCCTTTGTGGCCCTATCCACCTGTCATGGCATGCAGTAAGTTTCCTGCCTGAGCACCTTTCTCCTTCTGTATCAGATAATATCATCTTATTTTCACATAAAATCTGGAAAAACAGTTTCAAGTAAGTATAAAACAACTTATAATCTCAAATCTAGTACATGCAGCAACTTCTGTCTACTTCTGCATGTTTTTCTACTGTACATTCATGAAGAAGAATGAGAGCTGAGAATTAGATGCATGTGAAGGTTATTAATTGAGGGCTGCAGTACAGTGAGATTAGGCTTAAGATGCTTGGCAGGGGGCCAGAGCCTGGTTAGAGAATGAGGAGGCTGGGACCCCCAAGCAGAGAGAAGAGTGAACCAAGGGACAGCTGCACTGGTGGCGGATACATGGAGGAGTCGATGGGGATATGTAAGATGGGGATATATCTATGCATTCCATACAGGGGGGGGGCAGGAATGAAAGTGACATGGCTGTCGGCAACTCCCCTGAACCTCAGTTAAGAACGTCCATTTCGTAACTCCCCCTTTTGTTCAGTAAAGCAGTGCAAGTAGCAGATGATTATGGTGCCCAGCCACTTCACACTATCCAGCTGCTGCTTCAGTTTTCTTTTGTGGCCTAGAGAGTAGACAGAAGTGTGTCTACTCTGTACCGCCACTCCTCCAGAAAGAGCTTTGGCGTCTTCGTTTTTGTCCCTCAGAAAGACAATCCCTATTATTTTATCTCCGGGTAATCACTCCAGATCCCTGAGAGGCTCTGAAGCTTTTTTCCACGTTTTAAGCATCTGTTAATTGTATTAATCTGTATGGTACCAGACAATGCAGTCACTGGACTATTCCTAGGGTTTACACACGGCGACAATTGAATTAGTCTCAATGGAAACAGCTTCTTTCTGTTCAAATGAGCTTAACACCCACTCCTATTTTATTTCTTACTCCCCTATGACTGCTCTGCCTCTAGAGAGGTTTCTCTGCAATGATTTGTCACATTAGTATTTTTAGTTTGAGCTCAATTGCAAAAAATAATGTCAGGTCAAACACAGTTCCCAACAGAACAGCAGGAGACGTTCTGCTATTTTTTCCCCTCTGCACTTGAAATAGGACTGTGCAACTCCTTTGCTAGACTTTTAGAAAATGCTTCTGAACAAAGTAACCTTGTTCCTCAGGTGCACTGATATGATTTTGTTTGGGACGTTATGTAAAAATATCACAGTAGTTTCAATATATATATATAATACAAAATATCTTAAACAAATTTGTGTTCATCATACTTCGCATAAAGAAAACTTAACAACATTCAATTCTCCCATTATTACATTAAATACATATTGAAAGTGATTAAAAACATGTATGTTTTAGACAGCATTCATCATTTAGGTTAAGCTGCATTAATATTCTTCAGAACATCTCAATGTCTTCAGCTAAAGCAGATGATTTTTTCAAGATTCTCCTTCTCAATTCTTCCGGAGCATCTCCAGTAATCTTAGTGATTCAACCTTACAGGCTGAAGCAGAAATGATTTGAAAGTAATTGCAGTTGTATTCCAGTTCACATTATGCAAAGTGAAAACATTTTCTGATTACCATGCTTCACTGAGGCCATTCTGGGATCACTGTAAAATGATTGTCCGCGTCTGGCAGAAACTGTGACATTTCTCTGAGGTTTTAAATTGTGATTACATTTTAAGCAGGTTGATACATTTGAGTCCAATCAATGCAAATAAACCATAAGCATCAAACAATTCAGGGTGATTTAATACATAGATACAATTTAATTTGTATTTGAAGACTTAAAAGTTAGGACATGTGCTACAAAGATACATAAATAATATACAGTAATATAGAGATATTTACATTAAATTACTGACAACCAGCCCGCGTAGTGTATGTGGATTGTTGAAGATTCTACACAGAAGCAGACGCTGATGTTGGAAAACCTATTTTTTTCCACAGGTTAAATGTGGGTGATATAGAAAAAGTCTTTTCTAAAAATTTTTAAGCTGTGCCATGATAAAATGTCGTGTTCTATATAATTATACTCATACATTTACATTGTATTGCATAATTCTGTCTTTGAGCATAATACTTAAAGATTACAAAACAACTTCCATTTAAGTCTCAGCACCACAGAGATATTTGGTTTATGTTCCTTTACAATTCAGTAGGTAACATGGTCATTAAGGAGATTCATGCCCAGAAAGGAACATCATTTTTTATTTCCAAATTATGCAGCTATAACATAATCTTCTCAATCTCTTGCAATTGACAGTGGGATGTTCTTTGATGGAAACCACACGTACATGATCGAGCCAGGAGAGAACAACGACTCAGCTGTAAGTTTTCCTTTACTTGTAGTTCGATTCTGTGTCTTTTGGATCTGTTGGGATTCTGTTTAGTAAATGTTGCAGCTTGAAATATTTCAGGAAGTGTTTACTGCTCAACATACTGTCCTTCGAGCCAGTCCTCTTACAAGAAAGATCTACAGAAATATGTCCTTGACTGATTAATTATAGTAAGGAGTGAAGGAAAAGATCACAAAAGCATCTTTCTTTCTGAGTGTCTACAGAGTGGATACTTGATGAATAATAAAGAGACAGTAGTAAGTAACAGTCTTGTCCTGATGCTCTGCTATTCTGCGGGGCTTTGTCTCAGATATAATGAATGCTGTAATTACAACACATTTTTTTATTATTCTAATGACTTCATTTAAAAAGAACTGTCATAAATTCAGGTAGCATCAGTTCAATCTCAAACGTTGTCATCTTGAATCTTCTATGCTAACATATTTTTATAGGATTCATGTGAAGTATGACAAAAGGGGACAATGAATTAATATCCAAACATCACTTAATATATTTAGACATTGTCCCTTTGTGTTTCCATTTCAATTAAATATTTCTTCAAACAGTTTTTTTTTCATATCAGGGAGAGAGAGAGAGAGAGAGAGAGAACAATGCAGTGTTTTAAGATAAGTCATAGAGTCTGGTATACATTTTAAATGATTAGGGAAACTGGCCTAGAGTGGGTCATCTGTAAAGATTGTGTCTATAAGGTGTTCTAACCTCACAAAAGTTTTATTTTCATATTAAATGAATGAATTTAACATTTTTTTTGTAAAAAAAAAAACAGGACAGAAGAGCATGATTTAAGTCCTACAGGGTTCTGTACTGGGACCACGTGTGCCTCTTAATTGCTGTGAAGGATGTGGAGCTGACTATGCTGCAGATTATAATTAAACCAGGGAATGGGGGAGAGAACATTGTAGAACTATGAAAATTCAGGCAGATGAAGGTGAGGTGCTTGACAGTAAACAAATACTTATTGTAAATGGGTGTGTTACAGCAATGTTTAGCATTATGATGTGAAAAAAGTTGTACATAAATGGGTAGTAAGAGATTTTGACCCGGAATTGTCTGTCATTGTACAGAAACCACTACTGATTCAAGAGGTGCAACTGCAGTGCAAGGGTTGCTTTAAACACTAATTCATTACAGTTACAAATTACTTACTGTATAATAAAATTCACAAGATTGAAAGTCATCTGTTACAGAGATCTACATGATAGTTTCTATGAAAAGTATTACATTACAAAAGCGTTTAAAAGAATTTCCCTCATGTTGGTGTTAATTTTAAAACAGTAAACACACACGTCACTTATAACAATGTAGAATTGTATTTTAAGGGCGTACAGACATTTCCATAAAATGAAGGGCGTGTTTATTTTAATATTTAAAAAATTAAAGGAGATGTATCTTATTAGACTTGCTAAGAAATGGCTGAAGGATCTTCAAAATCCTATAAAGATTCCAAAATGTAAGCTAATATTTCATATTTAATTCAGGAGAACACAAATGTTTAAATGAAAGCATGGTAAAAATAGACAATGTTAAGCTTTTTCACACAAACCGAGGTTATTTTGGAACATTTTTAATATGTTCATAAGTAATATTTAATAATCTCACATTATTGGATGTTAAATACATTATTTACAAATCAGTGCAAAGCTGTACTGTATCTGCATTAACTGTATTGTAGGATTTGCAGGAGAGGTCAAGATTTCATTTTTAAACATCTTACTGATGTCAGCTTTAAGAACAGATACAGTACAAACAAGAGAAGGCCACCCAGACATAAAAATGACATAAAAATCAAACTGCATTTTTATTCTGCATAGAAAAACAGATGCTTGTAGCTGCAACTAATGAGCTTTGTTTATGTGCTCAATATTTTTTGCACCAAAGTATGCCTGCCTCAGTAAGATTCGGACAAACTTTGCTTTAACTTGTTCAGTTTACTTCCGTGTATGCACATTAAGTTACTGTGAACGTGCTATAGCGCTTTCTGGTGGATATGCAGTAGGTAGGGCTGGATTAGGAGGAATGGGGTCCTTTAGGTGAAGATTTGTGAGTCTTGTACATCTATATTAATAAAAAGCCATGAACTCATCAAAAATGACCTTGGCTATAGACAGAAATATACCGAAGCACAATAAAACAGCAGTCTACAGTATGTTTTACACCTGTAGCTTATTTGGGACAAAATATTTACATTTTAAATAGTGAGCAGATACAATAGCTTTGTGGATTGTTTGGGTATTATTATGTTCTCCATAGAAGAAGAAAACACAGAGTTTAAGTCATATGATTTTACAGAATCACCAGCTGCTTAGTTTGCTGTTTGGATTAACATTGCCAAAGCAACGTGATTAAGGATGTGTACAAATAACCATTCAAAGAGACATCAGGTAATTGCAGTTGTACTGTACATTACAAAGTAATATCCTTTTGTAATAATTTAGAAAGTTGGAGAATTCTCCTGAAGCAATTTGAGTAAAGTATCTTGCTCAAAGGCTCAGGAGCCAAGTCTCACCTGGGATTTCACCACACAACCTTCCTATTATGAGTCCAAACCCTAACCACTACTCCGCATTTTAATTATCTCAGAAACCACGAATGACACCTCCATGCCCTGCCTGAGTAATGAAGATTGGTCGCTATCGACATGATTGAAGGCAGCCTGTATCCGTGACAGAAACTGCCCAGGGAATGGGATATTCTGCTTCCATAGGCAGCAGACCAGCCCAGAGAAAAAAACAAAAGACTGGCTCACATTGGACAGGTCACATACTAGAAATCAGAAGGTCATCCCACTGAACAGATGGTCATGTCCATGCGTTACACTTCTGAAGTTTTATTTTTTAAAGGAAGGTCCGAATCAAATCTGTTGAAAATCAAACAAAACCTTTGTGGATCCTTCCTCAAGTTTGCCTGGATGTTAACCTAGCGCCGGACAAGGGAACATTATTCACTGTGAATAATACCTTGTTTCATCAGATTGTTCATGTGTTGCAAAAGGAACACAACCAAGGACTTTTATGTTCAAAACTCAGTTTTTCAGTTTTTTCCTCACAGAAACTGAGCATAATGTGTGTATAGAAAAGCAATTCCATACCCCAGAGCTGATCATTGCACTCCTGTCTTGAAGATCTCTCTGAACAGTACGTCATTGGCCAAGGTTAAATCTCCTTTTTAATTAACTTGAGAACAAGACACAGAATTGTTGTTTTATCGCACAGAACTCTGCACTTGCAAAATATAAACTTTGTGACATTTTTTCTCACACCACTGATAGAAAGTAATTTTTGGACCACTGGCTTGAGACTTCATATGTTAATTAAAGAAAATGGTTTAAAGAGTCATCTGTTCACATGGGTCATATTATTTTATTAAATGTGCAGTATTATAAGCTAAATCCATTAAGATATCTTGTAAGAACTTGGATTAAGCCAGGGACTATTTCAAAACACAAAGACGACAGAGACTTTATTAACATTAACCTGTGTACAGCCGAAATGTATCCTTGGCTCAATTTTGATATAGAGTATTTAAGTACATTTGGGGATATTGTTTAAAATATCACATTAACCTCTAGTACAGTATATATGCTACTAGACAAAAAAGCAATGAGTGTACTGCATGTCTTAAAAATCAATTTGTGACCTACATGTATTTCATTTTAGAATACTTCACAGTGAGACTCATTTAGTTCAGCTACTGTAGAATTGTGACCACAAATCATAGGAATGGTATGTTAATATCTGGGCTGTCAGAACTTACCGATGATTGAGTTGAAAAGGCCAAAGTGACAGAAGGCTACCTCTGGTTAATTCCCATTCTTCCCATCCTTTGTTTGGATATGGAACGGTTTAATTATTCAACGCAAATTCAAACCCTAAAAAATGGGATTTAAGATTTGCTCAGACATAAGTTTTGTAAAATGATCTGTTTTATAAATGGGTAAGATAAAGGTTTATTTTTAAATATCAGATGATACTTAATAGGCACAATTCTACATGTAGTGTAACAACAAAACCTCACAGAACAATATGTGCTCTGATTACTGTATTTTGAATTAATTAAAATGTAACTTGTACTTCACATAAACCATACTGGCACGCCCTGTGTCTCTTATATTTATAGGGTGAATCAAGGTTTTAAACATTGGAAGACTGGGTCTGTGCTCTGACTTTTGAGATTGTTGATAGAGATGTAAAAGACTTGGCTCCCCGCTTGAAGGGTCTTACTGTGCTAGTTTCAGAAGAGGTCCTGTAAACACTGATCACACATTGGACTTCCAAGTACTAGTGACATACAATAGTATAAATTCACATCAGGACACTACATTTCAGAAAGACACAGTATTAGACATTAGCAAGGCAGCACAATACTTCCGTCTTATTAGTATTATGAAAAGTCTAAAATATATATATATACATCACATTTGCAATTTATATTCAAATAATTATTCTTTACCAGTTAATTAAAAAAGTTTATTTTTGATATCTTAATTAAAATGTTGACTGGGATTAGGTAGACCATTTAAGGTGGAGAGGACCGTTTCAATGCAGTAGGAGTCTGGTTGCTGAGGTGCTATGAAAGCATGAATATGTGCTACTGCCTGTAGACTTTCTAACGGGTGATTCACTGCAGTATTTTAAATTCCAGCTTAGGAAATGTCCAGACAGGATGCAAACAGTACACATGATTCAGCCTGGGATATCTGCACCACAAGTGTGCATTTTGAGCTTAAGGTAGCTGACAAATCAGGTGTAATGCCAGCACCCCCGAGCCTTTTCAAAACATGGCTGCTAACATTGCCCATTTCAGCAATTGTGAATGACAAAACCCACTAATGTTATATTAATGCATTTTAACTGACTAATTTAAGGTTAAAGAATGATCTATGTACTGTACTTTTTTGGTGACTTGAGATTTGATTAAGTATTTTATACTTCATTATACTATAATGAAGTATAAAACAAAGGCAAGCTCTGACCTCGCCCACGTGCACCTATATACAGTATAAATATCACAGTTCTTGCTAACTTGCTTCCATGACCCTCCTACCAAACCATCCTAGCCCTAGAAGCAGCCTTATCCTTCATTTGTCCTTACATCCATCACACACCTCAGCCAGATGAGTTAACCTAATAAAGCTAATAAAGTTCATCTAATACAGGAATTCAAATCACGCCTCTTTTTCACCTACACGTTTGACCAAACTACTGGATTATCGCTGTTGACGTTCAGTATAATAATATAGGCCCTGTTCATTGTTACTGTAAGTAATATTAACAATATTTCTGTTTCAGGCAAATTATGTTGCATTTTTAATCACTTTATTTTACCAAGTAGGATGGTGATTCTAGTATATCATCAGATGGAGGGATAGATGTTGAAACATCACACATTTCCATTTTCCACGTTATGCTAGATATGCAAAAAATAAAGAGTGCTATATAAAAAAAAACAATTATTGTAGTAAAAGAAAATGGATATAAGGAACTTTTATAGAATATTGCAAATATTTTATAACGAGAAACTCCTCATCTGTGTTGCTCTCTAGGTTTGTTTTTGCTGCACAGACCAGACTTTTCAAAATTCCAGTTACTGCAACAGTTCCTGTTTAAATGTTTTCTACAAACGCCTATCTTACAATTTCTTCAGTAACTGTCCGTTTTGCAGTGTGCATACAGTATGTTACCTTTTCAGTTGTCTATTTTTTGTTGTGAGCTATACAGTAACTTACATTACAAATTGCTACTTTCTGCCTAAGACTGGAAGAGATATTGTGCATCCTTTTGGATTTGTAATACAGTAGTTATATTTTTGCTTTCATGAAACATGAGTGTAGCCAAGAACAAAAAAAAAACAGTAAGTATTAAATGTGTAGTGTTAAATGCCTCTGGTTGTATTTTCTAACACAAAAAAAGTAAAGTTCGGCTGACTGAGAGAAAATATTTTATTCAAATTTTATTTACAGTCTACTGATGAATCAGCAGATTTTTTTGTGAATATGGTAAGAGATTGCATTCTAATAAAATGAATTTTCCAAAGACATAAAAGTGGAAAAAAAGTGACTCTGCTCAGGACAGGTGGGTAACAGTCTTGGTAACAAAATGAAAGTCAATACAGCCAAACTCAGCTGCAGTCTTGTGAGTCATATGGTAATCCTGGTAAATGAAAGGGTCTGATAATCTTTTGTGTGGGTTGAAATGTTAACTTCATGGTAGACATTTTTATGACTAAATTTAAGCACTAGGAAGAAATATGTAACATTACATGGCTGTACCAATTGTATAAATGCAAGACCTTCTCTCACAGAAATTCAGGGATGGGATATTAATGGGAAGAACCAAGTATTGAAATAAAAAAGATTTTAGTCTTGCTTATTTCAAAGAAGGTCATGTGCTTATTTTAGGACAGTCACACTTTCCCCTTGACAGATAATATCTTAGAATAATCTTTTCATTATGAGTGTCCTGACCGTTTTTTACAGATACAGCCAGATGAACAACAACTCTCTCACACGATAATAGCCAAATAGATTTTTATAGTCTATTAAATAGTTCTGTAGCACAGTCTGCAGTGTGGACTCTTCAATGCAAGAGATACTACGTTTAAACCAAGTTAGCTGTGATAAGCAGTGACTACACTCCTGCTTGGAAGAAATTCTAAACATATTATTGTGTTATTTGTAATTTAATCATGGATATTTCTTTCTATCCCATATAACAAAAATAATTAAAACGTTTAACCCCGGTTCTAAATATTTCTTCTATGGATTTATCAGTGCCACCTGCTTGCAATTTATAATCACTAAAGCATTCACTGTTTTAGGTAGGATTTCAGTCTGTATGCTGTAAGGTTCGAAGATAGCAGAACAGTCAGGCTACTGTGAAACCGTCCTGCCTCTCCTGTTTTATATTCATAAGCCTGCGGTGTTTCCATGATACTATCCCACTGCACGCATTTTCCAGAGGGGTCTTTCATCCCAAGCCATCTGAACTACTGCCAAGTGTGGCCTTAATGGGGTTTATAATCTCTTATGAAAATAAACCCATATTCCCTTCCTCATATTGGTATCTGCTTTAAAAAATGAAAAAAAAGTCAAGCACATCCATCAGTATAGAAAGCAATGCTGGAGGTCTAGAAATTATCGACTTCAAAGACTTGGAAATATCATAAACAAGATCTAATCTAATGTTTCGTCTACAGTATTTGCTTACACTTGAGGGAGACCATATTATTTACCAAGAGGTAATAGATTAAAGGATTCAAAGAGCCACTGTGTAAGAATTGCATCCATAATAATAATAATAATTTAAAATGGAGCATTTTCTTAACGTACTGGTACCTAGGTGTTTAGTCACTTAAGGCTACAAACCTAGCAATACATGATGCTTCTACTTGAGACCTTATATTTTTAAACAAGTGCATCAGCAGCAGCACATAAACCCTCCCATGTTTGCCTGTGAGTTAGTAGATAGAACACAGCGGTTTCATGAAAGTCAACATGAAGAAAGCATCTGACTTTGGGAGTGGGAAGTACATTGTTTGAAATGACAATCACTTCTTCCTGTGTCTGACTTCCCCTTTAAAATCTTTGAAGCATATTGTTTTTTTTTCTGCTTTGTATGAATTTCTTGTCCATCATGAATTCTGACTTAACACTGTGCGAATGATAAAAATAGCTACATGCAGTTTGCTGTTATAAAGCTTTGAATGCATAATGTAAAAGCCAGTCTTGTCATGCTTCTGTTTGCAAGTTGTTAGTGACCCACAAATGAGCTTTTATACCATAGATACACCCGTTCTGGTTTGAACTGCCAACACCAACTTAATTACAATTATACTGAACAAGCTAAGAATCAACTGGAATAGGACAGAATGAGTTTATGAATGATTTGACAGAAAAGGTTAATCCATTATCAGAAAATGTGCTTTCCTGCGTTTATTCCTGTTAAGGGTCGTAGCAAGAAAGCCTGTTCCATAAGCATAGGGTGACTGACTGTGATATTTCTCACATCCCTCCTCCAATCATCAGGAAAGCTGTACAAGATAAGTGATGCTGCCCAAATGCTCTTGAAAGTAAAGTGTTTTGTAACATTCAAAACACAACTCAGTTCAGAACTATTCTGTCAAGTTTATTCATGATTCTTTACCAGGACTCCCATTATGAACAAATTAATTACAGCTCCAATTACAACCAAATTTCCATTTTTTAAAGTCAAATTTGTTAATTGCACTACTTTTAAAAATGTGTATTATACTAGGAACTTTATTTCACTTTAATAGTTTGAGACAGAAAGCATTTACTTTGTAACAAAAGTCAAATTTTAATAAAAATGCAAATCATGCAGAATGGTACACTGTCCTGAAAAGAAGTAATACAATTCAAATTCATATGCACAACATCATGTTTACCATCTCTCTATGTATCTTCTGTCACAGAATTTGTGGTTCTCTAATTAATTAGAGCCTATCGCAGAACATTGAAGGGTCTTAGCAGTGATATTCCCAACCAGAAATGCTGCTTTGCCAAAAGGAAAGAAAACAGATGAGTCTATCAGCCTTATCAGTGCATTTCTGTAGGATGCTTACCTCCCTGCGAGACTGCACAGCACACTCAAGTAAAACTCCAGGGGTCCATTTGACAATACAGCAGTAACAAAATCATATTTGATCAAAAGAATAATAAATGAAGCACAGAGGCAACATCAATAAATTCCACAAAGATTATATAGTATAGTTTATGGCCACTTCAATATCTAAAAATACACTACTCCTCAAAATGGAGTCGAATTAAAGAATAAATGCCAACGAAAGAGTTTCAGTCCTGACTTTGCATTCTCTTAAGACAAAAATGCAATACCTCGAATTCAGAGCTTAATAATCATATCATCAATGTCACACATCTTAGTTGCCAGTGTGGTAAAAGAAAATCTAAATTGCAAACACAAAGCCAGAATAATTATTCAGTGACTAATGTCTGATGTAAGAAAACACAAGACAGGCTTTTGTTTTACCTTCCATGTGTGTATTTTATGACGCTGGGCTTTATCATTAGGGATATTTTATTCATTTTGCTGGACATGAAACAAATAAGAACAATACATGTTTAAGAATATTTTAACAAAGCACAAAATCATTTTAATTTCAGAGCACTGTACAAAAACATGAGTACAAAACCATTCCACTGATGCTGCTCTTGAGAGTGACTTTGTAACAGATAATGTGCATCTGCACTGGTATTTTGTTTTTCATTTACTTCTATTAAACATGTAGCATAAAAACGAAAGTTCACAGAGACACAAAAATGAACTTAGAATGTTCTACCTACTGGTTCTATGGATGTTTAATTAGGTTTTTAAATCCATTTGCAAATAATTGTACAATGTCAAAAGTCTGGTTTCAGGCATCAGACACCAAGAAATAACAGCCTACTAAACTCTATACAACTACAGTGTACAAAATACTGTATCTGAAAAACTGCTAAGAAGTACTCCAGCAGACTCAAATCGGCAAATACTGCTCAAAACAGCCTCCAAGATGTAGAAGGCACAGAAATGAAAGTTTCTCCAACACAAACCCTGTACATTTCAGTTTTAAAGAAACTGGTCTCCTTTTTCTGCGATGCACGTTCACAGTCTTTTATGATTTGGAGATGTTTCTTGTATGTATTATACAGCACAGGAGACAGCTCACGCTGGAGTGGGAATCGTGGGGCCACTGCTTCAGTGTGTGTGCAGCTGGGCTGAATCCATGCAGTGCTTTGTCTTGCTCTTGGCAGGAAGTTCAATCATTTTATTCCCATATGGCACAGAAAATAGTTAACGTGCAAGTTCTGGATCAGCAGAAAGACAACAGCGGTAGGGATCCTTCAATAAGCCTGCCCATGTAGCGGGATATCGATTTCAATGGTTGACAACCTGGAACGGGTGGAGTACCGATAGTCCGGAGACCCGTAACTCTGAGATGTATAACTCTGGGGGGCATAAGCTTGCGAGGCACAAACTTCAGAGCCATAACCGTCAGGAGCAGAGATTTGAGACATATAAGTATGAGGGCCCATTCCTTGTGGAACAGACGTTTGAGAGACATAGGCCTGAGGGTTAGAAACTTGAGATCCATAGCTCTGAGGGACACAGGCTTGAGGAGGGTAAACTGGAGAAGAGTAGCTGTTGGAGGGGGGTGAGTGAGGAGGGTAGGCATGAACGGCAGCAGGCTGGGAATACAGCGGCAGCCAAAAGGGAGAAGGCAGCGTTTTGCACAAACAGTACCACAGAAACAAAAGACAGGCTGCCAGAAGCAGACCGCCTGAACTGCCTATTGCCACATACGCTGCAAAGTCGGTGGAAAATATATGGTCGAACTTCTTGTTTAGATTGGAAGTGTAAAATATGAACCAGACCGAAGGGGCCATACCAATGCCCCCCGACAAGAAGTAAAATATACCGGCCACTAGATGGCACCCTGCACTGTTGACAAGGCACTTGGTGAGGGGGACGTCGGGGACATCAGAGCAGCATGCCGTCTTACACATTCCCGTTAAGCCCAGGAACAGTGAAAGGGAGGAAAAGAAAATGCTGATGGGAAGGGCGAACTGAAGAACTCTGAGGTCCAGCTGGTCTACTCTGGAGTACCATTCCGAGTCAAATATTAAACAGTTCGTACTGCCCTCCAAGCGGACACACTTCGCCCAGAGCCCATCGTAGACTGTGACGTTCTTGGCGTTTTTGTTGAAGGTGGTTAGCGCGGTCACCCTCCACTGTGGAATGAGGGTAGCTATCACGAGCCCTCCCACTGAAAACAGGGCAATTACGAATGCAAAAACAGTAGTTGCGTGTATATCCCGGCACGTCATGTTAGCGGAAATTTTCACTCCGAAGCCCTGGAAGCGGAATAAGGAGAGATCAATGAAATGCGAAATAAAAACAATTCAAAGCTGCAGTCTCTTTTAATTTGATACTACTACTGTGCAAAACGCACAGTATTAAGAAACAAAATATGCATAGTGTATTAATAAACATACATATTGTTGTTTTTTTAATGAAATGTTGCAACTTTTAGCCAAGCAATGTCTTTCTTTACGTTATCGTTTTTTTCGGTTGACTTTTTTTTGTAAATTCTTAATAATATAATATTAATATTCTTTATTATCACCATCGTGACATCTTTAAGGGTCTTAAACTGTAAAAAGGGAGTATCCGGTGGTTTCAATAGTTTGTACCTTAAGAGAATTACGAGAATGTAATCACACTTTTACGACCGTCACAATTAGCCACACCATCATGGCTGTTCACCTAATGGAGAGGAAACCGGAGTGTACATAGTATACATCTTCTCTATAGGCTGCATCACTGAGGAAACGAATGCCCCCAGAACTGTGATGAATCTTATAATCGTCTTCGACTCCTTGTAAATCCTTGGCAAAATGTGCTAACATCAGACAATGCGAAGAACACAAATGTACAATAATGCGGGGCTTGTTCTTCTTCCCTCGAACTTCCTCCTGTTAAAATATACTGCCATACAATACCTGTTGATCTGCATTTTTTTAATCGCTGAAATTCAGACTCCGCAACGACTCACTCCAGAGAGCTACGCAGTTCACAATGCCCAAAGAAATTTACACACCTTTAATCGGCAACCTTGACGAGAGCTGTTACTAGCCGTGTCTCACATGGAACTGCATTTTCCAGTAAAATGTAACCACAACCTTTCGGGTCCAGAGTCTCGGCGTTTCCTGTTAGCCCAAGCTTCCGCAAAATCTCCTCTCCCTGCGTGGCCTGGGAAAACAGTCACGTCACTCGGCGCGGCCTCAGATCCCATTGTGTGCGGAGTTACAATGTAGCTCAGTGTTCAGCCTCCGCACAAAGTAACCTGCCTCTCGGCTCTTTCTCTCCGCGCACAGACACAAACACCAGCTGAAGTGCGCGCAAGAACCTGCAATTGTTAATTATACAGTATATCGATACATGTGGGGGCAGAGTTAAAATTTTATATTCATTGTCTGAAAAAAAATAGACTAGAAGCGTTTCTAATGAAAACGGGACTAGTCTCAAGAAATGCGGCATTCTGTAAATGGAGCTTTAAACGGAGCTCAGTTACAGTACGTTTTCGCTTGTGTTTTTTTTTTAAAAAGGAATGGTATGTAGTTCACCGACACAGACCGACAAAAATATCCGTCGTGATGATCATTTACTGTGCTGTACGTTGGACGTTGAATTAAAAAAATCCACCTTTGTTTTCAGGCGAGGATAAAAAGCAGCCACAACGCAAGCCTTAAATGATATTCTCAATTGTATGTCATTATCAAACGCAATTAGGTTTTCAATATCTATAATAGCAGCCGTCAAATAGAAGCTGTGAAATATCCTTTACCAAATCCTACTTAAAGTGCACCACATTAAATTATTAATAAAATACGAAACATAAGAAAACTCGTCTGAATGCATTCTCCTCGTCTTTTCCATTCATGTTTTAATATATAGAAATAATATAATAATTCACCTAATAATGTTCATCTGGAGATTGTATTCCCTTTCTTGGGTCTCGGTGACCCCTACCTGCTGTGAAGAGAACTACATCCTGAGCTAGCAATAGCCAATCCCGGTTGATATATGCTAATGACACCTGTCTGGCAAAACAAAACCCCAGTTTTGACAACTCGGAGCAGGCCTGAACACACGGCCACTCAAAACAAACCCACACCCAACCAGACTGTTCCACCTCCACAATGCAACAGCTACTAACTCAACTCTCAGATGGAAAATCAGAAACATCAGCACCATCCTTTTTCAACATACCTTGGAGGGACCCTAGCCAGGACTCTCTCATTCTGGGATTACTTAAAGACAACAGCATCCCGGGTCGAAACAGGGAACAATCTGATCTCCTCACTTGCTGGAAGATTATGGGACGCTGCCTCCACCACCACCACAGTCTGGACCTGAGCCTTTGCACTGTCTTTCTCACCAGCAGAATACTGTGCCCCTGTCTAGTCAAGATCATCACATATTCACAGAGCAGACACCCAGCTGACTGCCTGCACCCCACTCCCCAGGCTCCCTGTCCTAGCAAACTTCACTCCTCCACACACCCACCGACTCGCAGTCACCCACAAAAATGCTCAAAAAGGTCCAGAACGCTCCGTATCTGCTGCTGCATGAGGATACATTTAATCCAATGAGGATATGTCTGCCTTTAAGAAAGCCCATCTGGAAAAACCCTCTTCAGTAAGACTGAAGACTGGGAAGAGTGAAGAATGGGGATCGCTGGACTCAACAAACAAGCCCTTTCTCACATGCCCCACTCAACAACCTCTGGGTTTTCACCTTCCAAGAAAAGAGTGGCTCAGTCTGAACCATGTTAGGATCTCTATAGATGGAGGATCAGGGCAGCCTTCTGTGTTCCAGCGGGATGGGGCAAATTGTGCAACACAACCTCGAGGACTGTCCAATCCACTAGACACCCTCAACAGAGCCAGACCAGAAGCTGTCTCTTGTCTCAGGGACTTCACTAAATAAAACAATACGTTTTGCCATTTGTATGACAGTGTGATCAACAGACTATTACCCTGTTTTTTTATAATGTAACGATATAGATATGAAAGCACATTGGCATGATGGTTAGCTTGTCTGCCTCACTGTTACTAGGTTTGATTCTGGCTTGGTTTACTTTCTCTGTAGAGTTTGCATGTTGTCGCCTACATTCTTAACACAGTCCAAAGACATGGTGTGTCCTACCTGACAGCCAGGCTAGAATCTGGTTAGACTCTGGCTCACCATGTTCTTGTCCCATCTGAATGTGGAAGGATGGAATGATGTATACAAAGGGAAAGAGGATGCATAACCACAGGGTTAATATTCAGGACAAAACGTTTGTAAAAATGTAGGGCGTAGCAGGCAACAGGGTCCCGAAAAATAAATACATATTCACTCACGGATGTCAAGGTTGTCTGACAGGTTAGAGGCTAGATTCTGCTATAAAGTGAATGAAAGAATCCAAACAGTCTTTTTCTTTCAATGGTATTGACCAGGAATCTCAGTGTTTCACTTTTAAAAGAAAAGTGTACATTTCTACAAAGCTTCTTTTTTCACAGAACCTTATGACCTATTGCTATGATCGCACTCTGGTTTCCAGATCATTTTGCTGTCTTTTTTGGCCTTGATCATTCTGTAACTAAATTTCAGTGTGGAGCAAGTATTGGTGAATTTAAATCTTTGTTTGTTTGTTTTGTATTTTTAGGATGACTTGCATATGATTTACAAATCGGTGGGGCTGGAGGCACCAGTTGATTATTACTCCTCAGGTATGTCTGCTGCTAAAATCCTTATTTCCTGAATCTCATTAATATCTGCAAAGCTGCATTTAGTATGTACGTTTACATGAGATAAGGAAATGAAATTCAGTATTTAATTAGAATATAAGGGCGTCACTGCTTAGTTGTGATTGATATGAATTCTAAAATGGTAAAAAGATTTCAGACATGTAGGAGTGCCATGAAGACTACTCTGTCAAAGCCAGGCAAAAGGAATTAAATCCAACACTTGTGTTAATGTGTTTATGTTGGTTAGAGGAAACCTGAGGAACACTTAACTGTGATGGAGTGTGTCTCTTATTGAACTTCTAAAGATTTTGTGCCTAATAGCTGATTGCTGGGGAGTCAAGGAGGTGTTGAAGAATGGTCTACAAGCTGCCATATTTACAGCAGGATAAAGACAAATCACAGATGGAAATAATTAGCAAAATAAGACCTGAAACCTCCTCCTACTTTGAGCTCATAGGCGGAAACTCCAGTCCTCTATCATTATCATTTTATAAAATTTTCTGAACATCAAACAAATAAGATCAATACATGTTCAAGAATATTATAATAAAGCACAAAATCATTTTAATTTCAAAGCACTGTACATAAACATGGGGTCCCAGCACCTCCTATTATAAACCTCAGCTACCAGGAGGTTAGCTATACCTGTATCTTCTTCTCAGCACGTTACAATTCTTTTTAACAATTCAAGAAGAATAAAAACAGAATGCCAGAATAAAAAAAGGAGAGAAGAAGCTGAACATTTTCTGCTCTGCATATGTGCTAATGTAGCTCTTGCTGTTGCGTTTTGCTTTAGACGATCCAAATTATGACAGCCAGCCAACCTCTCCCACCAGGACAGTTCACCGGAGGAAGAAGAGGCAGGTGGGTATCCCTCTGGTTATAACAAAGTAAAGCCCAAGGCCTACTGATAAGTAATTGTTCTCACGACATTTGTATTTTATGCTCATTGGTGTCTGCATCTTTGGTGTTTAATTAGATTTGCTGCCTACTTTGAGAAGCTTTCTAATTAAAAAGTTTCACAGTATTTTTACTTGTTTGTTCTTAGTTGTATTAATTACCCTGGTTGCTGATTCTCCCTCTAAAACTACTTATATTTGCAAAACTGTGTGCTGAGCTTGAGAAGAGCTGAGCAAATGGTAAATGAACAATATCTTCCTTAGCATACTGATTTTTAGACTTTATGTGCAGCACAGTGGTGCAGTGGTTAGCATTGACCTCACAGGTCTGTGGCTCTGGGTTCAAATCCAGGCAGCTATCTGCATGAAGTTGTGTGATCGTCCAGTGTTTGTGTGGGTTTCCTCTGAGTGGATTATTTGGCCCTAGGTGTGTGTGTCTGTGTGTGTCCTGTGATAAACTGGTGTTCCATTAAGGGTGTATCCCGCTCTGTGCTCACTGCTTGGTGGGATAGGCTCCGGATTGGCTGTGACCCAGAATTGGAAGAAGCAGTTAGAAAATGGATGAATGGCCTTTAAGACTTCATATTTAAAGTTAAAAAGGGCTGGTCTGTGTCTTATGTCTATATGCAGTTAATCTAACCGGTTGCTAGTAGCTCCAGCAGTGTCTTAAAGGAAACCAGGGTAACAACCTCATCATGGCTGGGTAGCTTGTTCCATTCTCCCACAACCCTTTGTGTAAGGAAGCGCCACATGTGTCAGTGTGATTGCCCACAATAACGGGCAGTCATGATCAGTCATTCCAGTTTAAATTTCTACTTTTTCTTGCACTTATTTGCTCGGCATGGTTTTTTTTTCATTTTTAATTTCCATTTCAATTTTTCTTTTTTAGGTTTCTCGAAGTTCGCGCCGGGTGGAGGACGAGACAAAATATATAGAGTTAATGATTATAAACGACCATCTGATGGTAAGATGATGCTCAAACAAGAACTGCTCTTACTCCTGGCATAATAGAGAAACTAATGTAGTATTTCAGTGAACAGTACCACACATTTACAGTATAGAGTTCTCATGTACAGTACTAGAAACGTGTTAATAAAATATTGTTAAATAATGAGACTTCTCACTAAATGAACATATGCTTCTTTACTAGACCACCATATTGCTTTTAAAATAAACCACTCTTTGCATTTTTGCAGTATAAAAAACACCGTCTGTCTGTTGGTCAGACCAATAACTACGCCAAATCAGTGGTGAATATGGTCGATATAGTAAGTATAAAATAACATCCTTTTATTATACAATACATTGTCATATCACTACTTTTGCTTACTACAGTAAAAATCCTTTCTGGCAGTTATAGAACACGCTTGGACGTTGTTAAAGTTGTTAGTCAGATAGTCAGTCAGCCACACATTTTAGAAGGCTTTTGTGGACCATTGTGAAATGGGTATAATGTAGATACAAAAGATGTTGTCTTTTATATTAAATAAAATTCCAAATAAATCGCTCTACATGGGTGTTACATTGTGACTTAATTTGGGTAAATATTTTCAAATTAAAGATTATACAAGATTCTGCTTTTCTTTCTGCAAAATAGTTACTGTAACTATGCCAAATTTATTTACTTTCAAAGGGTAATATTTTGTTGACTGTGGCTTCCGTTTGATTTCATGCTAGCTATTCAAAGACCAGCTCAACACAAGGATTGTTTTAGTAGCAATGGAAACCTGGGCAACGGACAACAAGTTCAACATTGACGTCAACCCCTTGATCACGCTGCGGGAGTTCATGAAGTACAGAAAGGACTTCATCAAGGAAAAGTGCGACTCTGTGCATCTGTTCTCGTAAGTAGCACAGGAGTTACATACTGTAACAATACAGGGCTACCGTACCATCTTCTGAAATATCGCATTGCCTTTTGACAGGATCCAAATTGAATCTTATCCTGTCGATAAGAAGCCATAAATCAGAACCTGAACAGTATTTTCAAGGCAGTCTTGCTATGATGGTCAAAGATGCAAACCATATGCTCTCAACATGCAATAGTGTTGAACACCTATTGCTGTTGAACTGCTGTGCTCTATCGCTCAGATCTGTAAATTTTGTAGTTAGCTATATATAGCTATAAATTCCATCATAACTTGGTTTAAATGTATGGACATTAAGAACCTTCTTTTACAGTTGATTTTCTAATGTGATTTCTGGCTCTGGGCCTGTGGTGATCTCAGCATTGTGATGAGACAGACCAGCATGTTGAGCAGCAGGGCTCCCAGGCGCCATGTAGGCAGTGTTGTTCCCAAGGAGAAACCCGCCTGCCCTTTTCACAGTCCAGGAAGAAGAGAAACTAAGTTCAGGAGGTGGCTAGGAAAACAGTGCAGGAGACCAGAGAAGTTATGGGAGAGGACTGTAGGTATCTGAAACTGCTTAGCCTTCCTGTGGCCTGACGTGTCTTTCGTCCACTAGAGGGAGCCATTTCCACAACAGTCAAGACGGAGCCTCCTACCTGGGAGGTGTCTGCTCTTTAACTAAAGGTGGAGGAGTCAATGAGGTAGGAGGATCTTAAAAACTGTAGATGGTCTAATTTTAAATATCCTAAAATGCCAATAAATATAATGGTCCATTTTACCATGCCTAAATTAGATCATAAAAGAATACATAACTTCCTACTTTATCAAAGATCTGCACTGAGCATTGGTTCCCAAAGCTGGTCCTGTTGTTTTTTTTGCTTCAGCCGAGCGCTCATTTACACAGTCAAACCCTTCACTTGATTTAATAATAATCAGATTCGTTTGAACTGTTTGTTCCAAGCACGTAAACATGTTTGAGCTTTTTAACAATTGTATTTTGTAAGTGAAATAAAATCCCAAACTTGTGACTAGAAACAAAATGCAGTTGAAATTAAACTGAAGCAACTTCTTGGATCAAATAAGTCTTCAGTGATCGATTGACGGTGGGCTGGACTGAAAACCAGCAGGTGTGTGGGGCACCAGGATTGGCCTAGAGCAGGGGTGCCCAACCAGTCGATTGATCGCAAGAACGTTTGGCAAAAAATAAATGGCCTACTTGACTTATTTACTTTTTTCGCTAGCCTAAAAATTCATTCAGATATGTGCATGTAATGTCATACATTTCACTGCCCTGGTGTGTGTTTAACCCTTGTCGAATGGGTTGTAAAAGTCTCTTCCCTGAGTGCTGGTCGACACTGCTGGAAAAAAAGGCCATAGGATCTCCGTAAATAAAGAGTGTTGTGTGTGTGTGTGCTACACAAGAACGGTCTCTTGGTTATTGCCTCACGAAGCCCACATTCGCTACAGTGCATAGTGGAGCGAAAGAGACTGGCCGTGACAAATTCGCCAACAGTTTGATCGCCTATTTGATAGTTGTAGTCTTTGAGCGAAAACGATGAAGCGAAGAGACCGGAAACTTAACTGTTACCACAAGGAATGGGAGCATGATTATGGTTTTTTTTTGTACTTTCGCATTCAAATCTGCAATGCTAAAGTCGGCACGAAAACGGGAAATAGAGAACAACATTTCAAAACTGCACACAAAACGTCTGATGTGGACTTTCCCGCGAAAAGTGAGAAGGAAAAGAAAAGTGGGAAAAATGAAAATCTCAACTAGCAATAGTCGGTTTTCACGAGGCCGAACACAAGAGGGAAAGCGGCAATCGTCGCATCGCTCCGTGTGAGCCACGTCCTGGCTCAACACAACAAGTCATTCAGGGATCCAGAAGTCATTAAAAAGCGTTTGCTGAGGCAGCTGACCTGTTGTTTGGAGATTTCAAAAACAAACATTTTTGGCGAGGATCAGACAGCTGTTGCCTGAAATCAAAGAGTTAATCGAGTCATTTAAACGTGGTGAATATGCCCAATTAAAGGATAACCAGTGGCTTCAGGATTTAGCTTTCCTCACACTTGACTGAACTGCCGAATGAGCTGAATGTCGCGCTGCAGGGACAAAATAAAAATGTCATCGACACGATCAGCAGTGTCAACACGTTCCAAAAAAATGACAAGTGTTCTCAAGTTAGCTTCTCAGTGTCAATGCTCACATTAAGTTGGGATATTATTTTTTCTAAAATGGGGAACATTGCTTGTTCACTGTAGCATGAGTCACTTGCTTTTATTTGCTGTCGTTTTAGTGATGGTATCGTTATTGTACTGATGTGTCCACAGTCTGTTTTTCCTATATCAGAGCTTCAAATTCAAAGTGGTACAGTAGATCGCGCTGGACTGGCAAATGAAAAAGTAGATCTTACATTAAAAAAGGTTGGGCACCCCTGGTCCAGAAGAGGTAGTTGAACACACAGCAACATTCAAGCGAATGCATACATTTCTGTCTGCAATAGACTGGTGTCTAGTCCCGCCTAGTGTCCTGTACTTGTTGGGTTGGGCTAAGACCCACCTGGACCCCGTTAGGATATACTGAAAATTGGTTAATGGGTGGATTTTACACACCCATTCTATGAAATTAATACGTCTAAAGGGCTTGAGCATAGATTTGACGTAAAATAAAAGACAGCTTTATTCACATGACTGGAATTATGTAGTGCGAAAATTGTTTGGGGTGGGATTCTCCTCTTTCTTGCAGTACGGGAAAGCGGACATGATGGCGATCACACTCGCGCAGTCATTGGGACAGAACATCGGCATCTTCTCAGACAAGAAAAAAATGATCAACGGTGAGGTGCCGCCTCTTCTGCTCTTCACTGCAAAGTTTTGAATGATAAAAAAAAGACATGGAAAGCGCTTTGCCTCTGTGCGTGTGTGTGTATTTCTCTTATGCTGTTCTTGTTTGCGCAGGGGAGTGCAGGTGTGATGATAAGTGGTACGGATGCGTAATGGAAGACGCCGGGTAAGTTGCCCTGAAAGTGCCATGTGAATAAAGAGCCCTGCTTCTTGTATCTTCGTGTCAAGTGATCTTTCGGGTAAAATGCATTTCCATCTTTGTCTGTGTACGGCCACTTTAAAGCATCTGCAATGCTTCTGCTTCAGTCAAGTAGGAAATGCTGCTATTCTGTTAGGAAATGTCCCTTCATCTTTTGATCGGTGGTACGATTGAAGTCAAGCTCTACAGTTGCAGCATTATTTCATTCCACATTTAAGTGACGACGTTAAGCGTCTCCATGAACTGCCTCTTCTTGGCAGAATGGACGAGGATGTTAATCATTAGATGATTGTATTAAACCTGGCTCATGCCTTTTTCACCGGGGGAGCAGTAAGAGTGTTCAACACTAGAGGTCAGCACTTACCGGCTGTAGCTTTCCTGGCTTTTCTACGTAAGGCTCGACATTTTCCTAGAGGTCAAACTGTATTTAAATGTTGATAGAATTAATGACCAATATCTAAGGAGCCGTTTAATGTCATAGTTCGTATAAGATTACAATGAAAACGTTAGAAGTTAAAAATCGGAGACTTGTATATTTGGATTTTGTTCCTAATTAGGGAAATTCATTTACTCCACTGATCTTGTAGCCTACATTAAAACATTTATATATATAACCCTTCTTTATGAGCTTATTTTCCTCCATCACATGCTATGAGTGAGAATAGTTTCAGGTTTTGCACTGTTGCTGGCTTGTCCAAGTACATTTTGATACTTGTCTTTATCTTTTTTTTTAAATACTTTTGCATTTCCCCCGAAATCCCAAATGGGACAGCAGGTGAGCAGAAGTTTGGTTTTGAAAATTGCTTGTGTAGTTTAAGCAGCTGCTTGTAAAGGTTGTGTTGATAGAACTAGGTGCTCCATGTCCATCTGCCATTCCATCAAACACTATCGGTGGAGGCCATGTGCTCTGCTGTGCCTTTTCTTTCAGGAGAAAATACAGGCTTCTTGCTAGTTCTGTATTTTTGAGTTTTATTATGGCTGAGGTCACATGCAAGAATGAATAATGCCAAACACTAATTTTCAATGCCGATCATCAGAAAAAAATTGGATGTCTTGACAATTAGCCCAACTCTGTTACCTAGATTGTCTAAATAACTGATACCATTATAGATGTAGTCTCATCTTCAAAACTCATGTCATTAGAAGAGCCATATCAGATGACTGGAGTGGAGTGTAATCAATTGCTATATTCACAAGCAGTGATTGTTACCCATTCCATTGTATCTACAGCTGTGAATACTATATTTTTACCAAGGTTAAAGACTTCTGAGCATGACACACCCAACTATATAGATCACTTTTGAAAAACGTTTCCTTTCCTTCTATTTTGCTGTGAATTTGTATTTATTCAATCCTTAGTTTGTACAGGGGGGAGAAAGCAACAACAGTCTACAAAGAATGTACTTCATCTAAGGAACTACGTTACATTGGGTATTTTTTTGTCCTGTGGTTTTAGAATGGCAAGAGAGGTCTAATAAAGTTTATATTAAAAAGCTTAAGAATATACAGTATAGGATATATACATTTTAACTACTGTATAGCAGGTTGGTTGGACAAGCTTGAGGGTTCAAGTGACAGAAGTGTTCATTATAACCCTACTGCGAGGGAAGTACAGATACAGTATATGGGTTTTTCCTTGCTGTTTTAGTAAGATCAGGGCATGGTGTAGTAAGGTATAGTGAAACTGGAGTTATGGTACATGTCAGAAACCGTGGATATGCAAATTTATAATGTAATCAATAAAACTCCAGAAACTTGACTTTTGCGCAACGTTTACTGATATGTCAGTACATCACTAGGCTTAGCTCAATGTCAATAATACAATTATGGTACGTGCCACAGTCTTGACCAGTTTCCAAGGACAAAAATACTGTGGAAAATCGTAATGTGAGAAATTGAGAAAGCCAACATGCAATTCATCTGCACACACAAAAGGTGTAGCATAGGAAGTTTTATCTTTCCCAGTTATGGAAAGGGAACAGTAACATCTGTTGGTGGGAAACGGATAAATCGATGGAAACATCTGTTCCTAAGGAATTATGCAGGTCCTGACGCAATGGGGAATAAAGTAGAACCCCTCCTATAGATACTTTATAAAACACTTTGGGATGGGACGAAAAGTGTTATATGTATAAATACTATCAAATCAAACTCCTAAATAACTCAGTGAACATCTGTGTTTTATTGACTTCTTAATTGATAGCTTTTAAGTAATTCCAGAATTTAAAGATGGGTAAAATAAGATTTGGAAGGGCCCTCTCATTTCTCCCTAAGGATGAGCAGATCTGCATAGTAAGAGTTCTTGTCAAGGTCAGCCCAGGCCAGTTATGGTGTGTGTAGCACAAAGCCTCCAGTTTTCACACTCCAGCAGGTGACTGAAAGTCATTCACCGGGAGGAGAAGGAGAAGCGTTTTAGATCAGGTTCAGTCATGTAGAACAAGACATTTTGCCGTGCTGATGCAGACATCCAAATTTTCATACTTCAAGACACTTCAAAAGTGTGCCTTGGATTGTTGAAAATATGTGTTGTCTACAAAGAATACTACTGTACTGCCGCACAGTAACTGAATCAAATTACAATACAAAGTACCATACACCATTTTCCCTGATGAATCATGCGGTGTAAAGGTACTGTACTGTAGAAAGAATTTTAATTTTACTTTAAGACACATTTACCCAAGCTACGTTTGTGTGTCAAAAGTTAATTTTATTTTTTATACAGTGCTCAAATCTGAATTTAAATATTCATTCAAGTACCTCACATACAATGCATAAATGCATACAATGATCAGGTTAGATGTTAAATTAGGTTTAGTTGAAATTAGCTAACATTCTTTTTAGATGGGAGAAAAATGATGAATTTAAACTTTTTCGTCTAATGCTGTAAGTTCTTATTTCTTGTAAGTGAGATGAAGTTTTGTAATCATTCTGTAGATTTTGTACTGCTATTATTGTGAATTAGTTTGATTTCTTACTTGAAACCCAGTGGTCAGGCAGTAAGGAAAGCAATCGTGTTTGTTTCCTTTAAAAACACAAGAGAATTGGAGAACACTGTGTGAGTAAAGTGCCATCTCTGCACTAAATACTCCTTTGATTAAGATTGTAAATAGCAGCTGATTTTACCTTTCTCTATTTTTTTTTTAATTTCATGTTGCCAGGATAGGTTTCAGAGGTACTGTATTTCAACACTTGTGCTCTTAATTTGGTAATTCTTTACAGCATCCCTAAAATTTCTAACTGCATCTAGCACAGTGCTCTAATCATTAATTGAAATGTTTTTGAATAATTTAATTTAAAGGTTGTTTTTTTAAACTCATCATCTTAATAGACAACACGCATCCAGTAAATATATATAATGAATGTAGTAAGATACTTTAGAAATCTGCTTGTTAGGGCCCCTAATTCACTTATTCGGTCTTGGACTGATGCTAGTGGAAGTAAGATCTGGCTGGTAGTAAGATATTCATGTACACTAACTCAGCTGGGTGAAGGGTCTAGTATTAGGAATTCCAGGGGTGACCTGTGATTTTCTTCAGCTACTTAATGTCTGTTTCCACTTTTAAAAGTTCAGTAAAATAGTGTACAATTGTATGGATTCATTTAAATTCTATTAAGCCTCCTAATTAGTCATTGTAGGTTGCTTTCAGTATGAGCCAGCTCACTGAACTAATGTCTTGAAAATAAATGATAAAGTCTCAACCGTTTAAGAACTAGTACTGTGAATTAGCATCTTTATGTTTTTACCAGATATTAGAACATTTATACAACATTCAATAATATGACTAAAGAGCAGGAAAGATGTTTCTTTTAAAAAAAAAAGAACAAGTAACCAGCCAGTGCTTTGGACCTGCATACAGAGGGCAGGGTTTTAAAAGCAGTGCATGCTACTGTAGCGAACAGTGGAGCTTTGAGCTTGTGTCTTTTAAAATCAAGCCCTCAGCACTAGCTGGGCATTGTCAAGATCTTAGAAATATCCATCAAGAAAACAGAGCTGCTTCTGCATCTGCGACTTTCATCTGGGATGACTGCCTTTTCAGAATCCCAGTAGGTGTGTTTTTGGTTCACTTTTCTTTTCCAGTGCTCGCGCTTTTCCATTATTCCTGCGTCTGACCCCACTGCCTTTTAAGCTCACCTGTGACACATGGACCAGTGTGCACGAGACGCTCCCTTGCAGTTTAATGTACTGTACATGCTTGATCATTTAAGATCCCGTGCCAGCAGAGGTTCTCTGCATGTGCCGATTAAAGAGACCTTGGATGAGCTGGCACTCTAACAGTCCAAAACACACCTCCAATTGTTAAGATGTTTATAGAGATTCTCAGACCTTTAGGTTCTTGGGAATGCTTGGAGTTTATGTAGAATCATGTGTGCCTTTGCACCTCTTTCATTTTTTCTTCCCTTCCTAAAACCATTTTGTACGCTTGCCGTGTCAAATACAGTTTTAGAGCTGATGACCAAAGTTTTGAAAGCATCAAGTGAAACATGACTGGGAAAAAAAAGAAACATTCACATTAAACTGGGATCCAGGAAGTGGTAACCACTGCCAACTTCACTTGGGTCCTGACAGAGATCAATAGTGTATCTTTTAGTCCATTTACTATTGGGTGCAAAAGCTAAAATGTATTTCCACTTTTTTTAACTTATCACACCTTGAAATGAAAAACTCCCAATTGATTGTGTTCTTTAGGTGCACAGTGCATTCAGGTAAGAGCTAACAGATAAGTGGAGTGCTAACCTGTCCTCTTTTAGGAATTTTGAATTATACCTGGTAGTAGTCTAGTACAGTATGTTCCTGAGGCTTAACAGTTTAGTTTAACAGCATTTTAAGAATTGCACGTTTTTGTTGTTTCAATACAGCTATTACCTTCCAAAAAGATTCTCACAGTGCAACATTGAAGAGTACCACAATTTCCTAAACAATGGGGGAGGTGCTTGTCTGTTCAACAAACCCACAAAGGTAATGTCTGCTTTAAACCTCTAAAACATTCTAAATGTCTGTGCTGTGTGAAAGCATTTTTGGCAACGGCCCAGTGGGTGGTACTCTCATTGATTGTTTTAGCTGCTTCACTGTTTCAAGTAAGGTGCAGTACTTTTCCTGCACCGTGCTCGCCAATACAAAAACACCCAGTGTCTGTAAAAAAAATTGTAATGGTTAGTTTACTGCATTTGCACTTAATTCATGTACTTCATTTAAAGAATCGGAATACTATTACTTCTTTTCAAAGACTTTGTTCTAGTCATATTTCGATCAAACAAAGCAGAAATTAAAAAAAACAACAAGATTTGCAATGACTAAAGAAATTCTTTATTGATGGTTAAGCCATTACTATGATTTATATTTAATGTATGGGCAATTGCATACATGATAAATGCATGTATTACCTTGAACACTTGCCATCTTTCTCAAAAGACTTCTGAAAATCATATGTTCCATTTGCATTCATTACTGTGTTTATAAATTGCAATTATTTTTGGAGGAGGGGGTGTTTGATCACAATTCTGAGGTTTGAATCTGTCTTTAATTAGAGAAGAAAGAAGGGATATATACAGTATTTAGCTTGAGCAATACATTTATTCCCCAGATATAATTGCACCTTGATCCTTGTACATTCCCTTTAAATGTCATTTGTATCTACTTTCTCTTGGACAACATTTAAAGCAATCATTTGGAACTTCAATAGGTTATTTCTTTTTTTAAATATCTACAAACGCAAGATTTCACTGTATGCTTCTAAATCTCCAGTGTTTAAATGTACAGTTCCCGTGTAAATGTCGGTCCTATCTCACCTGTCCCACATGGACCAGTTTGCACAAGGAGGTCCTTGTGATGGAACATGCCCACTCCTTTCATGTTTATTTCCTATCGCGTAGCTTTTAGACCCCCCGGAATGTGGCAATGGATTCGTTGAGCCTGGAGAGGAGTGTGACTGTGGTACGCCTGCTGTGAGTAAGGAGTGTATTTCTGAAATCCTCTGGGCTCTCCAGTAGATATCTTACAACTCTGAAGTTTACCCCAGTTTGAAACTGTTCGAAAAGAGATGTACTAGTGGATTTTGGAATCGTCTGGAATGAGTCGTCAAGCATGAACTTCCATGTACTGTATTACCTTAATCTTAATAAGTTAAAATCTGTCTTCAATAATGCTACTGACATGCAGAATTCACCACTGCAAGTGACCCTTAACGTCTGCTAGTCTGCTTTCAATAACACCTGTGAAACTGCTAGTATTTTAGATTACGCAGTTTAGTTAAGTACTGGAGGAGTTTAACTTAAAATGGACAATATAAGAAACAGAAGCCTTTTAGTCTAAATATTCTATTCATCAAGTGTTGTGGATTAATCTAATATTGCATTTTGGTTTTGCTTTCAGGAATGCAAGAAGGAAGGTGAGAACTGCTGTAAAAAGTGTACGCTCACTCAAGGCTCCAACTGCAGCGATGGTCTCTGCTGTAAGAACTGCCAGGTATTGCGAGCTTCCCTCTCCCAAACACAGGACAATGAAAAGGAATTAAAATTGAAAATAATTCAGAATACTCAAACACTTGGTTGCTTGCCTATGTAAAAGTCAGCCACCCAAGTCAGAAGAATTTGCCTTTCGAACGTGGCAGGAAGGGAAGGACAAGAGGCACAATGCGCACTTGCGGATAAGGACACACTCACTGCCGCTTTGGGAGGTTTTCATTAACTTTACACTGAATGAGACCCCCAAAACTAGCATTTACCACCCTGAGATTGCTAGACCACAGGATGGTCTGTAATGTCTTATTGTTAATATTGTAGAATGTGGTGCACATTCCAAGGTACCAAGGTACAGCATTTTAATTTAAATAAACAAAATAATGCTTGTGTTTGGCTACAGATATACATCAGGTAACGTAGTCTGTGGGATGTCCTTGTTTATAATTAAACTGTCATTTCCCCAGCTACTGTACCTAAAGCAGTTATCAGATAGACCTGCAACAGAGAGTGGTGGGGAGACCTCACACAGATTCCTGAAAAACTGCGGTGAATTATGTGCTGCGAGTGGAGCACATTGCTTCTACATTCTTCCCCATGCTTGCTTAATAAGCACTTAAGGTTTCTGCTGGAACATGTTGAAGGATAATTTTATAATACTTCTAACCTGAAATGAGCACAAAAAACCCGTAGACAGTAACAGACATTTCACAAGCTGCGTAATAAAGAGGTATACCCAGATGTTCTTATTAAACCTTTTTTATAGTAGGGATTGTCAAGATTCAGATGAGAAGGGGTCATTGTGAATGTGATTCTATTCCTGACAAATTGTTTTGCAGAAAGGCAGGTTTATCTGGCTTGCCCGAAAAAGGTCATTGCGGAAAAAAAATGCTTTAGTTTTAAAACCCCTCAATTTACTTGGACGTCTATTTGTACAAGTAATTGATATGTAGAAGCATGAGCAGGTCCAAGCTTATTTCTGGCTAATCAGTACATTAACAAGCGACTCATGCTCCAGTAATTCAAGGTGAGTGTGCTGTGTAATGCAGATACTCTATAAGTTAGTGTCAGGTCTGATTTCTGAAATGTATACTTGTAGTGATTTAGCCTGAACAACTTCAGACAAATTCTTTCTTTAAACCGTTGGACCATGTTTCATGCATTATTTACTGGTGCCCCAAGAATCAATTCTTTCTCTGATCAGGGTCTTATGGGTCAGAGGATCATAGCTTCTTACACTACCACTGTTCAAACCTGCTTTTGGAATAGTCTTAAATTCTAGGTCTCTAACAGCAGTGTTAACAAAGTCTTTAATTATAATACTTTTTTGGCTACCATCAAATAGTCATGGAAATCCAGATGAGTTCAACTCAAATGGCGTGGGTTTTCCTTCCTCGGTTGAAGCCAACTCACAATAAAACGTTTTGTTCATTACTACAATAATAAACATACAGTAAACTAATAAAGGATTCTTCTCTATGTAGTTCAAACGCTTCTTGAAAAAATGTGAACCTTGCATGAACTGAATTACATAGTGTCATTTCTTGTTCTTTTTCATTTCGATATAGTGGAAAATTCATAAACTCAATTGATGAGGTCGAATTTTAGGTGCTTTACTGAAACCGTCCGTTATTACTACAGGAATATTGCTTTTATTCAGAAGACACATCTAGTAGGCTATGGTCTTTTTAGTTTGGATGCTTTGCAAAAGCTATACTTTATTCCCTACAAACTTTTATTTGGAAGGAAATCGTTTGAAATTGTGATCAATGCTGCATTGAACTTTTCCAGTCATTGAACTTCAACATCTTATGTAAGTCTGTTGTACTGCTTCGTGTGTAAATTTGATGTTTGCTTTAAATTCTTGCCTTTCAGTTGGAGTACATGGGTGTTGTCTGCCGAGAGGCTGTGAATGACTGTGACATTCCAGAGAACTGCACTGGCAACTCAAGTCAGGTACGTCAATGGGAAGAAGTGTCTGGGCTGCTAAGGTCTTTTTTTCAGCACCGTTTTTTGTAGATATTTCTAGTCTCATGCCTTCTATTCTTTGTTGGCTTTTATTTAATTCATCATTCCCCTATCTCAAAAATAAACTGTTAAGAAATGCAGATGTAAAGTTTTTTACCATGTAGACAATTATAACAATCAAAACAAATGCTTCAGTTTCACCTGTTCGGTCTATACACAAAAAAAAACGCGTACTTTTTTTCCAGTGTCCACCAAATGTTCATAAGATGGATGGCTATACTTGTGAAAAGGACCAGGTAAATGTATTTTTTTATATATTAACTTTATTAATATAGAGTGACTTGTGCAGCTTATTGGAGTCATTTTGTGGTAGGTACTATACCTTCGCATAGTTGGATTAATCCAAGAATTAAACGTGAAGACCGCATCACAGGGTCATGCATACAAATGACACAAAACACCAGAGAGCACTGTTCTGTGTTCATAGAGGCTTGCATGTACGGTATGGGAGATCTTGGTACACAGCTGTGTGAAGTTATTTAATTTTCAGTCAGATTTGCAGAGCATTCTGAGATCTGCTAGCACAGCTGGCTTGAGGCAACCCCAGAGCCAAATAGCACACAGCTCCAGACCCCTGGAATTGTGGTGTCCAGGCTTAAGGGCGCTGTTGTCTAATGCATGTGACAGCAGTGCTCTCGCAGTCTCTGTAGTGCAAGGTTGCGTCATCCTGCATTAAGGCAGTCTGCTGCAACTGGCCGTACTGCTGAAATGAGGGGAATTACCACCATTTCCAGGATTGACAGATAGTGCTGGCGTGGACAGTAACTGTGGATCTTTCAGAAAAAAAGCATGGCCAACTGATAAGCCCTATCCATCACTGTCGTCTTGTCTCACGATGATTTTAGTGATGCCACACTGACATTCAAGATCAATGCTTGTTTGTAAGGATCTCTTCGCTGGAACCTTTTGTATCTGAGTGCTGATAGGTATGATGATTTTGAAACTCAGGGGTGCTTGGAAAGCCATGTTAGTGCCCCTGAAGTTGTTCTTGTCCAGGGAGACACATTCCCCATGGTTCCTTCTATAGCTTTAAAAAGCACAAACTGGGCTGGTGAAAATGTAACTGCATTAATATTATTGACATTTGAGTGAACCTTTCTTACATTTTTAGGGTCGTTGCTTCAATGGAAGGTGTAAAACGAAAGACAGACAATGCAAATACATTTGGGGAGAGAGTAAGTGGAAGAAGAATGAATTTTCCTTTCAAATATAAACAAAAGTAGTCACTTTAAGGTACATGCTAGCATTTGTTTTTCAGAAGCAACTTCTGCAGACAAGTTTTGCTATGAGAAACTCAACATTGAGGGGACTGAAAAGGGAAACTGTGGGAAGGATAAAGACACTTGGATTCAGTGCAACAAGCAGTAAGGCATTCTGACATTTTTGTGCTCTGTTATGACATGTGGCTCAGATTGACCTTGTTATAAAAACAGATGCTTCAGTTTCTAAAAATCTTCAAATTCCATTCTGTACCCATGTCCAAACTGCTATTAAAAGCTGTTTGAAGAAACCTTGATCATTTTTAATTGTATTTTTTTGCTTGATCTAGAGACGTGCATTGCGGGTATCTACTGTGCTCCAATATCTCTCCTGCACCCAGACTAGGAGAGCTGCAAGGTGGTTTGACTTCCTACACAGTGGTTCAGCAAAGTGCTGCCTTAGACTGCAGGTAATGAATTTATTGCAAAGGCAATGTGTCACAAAGTCTGCCCTCCTCCTTTTCTGTGTCCTGCTGTCTCCTACAGGTGCTTTTGTGTGAGATTCAGTTTGATTTCCATTTCCATTCAGAGCTCAGAGAATGTGCATGTCTAAAATGCAGCTGGAAACCAGATTTCAGCTTGATTTCTATTTGTTCTGCAATGTTTTTAACCAGTTGCTTTTTGGCAGTTCCATTTTAAATGTGTTCTGACACAGAGGCCTTCACTTGTTAACTCTTACGTCTAGACCCAATGTTTACTCTGCATAAACTGCAATTCTTTTGTCGGGTCTTTCACAAATGCTGAAAAAAAAACATGCAGGTCTCTGTGATTTGCAAAAAAATGTTATATTCATTATGGTTCCATTTCATACACTTGATGATTTGTAATCACAAAATGCAATAAGTAATTTCGTAATAATTTGAAAATATATTTCTTTTCCAGATAGTCACATGGATATGGAATTCCATGGAGTTTATAATAATAATAATAATAATAATAATAATAATAATAATAATAAGGGATGATTTATATTGGTGTACTGGCTTTAGGATTTTGCAGTGCTTACCCTGATTTTCATAATATGTACAATATATCAGGGTGGTAAATTAATCATCAGGTTTTGTTGGTAGTTCTTCAGAACTACAGCTTTATTTTATATTACGAGTGGAAGTGAAAGGGGCTGAAAAAATGTCAATGTATACTACCCGGATGCTGTTTTTAACGTGGTGTCTGAAGAGGAGAGAAAACGAGGGCTGGTTTCTGCTGTGCTGTGTCCCCGCAGTGGTGGCCATGTGATAATTGACGGAGATACGGATCTGGGCTACGTGGAGGATGGGACTGCCTGTGGCACCGACAGGCTCTGCTTAAGCCACAGGTGTCTCCCGGTGCAGGAATTCAATTTCAGCACTTGCCCCGGCACCACTGATAAGAAAATCTGCTCAGGGCACGGGGTACGTTTAATATCCAATTAACGTTCCCAGCAGTTGACTGATTGCTGGGAGGTACAGCAAGCACGCCGCATGGCCGCAGCCCTTTCTCACCGCACGGGACGGTTGCGATTACTTTAAATTGATTGGAGACTGCGAGTGGCTCCGCACGTGGTATTAATTGTCAGCCTGTTAAATTCACACAGCCCTGTTAAAGGCGCTCGGTTCCCAGGAGCGACTTTTCATGAAATAGACGTTTTGTTAGGTGATCGAACCCTGGTGGGGGGCCGAGACGCCCTCGTCACGTTTGCACACGACCCCCGTTTGCTCGTTTAAGTCGCGCTGTAAGGGTGCTGTGGCTCTGTGATATCCAGGGGCTGCCTCCCTGACAGAATGATTGCAAAAGTAGCCCTGCTAGAGGATTTTGGATCCATCCGTCCGTGAGGCTCCAGGAAGCTATTTGAAGAAGACCCTGCCCGGTCACTTCCTCACAGTAACCACTTTAACTAGACAATCGCACATCATGGAAGGTGAATAAACTCAAAACACGGTCATCGTACGGTCCTTCATTCTTATGCATGTGCCTAGAAAAAGGAAAGCTTACTTAACTAATTCTTCTACGAAGCAGCAGCATTAATGAATGCAAAGCATACAGTAGATCATATTCAGTTTTTCAGAAGCTTTTTGATAGTTACTTGCAACAGAGAAATTCTTTAAATTACAGATCTTAGGCATTCAATGTCAATCCAAAGAAAAGCAATACAATTTAATCTACTGAGGAAACTGTTATAAACAAAATAGAGATGTATACTCCACGTAAAGGGATATACTGTAATTATGGAGGACATGGGGAATCTGAATTGGAACATCATTGCTCTGATCGTTGCTTGACAGATTGAATTAAGGGCCACTCTTGTGCTCCTGTGCCCCATGTGGAACATTCGCTGGTGTGTTCCAGTCTGGTTGACTGAGCTCACCAGGCACTTACTGCTTTTGTGCACATGGTTTACCCAGAGTGACCCAAAGGACTTGAGCCCTTCACCAAAGTCAATAGTGATCTACCCCAATAGCTTACAGATGCAGTCCTAAGTCAAGTCATTCTTGAACGATTCCCACTGAGTAAACGAGTACACTAGACTCCTTTTTGTGACTCCAGAAGTTTTTATTACTGTGGGGCATTGTCTAGCTTGGCTTGGGGATACTTTGGTATTATGCGGTGGTCTTATACAACAACAGCTTGCATTAGGGGCATTATTACAGGTACTGTACCATAGTTTCCCCACTCTTTCAAAAACTAAATTCCGTCCTTTTCTTAGTTTCAGAAAAGAAGATTTTTTTTTTCTTTGGATAGAAAAACTAGTGTGTTTTTTTAATTTGTGATAGTGCTTCCCTAAATAACCACTATGGGCTCTGCCACACCATTGCCAATACTTAGCTTGGCTCCAAAGGATCTACACAAGAACTCTACAGGGAGATCTTTAACCTACTGTCCCATTAGCCTTAATCTAAGGGCTGGCACTGGGTTTTACCAGTCATTCTCTAATTTGTCAGCTCGGACACTAACCTAGCTATTTTTGTCTCGCCGCAAGGCCCTTTAGCACTCTATATTTGTTTTTGTTTTTCAAAAACTTTATCGTTCTCTCTCGTCTTAAGAGTAGACAACCACTCCCGGTTACGGAAACTGTTTATAGAGGAATGTGATAACAATCAGATGTATTCTATTCCTCTAAAAACCTTGCTAATGCTTTGATATTCCTCTCTCGTGTGTCTCTAAGCTGCCATCTAGTGCCTTAAAGTGACACTAGCACTCCTAGACCTGGCTTCATTTTTACAAATCTCTCTAGATTATTTACTGTACTGTGGTCAGTGCACACAATAGTCCAGTTAATACACAAATGGGTCACTTTCTAAGCCACATCGGAAGCTAACTGACTTTCTTTACTTTTCTTAGGTCAGTCACACTTTTCTGTGGAGTTCAGCTATACTTGACCTAGATTTAATTGTTCCTTATTGTGTACACAGAACTAAGCAAAATTGTTTTGATCTTTGAACTAGTGCTGCATTTATTTTTCTCTTTAAAAGCAAGGAAACGGCAAAGGCTTAATTTTCAAAGAAATATGGCAACAAAATGTAATAGCCGAATGACTTATTTAAAGGGCGTTGTAATTATCTGTCCTAAATTGTATCACTGGTGACCCAGTTTGACAGTAAACCATAATCCAACAATAGTTCAAAAAGACATTTCAGTACTTATTCTTGCTCTCTTCTGAATCAAAGGATTTATTAATCTGTCGTTGCAATAAAAGACTTTGAAATGGAAATTTACCTTAATAATTAAAGGACAGTGTCATTATGTGCATGCTCATCAGTATTTTTCAACCAAAAGTACAGTGTTGATCACTGGTAAACTGATAATTGTCATTTTTAATTGCATTTGTCAATGGGAGAAGTCGTGATTCCTGCATTAACTTAAAAGTTCTTTTCACAGCTTAATTGGTGAAAAGCACCAGATGGGTGAATTGTTAAACCTTTTGCTTAAGGATAAGTAGGTTGCAATTTATTGATAGTTACTATTGTGGAAGTAAAAATAGGTTGAGACCATTTCAAAGGGATTTTTAACATTCTTTAGTTTCTACTGTCATTCTGTTTCACAGTATATTGTAAAAATATCTTTGTATATAAAAGATTACTTTTAACTGGAGAAATTTTTCTGCAGTTGTTTTCCAGTTATTTTGTATTTTCTATTTCAGACAGTACAGTAGGTTAACTAAGAGAATATGTAGTGGGGGAGCATATCCATATTGTTCAGGTGTTTGTATACCATGCTGTGGCAGTCACATGTGCTGTCTTCCACCTCCTTATGATAAACCTTAGAGAAGAATCTCGAGACTTACAATGCAGGAGTAGTTATTTCCCTTGGGGAAATAGTGCTAAATAGAAACAATTGTGAAATATTGTCATAGACCATACAATAAAATATTAAAATATATAATGAAATTATTTCAATAAATATTTAAATTTGGGGAAAATTCAGGCTTACGTCATTTACTTCCTGTCTCATGAGACGTAAACGCAAAATCATTAGTTTGTGAGATTTGATGAGCTAGTTGATGGTGCCATAATTCTTTGTTGCTTGGCTCACATTTCCTAAGTTAGCAAGTCCCAATGTACTGCGCCATGTTGAAAAATGACACAGGTTCTGCTTTAGCTGAAAAGACTTTGAATGTAGTTGTTTCTGATTCTCAGTACTAAGCTTAAATGAACTGATTTGTAAGAATCTTGGCCAAAAATGTAAAGTAAAAAATTCAGGCTCAGTGCTATATAATAGAAAAGTCTTATTTTGTAAGGCTCTGTCTTACTTTGTGCTGCCTTCTCTCCTGTATCCTAGGTGTGCAGTAATGAGTTGAAGTGTGTGTGTTACTTAGGCTGGACAGGGGAGGCTTGTGACATTGTTTTTCCTCTGAGCTCCTTAATTGCCGGACCCACAATCCCTGTCAACGGTAAGTACTTGATAGTATCATTTTCGGGTGATGCAACTAGATTTTGATTTGGGATAGGCTTTTGAAATTGAAGCCACACAAAATAAACTTGAATTGTTTGCTTAAGAGCCAAATTCCCTGCCTTTTTAAAATAGTGCTAAAAAATAAAAATCAGTTTTGAATCCTGTTTTTTACTCACCCACTCCTCATCTGTTCTTCATTATTTAACTAAAAGGGTGTTTTTACATCCAGGGACACATGCGTTTTCTAGGAGCAGTGACTTCCTGCTGCACATGAGAAATGGTTAACCTGTTGTAGACATTTACCCACAGAAGAAAACATGTAGATCAGCTTTGATTACTGTCTTGGCTCCTCCAGACACAAACTGTTTATTCTGTTAAGATCACTTGTAAAGATACAGTCACATTGCAATTTTACCTTTTGTGATTTAAGGTTTAGAAAAATTATATTCGGCTATTTGCCTTCTGTTGAGGTAGAAACATTAAGCAGAAATTTCCATTTTTAAATTCATAACACAAAATAGTAACGGTCATATCTCTAATAATGCTCCAATTAGATGACTTAAATTAACTTCTGGATTAAAAAAAACAAATGCACTGCTGAATAGTGATGGAGTGATTATTTGAGCTCTGCGGACAAAACGCAGAATTAATTGGATTTTGCAAGCAAATACCATATTAGTCACTGGATTATGAGCCTTGGTGGCAGTGATTTATTTTTGAAAGTGTTCAAACAAGTTTGGTTTTTTTACAAATTGTTTTCGTCACTGTTTACAAAATTCACTGTGAGTAGGATTGGTCAGTCTTCAGATAATCCATTGCTGTAAAGTCTTGAGACGTCGTTTTGTTGATTGTTTTAAACATAATTGAGGAACGGCACTGGTGCAGGAGCTAGCAAGGCAGCGCTGGGGCCCTGGGTTCAGCTCTGGACCTGGGCTGCTGTCTGTGTGGAGTTTGCATGTTCTCCCTGTGTTCACATGGGTCACCTCCCACAGTCCAAAGACATGCTGGTACAGTACGTTTATTGGCCCTAGTGTGAGTGTGTGCATGTCTGTGTTTGTGATCGTGTGTGCCCTGCGATGGACTGGCATCCCATCCAGGGTGTATCCCTCCTTGCACCTGTTGGCTGCTGGGATAGACTTCCGCTCCCCCACAACCCTGTATTGGATAAAGTGGTGAGGAAATGGATGGATGGATCTAACAGTTGATCCTTAAAGCACGAGGACTAAAAAGTGGTCTAAAAACCAAGTCAGCTGCTGAATGCAATTTGGCTGCTGTTGAGTTTCATTGTCAGTGAAGCCTATTACAGGACTCTCATTTTGAAGAAAGGTTAGTCAATAGAGGTGTACTGTATGTGTCCAAAGGTATTTGCTTTCCAATGTGGGAAAACTTAAATGGAGTATTATAAACCAATTATATTATGTTTGAGATTTAATGTTTGCTACCATATGTAGCGTATTAATGGGCATCAACATACAGTCATTTATTAGCAATAAAAAGAACTATTTGTTTACGCATTAATTTAAAGTCAGCGTGTTAATTATGTGTCACTTTCTGGTCTTTTTTTATAAAACTTAGATTCCATTTTTATTATCATTGTGTTTTCTGTTGAAACTGCTTTCATACATTTTTTGTTGACAGGGTCATGTCTTTGTTGGATTTCTTGAGTGGTGTAACAGTGAGGTTAGATTTCAGTTCTTGTCTGTTGTGAGCCTACTGTGGTGATTGTCTGTACCATCTGTGTTTTTTGTCATAATCACTTTCTTAAATCCCTGTCTTTCTGTAACAGAAGTGGTTTATAATGTTCATTCTATAACTTTGTTACATTTCCCACATCCCACCTACTGGATATACTGTTTAATTTAAATTCATTTTTCATTTTGTTCTTAGTGTATATAAATCACTGAGTTGAGACGTTTAATCACATGAGTGAAGGACATGTACCTTACACACATTTATCTGTATGGAATAATTTGAATTTCTGTAACATTTCATTTGATCTTTTAAATATATTTCTGCAATGACAAAATAATTATGTCTAGATATGTGCAAATATTGTGTTAACTGCTATTCCCTATAGTTGTACAATCTGTTATGTGGTAGAAAAGTATCAGTACTCTGAGATGTTAATACAATTAATTATATTTCAATTATTTCTTTACTGTGAAAGAGTGTAGAATTTATTTGGTACCTTTTCTTTCATGGATTCCAATGCAATGCCATTTTAAAATAAAAATGGATATTTATTTACCCATGTAAATAATAACAGTAAAATAATACAATGCAGTGATGTAAATGTATTTGATTTAGATATACAGTATGTGAAAGGGAGCTACTTTTTCCACCAGGGAAGTTCAGCATCCACCTGGGTGATATATAGCAGGCATTATGCATTACGTAGTCCCATTACAGAGTAGATTAAGTGAGATTCGTCTGCTTCATCAATAAAAGTAAGGCTGAAATCTAGAGAGACTGGATTGAATTTTGCTATGATCATAACATCTGGGCTAACACCCTGCAAACAGTGTCATGCGACTGTACAGTCAGAATCACTGACATCTCATCTGAGCTAAAGCACAGTGTTACACCAACACCACTTACAGAAATCTGCTGTTCCTTGAAAGCCCTCCATCCTAGTACTGACCAAGCCCAGGCTTGCTTAGCTCCTAGGATCTGACAAGATCAGGCTGTAAGATAGAAGAGCTGTTGAGTGCCACCATACGGTTTTGGGTTTTGCTGAAAGGAAGCTGGGAATCACTGGGGCATCAGCTCATTGTGCTGCTTTGTGCAATGGGTCACTGGAATGGTTTAGGTAGCAGCCTTCTATGCAGTGCACTAGCTTGGGGACAATTAGCCTTACTTAGTATGGGATGCATTCAACAAAGACATATTGACGTCTGTGTAGATTCCTCTAATGTTTTTTCCCGTCCCTTTTCAAACAGGTGTCATTAGCACCAATATCATCATTGGTGCCATTGCTGGTACCATTCTTGTGCTGGCTCTGATTTTAGGAATTACCGCATGGGGCTATAAGTAAGTAAACAATACTGTGTGGATTAGCCGTGCAAGGAAAATTTCAAGCTATCTCTTTAGACCACTGAATATTCTGGAATTATGACATTTTAAAATTCAATTTTGAACTATTAAACCCAGTATAGAACTGGATTCTTCCTTGAGGTAGTGTGACTAGAAGGACTAGTGAACATAAACCTATGGTTATTTGGTTTGGGAGAGGACTTTCTCTATTTTAGGGATGACAAAGCCGGTGTTTTTTCCTGGCCTCCTCTCAGTTCACTTTTCCTTGCTTGCTCTTAGTCGTGGAGTTTTGAGTGGCAGATCCTGTTTGGCCAGAGGTCAGAGATATAACCGCTATCCCCAACAATCTCACGCTGTAACCGTCAGCTCCAGTAAACTTACCTACAGACTTTTATGTCACCCTGAACAGATTTGTTTTAAGACTTTACAGTGTTGTGGGTCAACAGCTCTTGGCAAAGAAGATTTCTGTCTGGTCTGTCTCTCCCATAGAGGGCGAGGAATCGTCTCTCTGCCCTCCCTGTGTGCATTGTGCAGGGTAACTGGTCTCTGGGGTGATGAGGCTCCATTTCCAGCATCTGCTGCTTCCTTACATATTTAGTGCAACAATCCCTATTCCCTACAAAATGGCCGTACAGCAGTATTTCAGATCTCAAGAAATAAATTACATCAATTTAATGTTGTACAATGATAATGTATATACAGTATATATTGTTTTTATAAGACTCCCCAAATGAGAATGGAAGCAATCTGACAGACACAAACACAGACAGTATTAATTAATACATTTTTTTACTGGGTGTGATTTTCTGTCAGGTAAAATATATACAGTATCAGTCATGTACTACCCAGAAGTAAAATAAATAAATGTTTTTTTTATAACTTATGGCAGTACTCTTCCTGGTCAAGGTTTCACATTTCCTATTTGAAATGCTTCATATGCATATAAGAACAACTGAAGTCATTTCATTTCTTCGCAAAATAATGGTGAAATACTTAAATCTGTTGCCATAGATTTCATAATGTGTGAACTGTAATTCTTTATTGATAATGTGACTGTAATTCTCCTTTGTCATTTCACTAACACAGGAATATCCTCTGTAAAGTCTTTACAATGGTAACTGATTTTTATTTCTTTCTGTTCTCCAACATGGAAAGAAATTATCGCCAACGAAGGTAGGCACCATTTGAAGTCAACAAGTTTGTTTTTTTATAAGTACTGTTATCTGTAAATCCCAGTGTTAATACATTTTTGTCAAGTAAGTATGTGAAATTGTATCAGTGATTTTACTAGATTATTTCATATACATTTAATTTTAAGTGAGTGGTAGCCCTCTATGATTCTGGCTTCTAAGGTCAAACATTGGACAAATGTTACACTACAGCTCCATACCTCTGTTACAGGACTGGCTCTCTTGCTTGCTGGGAGGAGGTCAAATGACTTGTAATGTACTGTATTGCCTCATGTTAAGGACAGGGTCTCCTATGTGTACTGGCAAATGTGAAATACAGTATTTCAAAGCATGAATTTTATTTTAAAAAGGACATACTTTCTAATGGCCAGGGGATTTTTTTTCCTGACTTAAATCAGGAAAAAAAGCTGGGAAAGGTATTCATGTCCATTAAATGTAGTGTAAGACTATCGCAAAAGACAGGCAATTTTTAAACTGAAATAATTATCATCTGGGTAACTGTTTTGCCCCCACATTTCTCTTCCTAATATAGTATAACCCCTAAAACATCAAAGTTTCTAACTAACATTACTGATCCTTTTCACTTTTGAAAGAGATTAGTATTATCACAATCGTGCTTGTTTCTTTTTTATCTTTACAAGTCAGTTTAGTAATTCAGTGAATAGTCAGGGTTGTACAGGATCTTCTGTAAAATTGCTTTATAGAAAAAAATACGGTTATTCCCTAAGAGTCTTTGGATTTGAATACATAGTGCAAATGTGGTGTATCATACTCTAAAAATGAAAAAGAAAAAGCAAAAACGTTTTCTATAACAGGTTGAATACATTTTCGCAAAGGCTGAAATAAACAGCCGTGCAGAAAAAACAATTCTGCATTTCATCTGTCTACATTCTTTTATGGTCTCGAGGCAATTTGGAGGGACGTTATTGGCAGGTTATTCCACACCTTATTATATTATAAAAATTAAGTTATAGGTTAGACAACCCATATATAAAGGGCCATTTAAATCAAAACATTTAATTTAAACATTTAAATTCAAACTCCGAATACTGGACACAAACATGCCTTTATTGACTGGGACAGGAATAAGAGAATTTCATATTTACTGGTGTGTCAGTACTCTTGTCTTAAATATTTGTCTTCGGTTGTACAATTTGTAAGTCCTTGTTTTTGCATTGTGAGTTAAGTCACAGTATATCTCAATTTGCTTTAATTGGACTTTTTCACAAGCACGGTGCAGCTTGTATTAAAGAAATGCTGCTGTTTTCTTGCTTGCATCGAAGAGGCTAATGGAATGCGCAAGCACCTCTTGCCTTGTCTTTATTTATTGTGCGTCGCAGGCTTCCCTGTCTGATCAGGTCTCTTCTTCTGTCATGTCTTTCCTCTTGCTTGTTTGTAGAGAAATGCCACCGGGAGACTATGTTAAAAAGCCAGGGGATGCCGACTCCTTCTATAGTGACATGCCTCCTGGAGTCAGTACAAACTCTGCAACTAGCTCTAAGAAGAGGTCTGCTTATCTGTCGCATTTTCAGATATGTTCCTTCACTCCATCCATCCCATCCATTAGTCAGAACATTTCATTGTTTGGCATCAGGTTTGAGCATTTCTTCCTTTTCGTTCTCATGTGACTTGTAAATGCCAGCCTTTTTCTTTGTTAATTCCTTGCATTTTGGTGTTAAGAAAGAGAGTGCTTCTCAAATTTAGAAGTGTTCATAAATGTATGAACTGAATTGACTAAAACCACTGCTGTAGGCAAAGAAAAAGGTTACTGTATTCACCGTGTTTTTCTCTCTTCAGATATGTGACTCTTTCACACCCATGGTCTGGTTTCAGTTTTTCACTCACACATTCGTCTTTAAAAAGATTTTTCATCATGATCAAATCAAAGGTTTTAGAAAGAGATCCACAGGAACAACCGGTGCAGGATTTTAAGCTGTTGATTTGGAATCTTGATCATAATCCTTACTGAAGCACAGCTCCTTCTCTTTCTAATAAAGCATTCTCGGTCTTTTCATTTGTGGTTTTGCTAAAGCCAATATTATTGTCAAGATGATCCATGAGATCCTTGGTTTGGAGTCACATTATCTCTTCTCATAACCAACTCACTGGTCTGATGGAGCTAATGTTATCCTGTCCATTTTAAATTGAACATATTTAAAGACTTCTGCAGTATTGTTATGAAAAGACAGAAATAATTACACTGTTAAATGTTTATTTTTCTGTCAAAACCGTATCCATGACATTGCTGATTCTTGTTCAATAATAAAGGCAGTTTTTTAACTAAGTGACATATTTTTAAGCTGAATGGTGGTTCATCTGAGAGTTCAGGTTGACTTTTACGATTTGTTGATGTACAGGTACACATAAAGGCCATGTGCCCCAAGCAGAGCCTTATCTCTAAACCAGATTAATTATGTTGCAAGTCCTCCAAGACACTTAATTTAGAGGAATTCTGTTGCCTGGCAGCAATGGCTCATAGCTTTGACTATATCATAGCTTTGTCTATAACTACATTATAGACATAAATATCTTCAGGGACAAGTGTTTTTAAAGTGATTGCTTTGAATTATAAAATAGTTTTGAAACATTATATATTAATCAGAACCCAGATCATCAAAAGTAAGAACAATGTGACGTTTATTCATATCCATTCAGTGTTTGTGTTCCTGTGTGATGGAGTCTGTGGTAGTGAGGCTTGGGTGTGTTATAATACCTGCAGTATGTAGTGTTGTACTTGTCGTCTGCTATGTGATTTCCGTTTGTAGTGTATGCTGACATAGAAGGAGTAATAGGAAGAAAAGTGGCAAAGATGCTTTCTTGTCATAGTATATTGCTTCACTGCTTGTTCAGTTGCTTTTGTGTCTCTTCTTGTTTAGATTTTACCTTCAGGAGAATTTTTAACTTCTTTTTTAGTACTTCATGTTGTTAATTGCCTAATAAACATTTCTGCAAAGCACTAAAAGTAAGAAAGCAATCTATGATTGTACAGTATGTAGACAAGAGAATTGTTCCTATTAGCAAACCCAGCTCGCCTATTAAACTCTGATACTGTAGATGACTGTCCTGATGTATTTGAATTTTGGGGGTTTGGGGTAAAAAGTGTTTATGTTTGGGTGTTCCTTTATGTCACTATTACAAACTTAAGAATATTGTGGAATTCTGAGAAAACTAAGTAATATTCCTTTTGATGTAATGGTGGGATCTTTGATTACTAGCATGTCACCAGGGTGCCAAAAACCTGCATATACTGTACTTAGTGAAAAAGTTATGTGTTCAATTATAGTGACTCCCCTAATGAAGTCAATAGTCTAATGAGGTTAATTTTATCTACAGTATACCAGACTTTATTTAGAGCAGGTTTTGTCCTGTGCATACGTTTTACTGTTTAAATGTTAAACTAGTTAGAATCAATAACTGAAGACGAATAAAAAAAGCTCTGTGTATTTGTATGATTTCTTCACAGGATGATCTCTACAGTGTGACTTTTGACAAAACATCATACTGTAAATTGAAAGAACTGAAAGAGTTGTTTGACACCTACTGTATAAAGGGAGAGATTAGTACTGTATTCAATTCTAATATTGATATGAAGACAGCATGGATTTCAAGTTACATACCATAGATCTGTTCATAGACAATCAAAGCTAAAATTAATTTAATTGTATTGTAAAGATGCAGACATTGAGAATCAGCAGTTAACAGTTGTCTTACTTCTTATTTCAAGATCAAATGGATTGTCCCATTCATGGAGTGAGCGAATACCAGATGCTAAACATATTTCTGACATCTGTGAAAATGGACGCCCTAGAAGTAACTCATGGCAAGGTACCTTCTTTCTTTTTCCTTGAAATTAAGACTTCACAAAGCGCATTTCAGACCTCCGCTAAATAATGTCGTACAAATAACGACGCACCAGCACATGGGTGTCTCTGTGTTTGGTCTAGCTTTTTGTTTCAGTGGGTTTGGTGATTCTTTGGGCTATGATTCAGGCACTTTGATCTACCCAAGACAGCAGTCACACACTTTGTAAAAGCATTTACGATGGGAAACAAACATTTTTGTGTTCTTCTAACCTGTATAAAAAACATATGTAGTGTACTCCTTCCAGCTCTGTGTACTCATCCCTCAGACCAGCCACCATTAGGTATGTTTCCTTAGGACACTGTTTCCCAGCTTAAAACCTACTGTGGAAAATACACTGAAGTAAACTGGGAGCTCAGAGGTATTGCCTCCACTCTGAGGTCCTGACCACATAACGTAGTGTTCTAAAATAATAAGCTCCGTCAATATTTTCAGGGAACCTGGGAGGTAACCGGAAAAAACTCAAAGGAAAAAAATTCCGACCACGTTCAAACTCAACAGAGTAAGTCATTTTACATTCTTTTGCTGTCTGGAGAGGGATTTCTGCGTTCATGGTAGTAGTTGTAAATTATGACTCAGCAGTTCCAGTTTTTCCGGCATCTTTTTTTGCCAGCAGAGGCTGAGCTTATATCGCACACTGCTCCAGACTGTGGTGCAGGCTAATTGGGGAAATTAACGTGATCGTTATAATGTTAAAGGGGAACTGCAATGCTATTTTTATATTTTGGGGTTAGAAAGAATCGGCATCATTAATCATTGCATTTCAAACTACAATAAAACTAAAACGTACACAGTAATTGTAAAACCTACAATGTCACAAAATAGACGGTATGCACAGTTCCCTGTTCTGTGATTCAGAACGAGGAACAAAACATCCAGTGATGTGATGTGGCATTATTATATGGTAAAGAAGCAGGCTTGTGAAAAGATCATTTTTAATCCAATAGAGATACTGTTCTCTATTTGGAGACGGTTTTGCCAACAAATACTACTTACCTGTTAACTCTGCATGGAGATCACGTTGGAACATTTCTGCAGTGAACCTGTACTTATTCACTCGTACATCGTATTACATTAGTCATTAACGTGACTAGTGAGCAGGAAGGGCAATTAGTGGGACCTCGAATAAGAGTTTGTGACAACATGGCGACTTACATTACTTTGACAAAGTTCCCGATTTTGTGCTCAATTTGAAATTTGTAATTTTTTTCTATAACGTCAATGAATTTATTTTGTTTCTGAGATTTAATAACCAGTCTGAGAAATTGGGAGTGCAGTTCCCCTTTAACAGTCTAGCCCTGTATCATAAGAAAACTGTGAGAAAGTTGAATCCGTTTTTGTTAATGAGTTTTCTGATACTTTAGTTAATGTCACTATGTTAGTGACACTAGTTAATGTTATGATGTAAAAGTGGAAAGGCAACAAAAATGTTTTTAAGACAAAATGTTTCTTCACCTATTTATCACTATAATGAGAAATATATTATGCAGTATATCCTGAAGAACATTTGTAATTTATACTTAAAAAAATTAAAATGTGCATGTTTAATGTGATTGATTGACTGTATCGATCTGGTTTGTACTGTTTTTTTATTTTTTATCAATGTGGTTCTTGTTTTAAATGCTGCTTTTTTATTTTACGCATGAGCCCAATGAACAAAAACTGAATTGCTTATCGAAATGACCCTGAGACCAAAATGCAGAGTTGATCGAATTGCCTATATCGTTGTTGCCTTTATCCTATGAGATCCAGGCTTTGTCATCTGTACTACAAGCTACCTTACAGCTGCAGTTTTTTTTTATTAAAGGAAAATACATACAGTATTTTTTTCTTGTTGAGAATATCCACCTGTAATTTCAGTCACGAAAGTGGCTGTATCTTAAGAATATTCAGTGTCTATAATCAGGTGGGATATATTTCCTTTCCGGATATCCACATGTATGGATCCCATGGAGTTTACATTTAAGAATAATAAATACCTCTATCTTACAGGAAAAAGTCTTTAACATACAAATAAAACAATTAGTACCACTGTATTGTCTACGTGGTTTTGAAAAACATAGTAGTATTAGTAGGCAAATATCATTTGCACACTGACATCTGAAGATAATAGGTTCAGCTTTGTTTTTTCGACACAAAGATTTCTACTTCAGTGAAGCACAAACCCGATGTGTTTAAAACGCACACTTGCATCTTGGTGGGGTAAACAGAATGTCTTTGCTGTGCACTGCTGTGTTGTAAGATCTCGTCTCCTTCTTTCTCTACCTCTGCTGTCTCTGTGTGTTTACCATTGCTTTCTGCAGGTATTTAAGCCCATGGTTCAAAAGAGAATATAATGTAGCTAAGTGGGTAGAAGATGTGAATAAAAACACTGAAGGACCATACATTAGGTATTTCCAAAGATGATTTCCCAGTCTTTCTCCTTTTTTATAACCTTTTTTTTCTTTTTGGTCAAACAAGATCCAGCTCTCCACTAATACTGCTGGGCCTGCTTTCTTGTTTTTTGATACAAGGTGTTGGGCTCCTTTGATCATGACAAGAAGAGACACCCAGGGCTTCATCTGTTTCCAAAGCGCAAAGACACCCCTCCTGCCAAAACCCGCCTTTTAAAAGATGTTTGCATGCTTACCCTTTACAATACCATTGGCTTTATATTAATTTTTGACCACATAAAAATTAACACCAACCTATCAAGGTAAATGGGAGCAGCATGTGATATTAAGAGTGAGATTAATTCTCATTCCCATAACTTTGAAAGACATCTGCCTTTATTTTTTTATGACAAGTGGGCTCCTGTTGTGTGTGCTCCTGTTTATTACACTTGAAAGAACATTTAAGACAATAAAAGGAATATTAGTTTTGTGTGCATAGAAATGCCTAAAGAAGCTCTTTATGTTATCTTTAATATACAAGCTCCTGTGAAATTCTAATAAAAGCACTCCTATTTGCTATTTAGACATTTCTACTTAGAGGTATATAAGGACGAGGATGTATTTCTAAAATACAAATGTATTCTTGCTCTTATTTTTCAACTTTCTGTTGATCCAACAAATGCCTTCTCGTATTTTACAAAGCTGCATCTCCGAAAAGGAGGTGGGGTTGAGTGGGGGTTGAACAAGGTATTCATGTCACACCCTGTTCAGTTCTTAAGGCAGTGTGGGTGGATACATGATGCCCTTTGGCCACAGACTATTAGGCAAGGAAAAAACCCCGAAGAGAGACAATGGTTTAAACAACTAAGGATGAAAGGACAACTCCTATTATAAAATTTGGGAGGTTTAATTAAAACCCTTGAGATTAAAGAGCAGGGAGTGAGTACGGAAGGATACTCTGGCCACACAGAGGCTGCTGAAGGTATGGAACAGGAACCACTCAATGAGCATGGCGTTGAGCGAGGAAAGTATGGCGCACACAGCAGCTGTTGTTAGGGGCTACTGGGCTGCCCACTCGTACTGCTGCCGTGTATCACAGGCATCTGAGGTGAAGGCTTGTTCTGCCTGGGTATGTTTTCTGCCAGGATTAACCATTCATTTTAAGGTGTGTTTCCAAAGTCATCACTTCAGGGGTGAGGGCAAAATAAGTCCTTCTGATCTAGAAGGGCACTGTTGGTATTGTAGGTTTTGCAGGCCTCCATATTTTTTATATTTCTACAACTCTCCCTTACAGCTGGGTATTTTTTTGGGGGTGTTCGGTAATACGTGGATTAAGATTTTCGACTAATTAAAATTTTCTGTAGGTCCTTTTAATTATTAGATTTTTTTTCTTCGGGGATCTAATAAAAAATAAACTAAGGGTTAGTGTAGTATGACAATTAAGTGCCAGCTTAATTTGTTTGTTTTAAAACTGTAGACTTGTCAATCAAATTTGTTTAAGTATGTTAAGTATTTACAAAGTATTTTAAAGTAAGTAAAAACACTTTAAACATACGGTATGTATTGATTTTGTTTGAAAAATTGAAAATATCTGAAAGGTCTTTATAGTACTCACATCTTAATTCAACTTAAGAAAAAAGTGTACAGTATGTTTACTGAACCCTGTTTTTTGGGAAGAACTTTGTGAATAACTTTTTTACTTAAATCTTGTATTTAACTCTGTATTCCATTGGTAGATTTAAATTTAAATGCTTACTGTTCAAACAAACAACCTACTGTACATATCTGATGTGTGTTATTTGTCACAATTATTGAATATTCTTATCAGCCTTTAGTATTCTTATTCCTACAAAAAATATTTTATATACTGTATGTCCACTTTTCAGCAAACTCAAAGTGCTCAATACATATGATGCTTGTAATCAAGGAGAAATGCTCCCCTCCTCATTTTTATTTTACTTTAATCAAATAGATACAGAAGAGGATATATTTCTAAAATTAAGAAATCCATCTATTAGTTGGCATTGATCATACTGTAAGGAAAATACAGACAGTTGTGTTATCTGAGAAGTTAGATTAAGTTAAAGCATTTCCTACTGAATACAATGCAGTCCATTTCCTTTCCAGCACAAACACTATTAGTGCAGGAGCCTGGATTTAGAAATGAAACAGTAGTTCATTTGAGCAATAAGTGACTGAACCTCCCGAGTCAGCTAGGATACAGTGTGCTGATGCATATCATCAGCTATGAATCTGAGCTGTACATATGCAGAGAACAATACGGATGCTAATATCCATAAACTAATCTGATTTATTTTAAGTTTAGCAGAGGTATGCAAACTTTTATAGCAGAAAAAATTAGTATCTCTCATTGTGGAGTATTTCAGAGCCATGACTTCTGGTTTTCACACTGTGCTGGACTTTTAATGACTTAATTTCAATCGATGATTCACTTAATTGGTCTATATTAGCACTGTTCCCTGGTCTTTACATATTATTTACATATGTATAATGAATTATAAATTAGCTATAAACCAAGATGGACGTAATATCACAAAACCATATGATATCACCTTAATATCATATCAAAATGTATTTGGTTAATGCTTATATTCAAAACAACTTACACGTGTACCCATTTAGATAGCTGGGCCACTTCAATGGAACAATGACGGAGCAGCACTTTGCTCAAGTGTACAACAACAAAGCCACAGGACTACCACAGGAATCTGAATTTGGACCACTTCCCTTCCTAATCTAAATCAAAGACCTACTGTATATTCTGGTATAGTTAATAAACAAGCCTAGTGCACAGCTTATATCAAAATAGAATGATCAGTAAACACTGTTGAAGCCAAACAATAATTCTTGGAAGACCTGTTTAAGTAGCCATATTTTTTCTATTTAAAAAGCCAGGGTTTTGCATGCAGATTGCAACAACATAAATTATAAATACTGTATGAAATGGGAAATTCTAATCTTGCACAGGTCAATTATCAGAAAGACTTGGGTATTTATAAAGATTTATCATATTCATCTTCTAGACACTGTAGTAAAGCCATAATTAAGGCATCCAAAGTTGAGATACACTATTATACTTCAAACTTCAAATCAAGAGCCGTTATGTTAAAATTGTACAGTGCATTAGCAAGACCTCAGTTCAAATTTTGTGTACAGATTTGGTTACCATATGTGCTACCATTTGCAAAAATATGTTGGTGCTCTGGAATCATTTTAGAGAAGAGCAATGCGTTACATATACAGGACATTCTCAAAGGAATGTCCTACAGTACGTTGGCAGTACATTGACAGGCAAAGAGAACTGAGACTTTTTAGTCTTTCACAGATCATGTATTGAATGTGACATGGCCAACCCAATGGAATTAATACTGAAGCACGGATACAATACAAATACAAGTGAAAGTATTTGCAACTTGGAATAAGATGCGCATCTTTACACAAAGGCTGTCAGAGTAGGGCCAAGCCACACAGCCAAGTTGGTGAAGCAGATTTCCTGGTTTCTTTAAAGAAACAGCTGGTAGATAAGCTCTTCACATCAAATAGTTGCTAAAAACTAAAGCAGCTGCACAGTCACACTGACCTCCTCTCAATGTAAACATGCTGATTCGAACCCAGTAGCTTCCAGTTGCTAGTTTAGTGTAGTAAAAAAGTGAAAAGGGGATTTTAAGATGACCTAATAGTTGTTTTCAGGCATTATCACAATTGTCTTTCTACTATCCTTGTATATCTGTAGGTTCTTGATTATTATTTCGCCTTCTGATGCGCTGATATACCTTCTGTTTTTACAAGCCAAGCTCTTTCCAAGCATGCCCAATGTCCTTTGCACTGCTTTCATTTATGCTGTCATTTCCCATGCCTGCACGTTGTGCTGCTCTAGAGAGGTAGCAGTCTTCTCTCCATGTTCTGGTCTCTAAACATTGCCAAGTGCATGTGTCCACCAGCCTGGTCTGATCATTCTCCTGTCCTGTACATCCGTACACCAGTGTTTGTGTGTATAATTCTCTCATGTCTGTGGAAGCTCTTACAACTCAACAATTCCCTTTAGCCGATAGCTCGATGCATTAATTGTGCCTGAATACAAAAATCAACAAAGCATTAGGTTGATAAAAAAAAGATAAGTTTAGGTTGACATGACATACTAAGATTACAAAATACCTTGTTGTACTGTAATTTTTTATAATACGTGTACCTTGTTTACAATAGTGTTTCATATTTCTGATTTCCATCCGGTCTGTTTATGGTTTCCTTTAAAATAATGTAATTCCAAAGGAATTTGCAAAAGTATTTTTAACAAAGCAGGAAACATCACATTTGTATTTTAGTACATACTGCTTGCGACAAACATAAAGTTGCAAAAGATTCCTCTGGAATATTTTCAGGTAGCCTTTATGTCATTGTTGAGGTGTCATCAAATCACAGCAGCTGCTGCAGTGATCACACTTACAAGGAGTTAATACAAGCAGGTACAGAACATGTTAAAATTTACTGTAAGCATTTTTTTAGAACAGAAAAAATTTGGTTTACGTTGTTCTAGAGTAACGGGTATAAAGCAAAAAAATGATTTGCCGGACAATAATCAACATGCTAATGTGTAATTCTGCATTTATAATCATGATGTCCTGTATATATTTCACAATTTGATTTTATTACAAGATCTTTAAAGTTTAGCCTAAGAGTACAGGATTGATAGAACTTACACTACAGTGCAGCATTTATCAAACAATATTTTTGGGACCAGTCTTGATGCTGTTTTTTTCCTCACAGTATTGAAGCATTATTTAAATGACCTGGGTCTTGAAATGAAGTGGACGGTAACATTTTGAAAAAAATAGGAGGAAGTTTGTTTGGGAAGGACTTCAGTGCATTGAATGTTTTGGTGAATCGGCTTTTGATCAATAGACCTGTAAAAAAAACATTTCAGAGCTTCAGCATCGTAGTATAATTCCAGTTTGTGGCTTTTCGGTTCATACAGAGTCCATGATGCAGACCAGTGCTGTGTCCAGAATGTGCTTGGTGGCAGTGTTCACTAAGTGTTGCTCAGTGAGGCGTTTCTCTTATTTCTCCTAGGACACTGTCTCCTGCCAAATCCCCTACTTCATCCACTGGCTCCATTGCGTCTAGTAGGAAGTATCCCTACCCCATGCCACCTCTCCCAGATGAAGAAAGGAAGGCCAACAGGCAGAGTGCCAGGGTAATGATCCAGATTTCCAGATACACCCACCCCCTGTGACACATATACATGCATATAGGGGCGGCACAGTAATGCTTTGGTTAGCATTGCTGTCTCGCGCTACCGGGGTCCTGGGTCCAATTCTGGTCCTGGGGTTCTGTCGGCGTGGAGTTTGTACAGTGGGTTTGTTCTCCTCCCCACAGTCCACAGATATACTGGCCCTAGTGTGAGTGTATGCGTGTCTGTGAGTGCCCTGCAATGGACTGTCATCTTGTCCAAGGTGAATGCACAGCATCAATATCACCAGACAGCTTGGTGCTCAATCTCAATTTTACAGTTATTTTTTTGGTTTGCACAATCTTTACTAACAAAATAAAAGTTTATGTTTAGTAAGAAATTTTGATTATTCTGGTTCGTTATATTGTTTTTGTGTACTATAGAGATCATGCAAATTTAATTTCTCCAAATAAATGTTTCAAAATACATTTAAACAGAAGAGCTTGCATAAAAAGAAATGTTGGTTAAGTCTTGTTGTAACATACCATATACTGTGCTTTAATAAAGTATAGTTTGGGAATTTATGGTGCCAAATACATGAGAGATGTTCTCAACTAAACCAGTTCATGTTCAGTTACGAGCACTGGGAATAAATCAGGGACTTCCTGTCTACGTCTTTTAGTAGGAATTTAGTGTCGGTTTCACAAGTTTTCACTTATGAGCAGAAATTTGGAACCAATTGTGCTCATATACTGTAGAGAGGGATAAGTATATAGAATAGTTTATTTGTTTCAAGGTTATCCTTCTGATGTTTACTTGAGATAATGCATTATAAATGCATCATCCAGACAGTCCATTCACTTGTTTCCTCTGCGAAACAGACACAAGATTTTTGTGTAGTTTATAAGAATACCAAGTGTAAACCAGAGGCGTGCAAAGCTTACACTTACACCATGCAGATACCAGGACGAGTCTGGAGTTTCACCAGTCCACTCTTGGAGTGATCATGGCAGTTGAGCAGAACTTCGGACAGACAGCAGGTTCAAACCTATGCTGTGACACTTGCCACCTGCAGTCCACACAGAACTATTAACTCCATGAGCCACCGCAGACAGTGTGAAATCCCTAGATTTAATCAGCAGATCTTGGCATCACGGAGAATGGAGAATTATGATTCTAGTCTGCCACACTGTAGCTTCAGCCGACACTCGTTGACAAACATTTATGAGCAAAAGAAAACGAATGGCAAAGACGTCATTAGCACCTATTATCTTAATCAGTGATACTAAATGGTATCTGATAATGTGAAGCAAAATGTTAAAGTTAATTGCAAAACCCTGGCATTTGCAGCACCTCTATAGAGTCTGTAGCTGTTACAAGCACTTTTAAAAAAAATCTTTTTTAACTGTAATGCTTTTAACATAAATATAATTATGAAGCACCTTACCCATAGAGGATAAACCTGGTTTTGTCATTCATACATCAATATTTTTTCTGATCTAAAAAAGTAATTAATCTAGTATTTTTCAGTTTAAATTATCCTGAGTGTTTTTGTTTCCTCCACAGCTATGGGAGACGTCAATATAAAGATCCTGTTTGCTCAGCAACTGCTCAAGAACTCCGTTTTCTTCCGCTTTTGTATGAGAGAAAAATTTCCCGACTGCTCTGTGGACACCTGAGACTGGGGGAGGCGGCAGTGCATGTGTTTGAGAGCTGACCGAACGTGACAATGCTCTGAGCCTGTAAGAGCACAATTTCAGCACCAGACTGCATAATCCTATCCTAGAGGAAACGGGACACTCACACTGTCAGTGTCTAAAACAAGCATGGTGGCAGAAACACTACTAAAAAGGAAACCTTTTTAATATCCCTGCCTCCTGCCTCCCCTTTGCTATCTTCCCATGTTCAGTACAAATGTTCTCTTTCAGTTGGTGCTTTGACACAATTTGAAACAGGTCATTATGAGCAGGATTTATTTAATGCTTTGAAGCACGTAGTCACATGTAAAAATAAACACTGTATGCATGAAAACGCTGTTTATCGATTCCTGTAGTGTTTAAAGAGAACACATTAGAGGATAGCATGTGGAAGATGAAAGTTACTGTAAGATTTTGAACTTCATTTATATTTAATCTACTTGATCAGTGTTCTCATTTTAGCTGGTTGTAGAGCAGATGCAATCTCCATCCTGTTCTTTGCTTGTCTGGATTATTTTGGTATTGGTATTGGATTGTAAAAATGTATAGATTGGAAATCAAATATTAAGAACTTTTTTAAGGGATCTTTACAAAACCTTTATTTTTTTCTGTTTTTTTTGTGAGTGATTTATAACCCATTTACTGAGCTGGGCAGTGAAGACCCCTTTTTGCCATATCAAAAATGAAATTTGGGAATTGTTTTTTAACACTTAGAGTCCAAAAGTGGCACCTGTCTTCTTTTTTTTTTGACAGTGATGTCTTTGACAGCCAGTTGAGAATCCTCTGGAAAATATAAAAAAAAAATAGTTTTTAGTCTATTGGGTAGGTACATGTTCTTAAAACCTATTGGTTGAAAGCTTATGGCACATATATACACATCAATAACTAGATGACCTATTGATTCACCTACCCCAGCTATAGGACAAGTTGCAGCTCTTCAGATAAAATGATTAATGATTCACAAGGTGATCTTAGAAGTTTCTAGGTGGATTCTAGTTTTTAGAGTATCCACATTTGTGGATATTCTGCTTCAGGTGGTAACAGGCTTCAAAAAGGCACTTAAACTGACTTTATAACCACATAGAGATCAAAGATTCAGGAATGCATTTGATCGGATATTTAACAAGCTCCATAATACATTTATCCCTTTGTAAAACTCTGAATGTTAAGCCTGAAGTAGATGAGAGTAATGCTTAATCTGTAAGAAAACTTAGTCAACCCTGAAGTGAAGATTATAGAATAAAATCTGGTATTTAGATTAAATTAGACAATGGAGTCTGCTCACTACAATTTTTAAATATGTAAATTATACTGTCTTTAGTTTAGTTTCCATTGAGTGTTTGGATAAAGAAACTTTTGAAATGGAACATTTTTAAATATTTTTCTTAAATTTCTTGACATTCAGTACAAGTTATTCTTATTTCTTGAATACCGACTAGGGTCCTGTGGAAAAATCACAGTTTATATTTTTTTCATTTTTCTGTACAAGTTGTAATTTGAGGACTTGAGTTGTCAGGCACAACAAATTCATGTCCTGCATTTGGAGTCACAACATTCTTTAGTTCCAACAGTCTAACCTAATTAAAGAATTGACATGAAAATAATGTGTCCATCGCATTACAGAATCAGATGAGAATCTTGTCTGGGATTCAAACGGTTCTAATGTTTGTCAGTCCATAGCCCAAAATATTTGAGAATTTTTTGCAATCTTACAGTGCTAAGACAAGGGGAAAATGTTATTGCAATAGACAAAAAAAATCACTTAGTGCTTTTTATGTTCATCCTTTTAAACAGAAATGTGAAAAGAATATTTCCATCTGTAGATATTCACAATGTTAACGCACTCAGCTCTTACCTTTTTATTTCAGTGTGGGCGCCAATAATGAGCTACATACAGTCTATATGCTGTATGCTCTATAGGCTTTCAGCATGGGTCCTCTTCACTTCCTGTTATTGAAGCTGCATCATGTTTATTGCTCTTTCAATATAAAAAGCATACTGTAGTAATATAGGAAACAAAGAGATAGCACTTCCTTAGAATACTGAATATTAACAGCACCACAATATTGGATTTGTATCATATCAGTGCTTTTATTTGAAATATAAAAGCTTTCCATTTGCTTATTGGATACAGCTGTAATTGCAATTGCAAATGTATCTGGTTTATCTACTGAAACACGACAGGGTAACACTGCTCTGTAGATCACTGTGTGTTTACAGGTGCAGACGCTCATGTGACATTCAAGGAATGGTTCTTTACTGCACTCAAAAGTCTCTCCTGATTGCCAGACCAGGAACACTGGCTTTCCATGCCTCAACGTCTGCCTCTTTTTATGCAAGTGACTGCCTTCCATAAGGACTTCTTGACCAGTGGCAAGGAAATTGACCTACAGTATCTTCCTTGAATGTATTCGACTCAATGATTCTGTCCACCAGACTACAAACTGTTCTCCTGGAAGCCACTGGATTAACACTAGCATTCTTAACCTGCTAATATCTGCTGACCTGCATTACCAGTTCTGTTTAGGTGCACAGTTTTCAAATAATATTCTTATGATACAGCATTTTTTTTCTGTATTGTATATAGACCAACAATGTAAATCAATGCTCATATTTTTTTCCTACAATATTAATATCATTCAGTATTGTAATATATTTAATAAAACATGAAACTTTCATTGAACCTGTACCCTTGTATTATTTCCAAACAAATTACTAAGGTATAGTATACCTTATTGTTTGTTCACATGTATATGGAAAGTTGGCTGTGACTATTTTTTATCTATTTGTGTGAATGTTATTTATGGCAGCATAATTATTTGAATTTCTCAAATGGTGCTACTGTCAGGCTTTTACTTTTTACTACCGTGAGGAAAAAACAAGACTTGATGCTGTGGCGTGTAAATCTTCCTCTAATGGAGCAAAACTGTTAATTTCTGCATTCAGGTAGCTGAGATGGTCACTCAGAAAATTTCGGTACGTCTATTCTGTGCTATTGGCTGCACAGTGCTGTCCATTGAGGTACGGCCCATTGAACTGTTGCTGTCAAGAACAATTGCAATACATGTGTGCAGCTTGACACCATGATATGGCCATCTAGAAAATCCAGTAGCCAACATCTAGACTCAAGAAACTTCAGTCAAGCATCAGAAAAAAAAAACTTTCACCCTACCCATCAAATATGATAAAGGTTTTAACAGTAATATTTTAATTTAAGAAAACACCCTGCTCAGCAGTTGCATTGATAACAGATCACTAAACATCTGTAGCCCCAGACACTGCCTCTGCCTTCCCCCGAGGTCCACCACAGCGACTGCGCCAGGGCTCAGGGAGTCCCTGTGGAGGTCATGGCGGAGGCCGGGACTGCTCCGAGCCTTGCTCTCTGGTCCTCCTCCATGGCTGAGGCTGCCTGCTCGTCAAGGGACTGCCTGACGCGCACCTTCAGCTCCTCGACACCAGACCCAGTGGAGGCCGAGACAGCGACAATGTGTTTGAAATGCGTAGGGCCTTTCGGAACCATATCCTCAGGTAGCAAATGGAAGAAGTCTTAAAATGGAAAAGGCACAAAAAAATTGTTTTAAAGCTTATTTTAGCTATTGGGATAGCTTGTTCCACGGTCTACTTAACTGTGGGATTGAAAACATGCGTGACGTTTCCCAACTTTACATGGTTTTTAGTGTTATTCCAGGACTTACTACAGTAAAATCACCTATTGGGAATAAGAATTTTAAGTACAAAACAAAGATAACTAAAATCACATCTTTGATTTAATCTGATTGTTATTTAAAAAGACGCAGGTAGCCCCTGTTTAACATCCTCTTTGGGGATGTTAATATTCCCCAGCAGATTTTACATGTGACATTTTTTCACAAGAATCAGTTATTTCTACATTAATGGGGGACAGGACATGAAGACGTAAGTCTAGAGTAGTGAACATTCACGTTTTCTGTGTGTAAACAGAATGATTAATGTAAAGACCCATTAAGCTGAGCCCTTGTGATGTTAACCTTTTTTGAAATGTTTTGGAAATGCACAAAATGGCGTAGTGTATGGTGTAGGTACAGTACAAACAGAGATGAAAGCAAGACATAGCAAATACCTTTAAATTCAACTTATGTACAGTATAATACTACATAAAGTCACAGCTAATACTGTATAAAGTAAAATTACTTATACTTTATCTTATCTAGTACTGTAGCCTGCTTGTGTTTCTCACCGTTTCTCTGAACGTCTTTGTTAGGGTGCTTTGCATTCAGAGCAGCTATTTACACAAACATCTCAAACACATTCAATTGTAAAACAATACATATCTATAATGTTTTTTAACTAATACAAAGCATGGAATGTTATGTCCATGGTCACAAAACGTTACTGGTATGAAAGAGGGGAGGAGTAAGCAAAGAGACTTTAAGGGGGTACTCCCTATACTTAAATATTTTTTTATTTATTAAATAAATTTTTTAAGTGTTGCATACTTTCTTTTGGGCCACTGTATGAATGTTGCATTGTTCTCTAGAAGTCATGTGTATTACCTATATAAATTACCTTAGAAATGTATTAGCATTATGTAAAGGAAAACATACAGCATCAATACCATACAAGAATGCAGTACTTTACCTTCTTGATGATGAAGTTGATCAATAAGCTCTTTTAGGTTCTCTTCTGCATTTGGTAGGTCCATTTTGTTCACAGCAAGAATGGCAGGCTTCAAAAGTAGCTCTTCTTTGTACAACTCCAGCTCCTTAATAAAAATGCAGGATCACTTCTAACAAAACTTTCTGAACAGAACCTAATGTCGTTTAAAAACAACTCTGAGCATTAAAGCAATATCTTATTGACACATACAGTACAGTCTTGTACGCACTTAAAAGATCCTACCAGCAGATCTGGAAACATATTTTCCATTAGGACAATGCAAGACCATTCACTGCATGGATTACAGTGGCCTAATGTAATGAGAAAATAATGAGGTCTACTTTTCCTCCTGTCCTGAGTCCAACAAAACATCAGTGGAACCAATTCACTCCTGTCATCAGCAGGAGAAAATCATGATCAGCCACCCTTCAACCAGCTGCTCAGGAGTGGTAGGACATCCCACAGCAGTCTAGACAGAGGCTGATCAGGTCTGTGCATCAGTGCTGTCAGGGCTGTATTAATGCACAGGGATGTCCTACTGATACTAACTCATTAACGTTTCATTTTCAAATAGTGCTACATTTCACACATACTATAATATGATTCATTGATCTGTATTCTTGTTTGACTTTTCTGTGACCTTTAATGGATCTAGTGTCTATAGATATATTTTCTGACTAAATGTTTAGTAATAGCCTGTTAGTAATCACTAGTTAATGAAAAAAATGAAAAGATCCTTAATAGACAGAGCTCTAGTCTTAATTACTAGGCAAATGTAAACAGTAGCAAAGAGATGGTTAATCTATTATAAATATAATCATATGATAAATCATAGCCATCAATTACAAAAACTAAAATACAAATAACTGCTATATTTAGTATTGTCCTCCATAAAATGGCATACAAAAGTATTTAATTCAAGCAAAGTAATGGCTATTGTAAATACCAACTGTCCAAATTATCACCACTGTACCCTATACAATACTGCTAATTTAAACTCTTAATCCAATACAGGCTCGCATTGAGCCAGAACCCAACCTGACACAGATTGAGCGCAAGGCAATATACACCCTGGACAAGATACCTGTCATCTACACATAAGGAGATAATATGGGGGTTGCCAATTAACCTAGACAGTAGGTTTGTGGACTGTAGTAGGAAATCGGAGCATCCTGAGAACAAGCAAACTCCAAAAAGAAAGCCACATTCAAACCCAGGACAAACTAGCTGTGAAGCAGATATCCTAATGTCTAAGCAACTGTACTACCTAATCCAAATTCAGATTTTAAAAATGAAGCTTTGTTATTTTTCAATATTATTTATTCTCTTTGAATTAGGCAGATCTCTTACCTTTGTTAAAAGCTGTACAGCTTCAAAAGCTGTTCTAAATGGCGTTTTCTGAGAGAGCTGGAATCCGCCGATATCAACCTTGAAATAAAAACAAGAGGAGAAAAACATTTGATTAGTCCCCTTTATGGCAGTATATTATTTTTCTTCTGTGGAACATCATTATCCTTTATAAACAGGGTACATTTACCTACAATAGAAGACTTATTTTAATGTATCTGATCATCTACGGTACAAGAGGAGAAAAGCTATGGTTCAAGGCTTAATTCACTCACATGAAGAAGTACACTGAGCATAAAAATAAACCGCTATTCATGTACAGTATGCACGTTTTTAGAAAAAAAACGCATTTCGTGTACTGAATTAAATGTTCTGACGTCATTTTGATTCATTGATGGGTCATGACTAACCGTAATAGACTCAAGTGACTGTTGCATAAGCTCTAAATCAACTGATTAGTGAGAGAGCTGGCAGGGGGAAAAGCGATGAGGTATATTAACACATTGAATGTCAAGCCTGGAAAAAAAAATCAATGAAGAAAAACAGAAGAAAAGAAACAATATGGTTATTAACGGAAAACCACATTTGTGCCGTAGGTATATTGGAGGCTGACCGTCACCCCTGGTGGACCTGGTAGCACTGGAGGCAGTTGATGAGGAGGTCCAGGTGTGACAACCTGGACAAGAGTGTCATGGATGGAGACCAGACCTCATGGCACTACAGCAGAACCTCACCTGCAGCAATTCTAGATGGCTCATCCTGATGAGCGGGGCAGTATTAAAGCCGGACAGACCGACAATAAACTTGCACTATTTAAGATCTGTGGGATCCGCTGGGATGACGTGGCATCTAGGGCTTGGACACATGCTTGCCCTCTATAAGAGGAATGGGACATAATAGCAAAACTAGAATCACTGAAGTGCAGGTCAAGCTGGATGCCTCATGGTAACTGCACAGAGTGGGGAAATGCGTGCAGTGGATTGAGAATAAAAAAATTGAAAATCCATAATGGGTCAATGCTGAAAATGGAGATATATTAGTGAGAGTACTACAGGGATCTGTACTAGGACCACTGCTGTTCTTATCTTTTATCCGTTATCTAGATTTTGGAACAGTTATTGCAGCAGTGAAGTTTAAAGTATAAACAGAACATGGCAAATGCTGAGCTTGAAGAAGTCAATTATGAAACAGACTTACATGGAGTGGATGGAAAAAAAGGAAACACCCAAGTAAATGAAGCACGCCAAGCACACTGGAAGCGAGAGCCTACTCCCAGATGTGGCCCATGAATGAAAATGCTGGACAGGAGAATCAGGGCTAGCATGGCTGCAGGAGAAGGCCTCAGCGACTTTGAAAGAGGAGTGGTTTTAGGGGCAGGCTCAGCAAGATCGTCAGTGACCAATTGTCTCACCCTCTTAAATAAACCATTGTTGGGTAACTTTTATTTACCTCGATTCAAATATTTGGTCTCAGTTGAAACCAGCTAGTCTCAAATATTCAAGCACTTTAACAACAGGCCAGCTACCATAAGATAAGCATCATTCAGAAGATGAGAAATTTTGCATTTAGGGTTCAATTTATATGTACAAAACCATGCTGCAACCCACAGTATACTGGGCCTTGGAGAGGAAGGGTGTCAAATGAAAGACGTTTTTAAGAAGAGCCCAAAGCCACACCCGGTTGTTTTTGAATTATAGATCCATGCAGTGCAACAGCTTCAAATTACAGCCTCTGAGCAATCAAAGAACATAAGAAAGGTTACAGATGAGAGGAGTGGATTCAAGCCATCTATCCCCTTTAGTAGTTAACCAAGCTCTCCAGCCGATTCCCGGATTCTTGGGAGACATGGCGAGAAGAGGCTACTGAGTCAATTAATTACAAATGGGATCAGAACAAAACATGGTGTATGACTATGTCCCTTCGGGGAAAAAGGTTGAGGGGAGAAAAAGTAACTTCCTACTATGCTCTGCTTACCACAAACAGCAGCTGTTTAGTCCGTTCCACGTGTTTGAGGAATTTGTGACCCATGCCTTTGTTGATGTGTGCGCCCTCTATCAATCCCGGCAAATCCGCCACCGCCACCTAAGGGATGACAACGCCATCTCAAACTAGCAGAATGCCCTTTGCAAGCCATATTAGCCACCACACCTTCAAATACAAATCTGAAAAGCACAGATAAAATTCTACTTATTCAGAAAGGTTTACTTAGGAATACGTCTTCCTTAACTGGAGCTACTGCTACGCTGTACGATAATGAGTACCATGTGATGGTACGGAGCGGAGCGGTGGCTCTGTGGCCCAGGATCTGCGCCTGTGACTGGAAGGTTGCCGGTTCAAATCCCGCAGCCGGCAGAGGAAACCTACTCCGTTGGGCCCCTGAGCAAGGCCCTGAACCCCAACTGCTACAGGGGCGCCGTACAATGGCAGACCCTGCGCTCTGACCCCAGGCTTCTCTCCCTGTCTGTGTGTCTGTGTCTCCATGGAGAAAAGCTGGGGTCTGCGAAAAGACGAATTCCTAATACAAGAAATTGTATAGGGCTAATAAAGAAACATTATCATTATTATGATTGTTTCAAGAGTCTGGTGTGACTGGCTGAAAGTCTGAATCTTACAAACTAATGCTGAAACTGCCACTATTCCTTTCACCACTGTATTCTTGAAACCTCAAAATTATGCTCTCATTATTTAGCTAAAGGAAAAAAATTAAAACACAAAACATTCAAAGATCACATCGAGAAACTAGTATTTTAAAGTGCATTATATCTGGATATTATCCTCTAATACTATCTACAGCAGCTGTATTTTTATCTGAGCAAGTGGATATTACATGTTCTATTACATGAAATTTATTCAGGCTTTAAACATAACCTTTGAAATCTGAAATGGAGGATATGCAGGAAAATAAATAACTGGTTATACTGTATATCATTCAAAATATTCTAATGATGGAAATATGACGCCTTTTTAGAACATTTACTTTCTGCTTCACAAACTAAACAAATCCACAGTTTTAAAAAACACAGGTATTCTTACCTTTCAAGTCACTTGCACTGCAAAAAACAGCCTAACAGCAAAAATATTACATCTCACCTACCTGCCTATAGTCCTCATACATGATTTTTCCTATCTCAGGTCTCAAAGTTGTGACTGCAAAAAGAAAGAAACAAGTTGGAAATGTATTAACCATTTCAGTTTTGAATAGATATTATAGCATGCAGGTTTCGAAACAAATGGTCAATAGAGGAAATGGGAATATCTGAATATTGTATTTAATTCTTTACTATTTTGTTCATCATGACCTGTCCAAACAGAGTCACTCTTCAAAGCACATTTTCATGGATGAGGCAGGTTACGCGTTTAAGCGGCCTCACACTTGCTCTTCAAGGCTAAGGAATACTCAGAGAAACCAAGGCACTTCCTGCCTGCCTGCATGTTCTGAAACTATGGGAAGAAGACGTTCCTGAAGAAAACCAAAGCAAACTCCACTGTAATCCCCTGGTTACCACCAATAGTGGTTTCCTACTTACAAATACAGTATGGACAGGGCTCAGTGATTTAATCACTGGTTCATGGCCAGGCAAGCTACAACTCAACAGCAATGCGGATTTCACAAAGGCATGGGAGGAAGCTAGGCTAGGCGTCAGTCATCTCAAGTCTCAATAAAACAAAGACTCCTGCAATCTGCCAAGCCTCTGAAAGCAATGTCAGCGCTGCTTCGTGTTCCCAGCATTATTATTATTTCTTGCTTAGCAGACTCCCTTATGCAGAGCAACTTATAAAGCAGACTGCAATACCAAAAGGAAAATAAAAAAAAATTCCTTCACATACGGTGGAAAAGAGTACACCAAAATGACAAACGGCAGGGAAAACATGTCAGAACTGCAACGACAGTGCAGAACAGTACGGCGAGTGGTAAATGATGTGCGGGAGAGGAGTCAGACTGCAGAACAGAAGGAATGCTACTAAGTACTGTGCTGGTTAGTGGTTAATGTGCGTGACAGTGTGAGAGACATCCCAGATGCAGTCTACACAGATATGTCTCGAGGAACTGTCTCAAACCCTGCTGTAGGGCACCGTGGAGCTTGCAGCATATCAAGAGTATGGGTGTGCAGTACAGTACATCGACAATTAATTTACCTTGAAGAATTCCTCAAATTAGAAAAAATACACTTTCACCAGGAAATCTTTACAACAACCCAAGGGAGCTGAGTCACATTCCACATAGCCTGCTTGCACTTTTAACATGCTGGTTCATTTTTAATGCACAGTTTTTAAATTTTACCTCCCTGCCTGAAATTTCTCCTCAGATCTTGTCCCAAGGTCAGATCCAGAATGTAAGAGGATCCACTAGTTAAAATTGTCCTGTTTACTTTATTTATTTTAATTTCAATTACATAATATTCTGCAACATCTGTAAGCATTGTAACCTTTAGGGTGATACTTACAAGCATAGCTGGCTATCTGGGGCTTGGCATGAGAGAGCTGGCTCAGCAGAGACGATTTCCCTGCGTTTGGAAACCTAATAAACAGCACAGGAAATAAGAATTAAAAGTCCAACTATTATTAAAAAGTGCAAAGAGTAAACACAACCAGAAAAATGCCATTTTGCAGTTAAAAAGGACACAAAGGATTTGGACAGAACGTCTTCACAATTGCATGGTGGTACAGTGGCTACCATTGCTGCCTTGCAGTACTGTGGCCCTGGGTTCAATTACTGGGCTGCCATCTATGTGGATTTTGTGTGTTCTTCCCGAGTTCATGTGGGTTTCCTCCAGGTGCTTTGTTTTCCTCAAACAGTCCAAAGACATACTGGTGGGTCAGGCGACTCCCTGGTGTGAGTGTGTTGGCCCTGTGATGGACTGCTGTTCTGCTGTCCTGTCACAGGAGTACCCTGCCTTGCACCTGTTGCTGGCCAAGACTAAGCCTAAGGCACCACATGACTGTTAATTGGAAAAAGTGAACAGAAGCAAAAACTAAACAGATAAAGAATAACAACGTGTTCTCTAATGTCTGATGGAGAAAAAATTGTTCCGAGATTTAAATTCCTTTAACATCCAGTATTCTAAACACCACTCCTATTTGCCTCCCCTCATATTTCAATGATAACTCGTTTACTTCATCATACAGATTAGATTTAACTATTTCATATCAAGTCCTTATAAAATAAATAAGCATAAGCAATACAACTTTCAATAGCATATCAATATGCACGACCAAATAGCTGACACGTAAGACTCTCCTGGCACCTGTGTCCTTCTGTTCCAATGAATCAAACAGCCCATACAAAGCTATCCTAAAAAATAAGCTGGGACAGTGGTTAGGGTTATGGACTTGTAAAAGTAAAATCATGGGTTCAAATCCATGGTGCGACAGTTGTTGTTATACAAGTGCTTTCCCTAAAGAGCTCCAGTAATCAGCCAGCTGTATAAATGTGTGCAAATGTAAGTTGTTGTAGTTAAAAGCATCAGCCAGACAAAATAAACATATAAACCAAAGTACAACCCAACTATTTCAGTACCTAATTTACACTTAAAAACTATCAAAACACACTGAGAAAGTATCGCAATACTGCAAACAGAAATCTGACAGAGCAAGCAAAGCAATTCAGTTAAATTCTTTCAGTAAAATGCCCAGCTGTATAAATGTAAGTCACTTCAGATAAAAGTGCCAGCCAAAATAAATCATACACTTTTTTTTTTGTATTTAGCTTATTAAGCTTTGTCCTTTAGAAAATACACGAGATTACAAGATAAAATGTATTTCATATATGAATCCTGACAATTCGCAAAGTAAACCACACTTTTCTGTCTTTGGAAAAACCTTAAATTACTGCTTCTTTGAGTCAGATTATGAAAGGGAAATACACTTGTCTAAAATACAAAATAATGAGATTGCATTTAAAAATGAGAACCATATTCGCATATTTCACTCATTTTGAAACGAGTGCATGGAGAGTTAATGACCAGTATTGTTCAGCAATTGTTTTTGGACCTTCGCAAAGTTTTCACATTTTGTTGCTTTAAAGCTTGCATTCCTGACACTTTTAAGTGGTGGTTAATAATTGTTATATACACAGCTTATAATTAATATGAAAGAAAAATAGAAGTCATGATTGCATAAATATAAAAAATCTTTGCTTGTGAAAAACCTCTATTTAGGTGCACAGAATAACCCTAACAAGCCTCACAATTAGTTGAGTGGCCTCAGTCTGTTTGCAATAATAGAGGTTCACATTCTCCTGAGCTCAGAACACAAACACCCGTCTCTGTGAGCTTCCTTGGTCAGGCAGTGAATTTTAATTAAGGACTCAACCATGTGGAATAAAAGCACAGATTAGGGAAAGGGGATAAAAACATTTCAAAGCCCCTTCCCGATGTCTTTGGGCAGAGAGAAGGCGATCAGTCAATAAAGACCGGGCAATGACAGGACGAGCTGGGTCTTACCCCACCAAGCCCACATCGGCTATGAGCTTGAGGTCCAGGCGGATCGTGCGGGCCTGCCCCTTGCTGGGCAAGAACCCGGAATCGTGGGATCCTCCGCGGCCCCCTCGGGCCACGACCATGCGCTGCCCCTCCGCGTCCAGCTCCCCTGGAAAACACACCCCGAATCTGGGCGATGACAGGAGCAAGACTCCAAGCAAAAAAGCGTACACACTGCAATCGCAATAGTGCTCAGACTGCACCTCAGGTTTTTAATCTGCTCCGGGGCTACAGAGCTGGTAAACCACAGGGGTACTACTCGCTCTGATTGATAGAAGGGAAGAAAAAGACACCTTTTTTTATCTGAAGGATTTTAGGCCCAAGTTATTTACTAATTAATTTCTATTCATCATTTAAAGCAATGTTGCTTTATGACCTTTAAAACCGGCCAAACAGATTTAAATACAGTCTACTAAGGTCTCTTACAGTAATGTTCAACATGTGAATAACTTTTTTAGTTGAATACATGCAGTTACATAACGATGTGCAATTAGTAGCCATTCAAAAGCAGGAGAAGACACAAGAACAGTCGGTTTACGTACCTAAGACTTTCCCATCATCACTCGTAACAGTTATACCAGTTGGAGCACAAATCTCACAGTCCTGTCCTTTGTTACCCTTCAGAGCACGGATACTGGGGAAAACAAAGAGTACTTTACTTCCAAAAATATAGAGAAAACCATGTACTTGCACCACAGGCTCTAGTATTGTGTAACAGCACAATTAGAAAAAACGTACACTTAGGGATTCATTTATAATATTTTTGTTCAGTGATCAGTGTATGGTTTTGTACCCTGGTCTTACATTTTACTAAAATACATACAGCATTAAACCTCACGTTGAAAAATGTACATTAATTAGGAAAGATATAGCGCTACTGCGGCATTTTGAATAGAGGAGCTCATGAATGTGCTCTGGTGGGCGGCTGTAGGCATCAGTAAGGAGAGACAGAGCCTGCTCTCCTTCATCCGACCTTAGAAAGAACAATAAAAGTGTGGGCCACTTGTTCAGGAAGGCCTGTCTATTGTATGTCTGGGCCCTGTTAATTCTACATAATCTCAGACAGGTTATAGTAAATGCAATTCGTTTTTGTACTTGCCATTGTATCAAAGAAGATATACCAGTGCACACATGGTCCCTCATATTTCTGAGCTCACTGTTTTGGTAGGCGTTAAAATATCAAGGGTCCGTAATGATCATTCATCTATAAGAGTAGAGATCGTGCTCTTGAGCCCTTTTCCTAATCAGCTATTGCTTTTGTACTCATCTTTATTAATGCCTCTATTTGACTGATCGATCATTAAGAGAATATCATGTAAAATGTCATTTATACAACTGACCCTAAAGCTTGACAGGTATATCTCCAAATGTCACCGTCTAGGGCACTTACTGTAATATACAGAGCACACACTGATGCTACCTATTCCAACAGCATTTCAAGATCTGCTTAAATATTATCCAGATACTAAGCCCAATCTCTGTGCTTAAAGAGTTTAAATGTATTTTCTTAGCGTGTTTTATTTTAAAAAACACTGGGAAAATATCTAGTTTTATGTTAAGAGGTGCAAGGTTAAAACACACTCTGAAGTAAAGACTCACTCCACATTCTCACTTTTTAAATGCAAAAACATGACACGCTATCTGGACCAAAAGAAGACCTTCATCATTCTAAGGAAGACTTTTTGTTTCTTTGCTTTAACTTGGATGAAAAACAAGCTACGAGTAACAGGTGAAACTTGAGTCTACTGGAGTGGTTCAGTTGTCCTGCCTTTGTCACTGCATTTGCTTAGATCTGTCATGTTTGCATGTGACATCCACAGTGATGTGGTGCACGATTCATAGCAACTCCTGCATATTATTTTCTTTTCAGGAACAAAAAATAAATAGCAGTACCAAATCAGTGAAGTACACAGTAATCTCTCTCCAATTGCTCAATATCAATTCTCTCCAGGGCCTGCCTTTTGACTCATCAACACTGTCCTTCTCAAACTAAGGCAGAACAGCCAACATCTGGTCCCCACCCCTCCAGGCACGCGGATATCTCAAATGAACAAGACCCCCCTCTAGTGCACAAACAGGATTAATAAAAATGCCGGGAGTAAAATAAAAAGCTAATCAACGCTTTCTTATAGGCCAGTTCATTACATTTCATAAAAACTGTTGCTCCAGACTGATAAAAGTAAAGCAGAGGTATTCCCTATAAACATTATCTTATACGTGCTGAGTTTGAAGGATGGCAAGTTAAAATTCTAATTAATGTGGTAAGATCACAACACCATGGTCTTGCTGTATGTCGTAGACTGCAGACCGGAGGGTGTATCTGAGTCATGAACGACTGAAAGATTCCTCTTTAAAGGCTGTCAAAAGCATTATCATTATAATTTTTTGTCTAAAGGTTAACATAGCCAGGTACAGCGGTCTGTGAAGAGTAATTATTTTAACAAGTATAACACTTGACCTACTGTCATTTGCCCTTGGGACCAATCTTCCTCACCAATACAACAGTAAAAACATTTTCAAGCCTTCACTGCCTATGTCGTAATTAAAAAAAAAATTCAAACTGATAGCATTTGCGGAGTGCATGTTAAAATCTCTGCTTTTACAACGTGAAACCCAGCACAACTAAACATCAAAAGCGCTCTTACATTAAATGTAAAAAAACAGCACAATAAAATGATCATAATAGATTTTAACAGCAACAAATCATTTGAATTGGGCTCCCTAACACATTCATAAGGCCTACAATTTTAAGCCATTGGTGCAATGACATTCCAGGCATGCAATTATTCATAACTAGACACACTTCAGTCAAGAGCTAAACGCAGAATTCCAGCTAAAGGTCAGATGAAAAAAAAACGAAGGAAGGGTATTTCTGCAGTGGTTCTGATGTGATGTGTTTTTGTAAACATTTTCTGTGGTTTATATCCATCTTATTATCACCTTTTGGGCAATGGTTAGGAAGTTGTAATGTGGTGTAATGTAGCATCATTCCAGTAAAACATAAAATAAGATCACTTTATTGGCCATATACAATTTCTTGTATTAGCAATTTGTCTTTTTTTTTTACATACCCCAACTTGCTCTCCATGAGAAACACAGACAGGGGAGAGAAGCCTGGGGTCAGAGCGCAGGGTCAGCCTTTTATACGGCATCCCCTGGAGCAGTTCAGGTTAAGGACCTTGCTCAGGGGCCCAACGGAGTAGGATTCCTCTGCCGGACGCGGGATTTGAACCGGCAACCTTCCAGCCACAGGCGCAGATCCTTAGCCACAGAGCCACATGTCAATTTAATGTTAATTATGACATCATTAAAAGCGTGCCAGCATTCCAGGGACAAGTCTGAGACAACATGTAACGCTTCCTGTCTTCATTTACATTGTAGTGTTTGGATTTAAGACACCAAATCATTCCAAACGAAAATTAAGAAGAATGTGAAATCGTTATCTCCATCTTAATTTCATGTTTTACAACTGCGAAACTAGTTTAAAACTAGCTTAAGTTTAAAAATAAGTATTCCTATTTTTTTTATTTAAAATAGACTACTCTCTGCATGGGTATTGTGGGAACACAATTCTCATTTTTCACGAAATGCACATGTAGATAATAGCCTTTTGCACAGAATTTCAAAAATGTAATTACAGACGCGACAAATAAAAACATAAAAGGAGGCTAATTTGTAACGGATATTGTGAACTCTGAAACACAAGACAAATCAACCACCTTGTACAATTAATCCATTTTTTAAAAGCGACTTCTTTACACACACTCTAAAAGGACCTATTATACCTATTATACGTTTCTTCCTCAAGACCTCACAAAGCAGCACCTTCTCTGTAAACCGAAGGTAGCGGACCTGTCAACATCCCGTCACAACGCTGAAGGAGTCAACATGGACCACTGGCCTGTTTTAATCCCCGGATACAAACTTGGAAACCAATCGACGAGAAGCGAAATGTGAAGAATTCCTAACGGCAACATGCGCTTCCCCCTGAGAGAGGCCGTGCTCCACTGGGTACTTGGAGGGGACAAGGTAGGAGCACAAACCCTCTGTGTACCTGCTGTTCTCCCCGACTCCAGCTACAAATCGTTTCTGCGGGTGTCTGTCTTTGATCCTCTTCAGAGTGACACTGTCTTCGGCGACCACCCAGACATCGCCTCCCCTCCCTCCTTGTCCACCGAGTCGGGGCAGACCCATGCCTCCACTACCACCCTTGACGTACAGCCGCAGGTTATCCACAAAGTTCCCATACTGCAAAACCGAGAAGACAAAAAAAAAAGGAAATTGTTGCCTTTTATTGTTTGTCTAACAGAAAATGTGTAAAGCACTGACGGGGTGATTTTTAAAGCTTCCTACTGGCAAGTAGTTTCCAAACCGCTCACCGGTCCAGAGTTTTCATCTTGCCACTGCCTGATCTTACATTTTAATGTTTACTTTGCTTTACACTGTGAACAAACCTCAACATTATCAGTGTGAGGCTTGCATTTTTATACGAGATATACAGTTTTTACCGGATTCAGGAGGGTTCAAAACAAAATTGTGCAACAATGGCTCTAGAAAATCAACAGCATTGTGTTCCAGTTTCCATCAGAACGACTTTCTCCACCCAGTCATTCAAAGATCCAGTATACTGAGTTAATTTTATATATCATTTTTGCACGACAGCAACACACAATACAGATGGAAAACTCAGCATATCATAGGAAACAAGCTCTTAACAGAAAGAAAATAAAAGAGTACAACAGAAAAGTGAACGAATGAAATGATGCAAAGAAACCCCAAAGTTAATGCTAGCCTGTCAAAACTGAACGACGTGAAGGGAGCAATGTTCAGTCCTAAATGCTCTGTCTGAATTTCCACTTGAGGAAGCGCATTGAAGACTGGTATCAGGAGATTATTCATAGCACAGCGTGTATTGCGAGAAAGCAGCAGGTTTGTCAAACATCCTGAATCTTGAAAGCAAAACTAAGGTCTCTTAAAAACAAAACTTGCTCTGAGAAGTGTCAACTGTAAGTTCAACTCGTTAACTCTAACTTAACATTGCACAGCTGTGGGAAGGGTAAACACACAACATATATAGAATACAAAGGAACGAGTAATAGGTTTATTACATGCTGAAAACAGAAGAAATAAAACACAACGTTTCGGCCGTGGAGCCTTCTTCGGGTGTGAAGAAGAATACAGAGTACAATGCCTTTGGTATTCAGGCATTATATTACTTTACGTTACAAACCAGCTTCTTTACAACAAGAAAATATTACTTTATAGTACAGAACCTCCTTGAACATACTCCAACACCGGGGAGGGGAGACATTGCATCTCACTAACCTTCCTGAGGCAAAGTCTGCTGCAGCAAACCATGCTTGTGCGCTGTGGACGAACGCGAGAGAAAGCCCAGGAGACCTAAATGCTCATCACCGGCTGTTTCGGTTCAATGCAGCCAAATCGACTCATTAATCGAACGAACTATTGATTATGCTTCACGTGTTCCGGTACACGGCCACTCGCGCCTAGGAAAACCTCACTTTGCTAGCTAGACCCGCAAGGAAGCACGTTTCTCTCTGAAACAGGAAGCGAGGAGGTTGTTGATACACCCGGCCAACCATAGGAGCTCAGTACCGCCAATCACCGCTGCAACCAAGAGTGGTCCAGTAAAATGTAATGTCTGTAAACTTTAGGGACAAGGCGCTGCATTGAGTGTTTTGTTAATAAGTTTTACGTTATTATTGCACTAATGGTTTCTAATTCCGACAGACCCGATGTGTTTCTTATCAATAGTGTAGCTATTATTACAAATCAAATTTTGACATATAGTAATGTGGTCAAAAGTCTCTAAACTCGGATCTATGTTTTTGAGTTGTAACCCGCCAGAATTTTCCATTTGCTGGTGGTGATTTGTGTTTTATTACATTTTGGTTACTGTAAAGCATCACTTTTCAGTGATGTGCGTTACGCACTTATGTTTTATCGCCAGCGTCTTTGGATTCGTTTTTCGTGATAGGATCAAGAAAGGAGTCGGTTATACAATTTCCACAATATTCGCCCTCTGCATTCTTTTGAGTTTTCCAGTTTTAACCTGTAAATTATATATATATATCCATAGACACCTTCACACAAATCTTTATAACCTCGACGTAGAGGTATCGACCAGCTGAAACGCATCTGTGGATTTTTATTTCACAATTCTTAAAAAAAGGAAGCGTTAGAAATTTTTGAAATGGTATTTCATGGAAACATAGACAAGCACCGGCAGCAACACGATTTCTTCAGTTTGAATGTCTTCAGGAGTGCTGCCCTTCAGTTACTGTAACGCCTTCCACAAGCCTGTTGCTCAATTTCATGACGCTAAAATGTGGGCGGTGACCCTCTGTATAAAGATACACAGGCATGAAGGAATTGCACATACCGGTGTACTATCCAGCAGCTGCTCCTTCTTCAAGTCCAGGTGTAACGGGATTGCATATAACTTTTATGCCGCATAAGATTTTAAGGATCTGTTTGTTCCATTTACTGCAGAAGACGCATACCTTTATTGTAAGTGTATTTCTCTATTGCCTGTCCAAACTTTATTCTGCATGAACCTCTCAAAATAGTTGATAGCTGATTGCAAGAGACATTGCATATCCCATAAGTAATGTATAGGTTTTCAATCAATGAAAAAGAATGCAAACGAAAAGAAACTGCAAATAAAAATCGGGATATGAAAATCACGCTTAATTCTAAACGCTTAATTCTACAATAGCCTCACTTTTTTTTTCGGAAAGGAAATCGTTATATAGTTGTGTACAGTACAGTACCCGTTGAATATTCAGAGAAAATATACAATAATTGACGTTTTTATCTTTTAACATCGTTTATTTATTTCCCGTGGGGGTAATATTTTTAAAACTTTTTTAGTGTGATAAATAAAGTTATGTCGATAGGTTAATCGGCAATCAAAAGTTAATTTTGAGACTAAATCTATGTTCAAATAAAAGTCTGTTTTTTTTTACAGTGGCATAAGCTACAGTACAAGTGGCACTACTTAATATCGCCTTCCAGAGCATAAATTGATCTAGCCAACTGTCACACCCAGGAGACTGAATTCTCCAGTTTCTGTGTAATTGCAAAACGTAAAAGAGGGATCGGAGAGAGAAAAAATGATAATAAATGAGTGCAGTCTCGATAGAGGAAAAGACTCTAGAGGAAAGCACACTATTTCAGTGTCAACCGTTTGATCCGACCTGTTCTCACTTTACTCCTCACAAGAGTTTGACCTGGAATAGGTACACAAGCACTAGAATGATGACTCTCTGATTCAATGGCATGGCATTTCAAATTGGCTCTCCTGTACGTTTCTTCCACAAAATTAAGGGAAGCCTGGGAAGAATTGTAAGGATGTTTTTTTTGCACTTGGTTTAAATCCAGGTACTGATGTGTGTCCTGTCTCCTTCCCGTCTCCAGGGTGTTCATCCGTGCACGATGAAATCCCTCAGCAGCGGGTGGTACCTCCAGCTGATTTGCATGCTGATGTTTGCAGTAGCCTCTGCCAAGCCAGCGTTTTTGAAAATTCATCAAGAAGGTCACAGCAATGACCCAGTGATCCTGGGTACGATTGTCCCAGAGTGCTGGGACTCTTCCTCGATTGCTGTGATGGAGATAAAGAAGCTGAAAGTTGGAGATACTGTCAGTGACTTTTGGGACTTTATGATTTACCTGAAGTTGTCTGATTACCCAAAGAATAATACCCTCTTTGAAGATCTGGCACAGCTTTTCTGGAACATCTATGTGGACTGTACTTTATCAAGGGCCCATGGATTAGGTCGGAGGTATATTATATCAAAGAAATACACCACAAAGTATACAGAGAACTTTACAGAAAGTAAGTACCTGTTCATTTCTCCTGAACAGCATTCTAACTGTTCGAACAGTGTTAGATTGTTCACTGACACAACTAATAATTAGTATTTTTAGTATAATATTATTAGTATTAGCAAAAACACTATGTACAGTATACGCTGCTATTATAATTATTATTTAGTAAATTGTTAGCAACCACAAACAACCACTATTTGGTACACAATTCTGCTAGTAATGAGAAAGGATGACTGCAAGTTATTTTTTAAAATAAAGTGGAAACAATAATAAGTTTTAAAATATTACATTAATTTACACATATTGCCATTCTTGCAATAATGCAAATTATGGTTTATAATTTAAAAAAAGAATGTGGTGTTTAATTTGAAACAGCCATTGAATTGTAGTATTTTCTTAAAGATGAAGATGATCTCACTGACAAGATAGGAAATAGTGTTGAGATAATTGCAGAAAAGGCGGAATATATTGGAAATTAATTCTCTTTTTTCATTCTTAACAGATTTGAAAAGCATTGGTGGAAATCATCTGTTCTAAAGAAGGAAGAATTAAAACAATTATCAGTGTAAATATAAATCTGAGGAAGACTGCAATATATTTAAAAATGGTCGCTATTCATAACTGTTTACTTGATTTTTCATTAATTTAGTATGAAGCACTTATGTTAGATTTTCAGACCATATAATATCATTCAATTCAAATGCTCATACTTTTGTAAATGTGATATATAATTTTCTAAGAGAAATCAACTTTTCTGTTTTTGAGAGAGAGACCACATTTCTCAGGAAATCTAGCAGTATAAAAACAATGCAGCACAATTATTGTAGACAGATTTATTTGATAGAATTCAAACTTTCTATACTGTAATTTAACCATTGTAATGTAGATTCAAGTTATTTTTTAAAGAAATGTGTACCACAGTTCAAAGTAAAACATCCAATTTTGTTAGTCTCCCTATTTGTCCATACATGTTTCTCTTAATATGTATTATAAATTAAGAAAACAATACTGCTGTTTTATTTTATTAATAAAAGCAAAAGAAAATGTTACTTTTTATAACTGTATTTTTTTAAGTTGCCTTTAAAATCCCTTGGAGTTAGTTATACACATAAAATCTCAAAATAAGACTTTAGATGAGAACAGGTTAAGTAAGTATTTATATAGGATTTAATACCTTTTTTAATCTGTCCTATAACTCCTGGTATTTGGAGTATTTATGTGTAGAGGGAAGACTCAAATAAAGAAAGTAATATTATTTTTTATTAATGTAGCACAGCATGTCCAGTTATATTGTACACCCAAATAAAGTCAACCAATTATCAATTCTCAAAAAAGAGCATATCAGCTGAGCCAAAGTAGTCATACAGTACCACTCGTCTGCATTAAAAGTGTTTCCACTTACCTCAACCTTAAAGTGTTTTGCCTCATTCAGAGGTTTGGAAAACTCTAGGAAACAAAATGAAGACAGCAGTAACATTAAAAGCTCCAAAACCATGCATCCCAATAAACCAAAAAAAGAAGGAAGCAGCAGTCACTAATGACATCTGGGACGAATGTCCGCAGTCCTTGAGGAGTCGTTTCAAATATCTTGAAAGAAAGATCAAGACCAGGGCCAAATCAGTTGTGTTCTCTGAGAGATTGCTTGAACTTAATACAGCACTACAGTGTATGGCTGTACCCAAGACGGGTTTAAGCTTTCTTGACCCCTGGAATCCACTCTATCATAAGGAAACCAAGAGCAGAGTACAGGTACGTCTTTATATCAGGGGCTGTGGGAGCCAGGAATGTTGTCAAAGCCTTCACCTGCTTTCTTTCCAAATCCGACTCAGATCAGTTGGCTATTAACAAACAATACGGATAGGCTGAATGGCCTCTCTTTTTATAACCTTACTTATATTTTCAAGGAATACCTTTTCAGAAAAGACAAATTACATTAAAAAGAGGGAGTGAGAAACTGACTTGGAGCAAGAATATACAGTACAGAGAGGTCCAGAAACATTTAAACTAGGATTAAGGGGCACAGAATCCAGCAAAGAAAAATCTGGGAAACACAAAGGCTAGAGTAAAAGGATAAAAAATCAAATAATGAGCAACAGTTCAAATAAAATCATTAAATATTTGCATCTAAATGCTTGGAGTATTACTACTTATAACATATTCCAAGGCCATTGACCAAGCAGGGAAAGGTGTTATAAAGGTTTCTGAAGCTTGGCTAAGGGGAAAGTGATGTGCACGTACTGTATATAATATCAGATTTCCTAAAAAAAAGGTGAGACACAAAAGTGTAAACTGTAGGGATTGGGTGATTTAAGTTTACTTTGATAATTAAAAACTAGATCGATAAAATCACAGAACATTTGATGTTCTACAAATCTTCAAATCAGTCAGAACAGTCTGCAATGTACATGTATGAAGTCAAAGATATAATTCTATTGATACAATAAGAAAATATGGTTAATCAACCAAGACAGGAGTACATATAAATCAAACTGTTTTGCGAAACGCAAATGGCCAACCGATAACAAAGTGATTACCATTGATTTTCTAATTTGTGTATTTTTGGCCTCCTATAAAGTGTTGAGTGAAAGAGTGTTATTAATTTTGTAAATAATTTTTTCCCCCAAAATGACTACCAGTGAGTGTGCACTGCTGTGTCTCTGAGCTCATCGGTTTTGCAAGAATGTTTTTTTTCCTTGTTCATATTCCTTACAGTGAATTTGGTTTTCGAACACTTTGGGGAAATCACCTTTGTACTTGTATGGGTTGAGTGAACATGTTTCTTTTTACCTCGCTTCCTTTTTTAAACAATCATGTTATCTGTTGCTGCCTATTGGAAATATACTATCAAAAGAAAGATCACCTATAATTGCAAGAAATTCATAAAGATATCATTGGGAAGATGGGAAAATGTTTTTTGTAGCATGTCCACTCACTTCTTATGACACTTTCAACATACAACATGGTATTACTGTCATAGTCTTGGAAGACTTGTTACACGAGTAGTAAGATGATGTGCGCAGTCTTGTTGCAATGTAATTACAGCAGGAAGAGCCTTCATAAGGGACAATAAGGGACACCCAGGACCTGAACAATGCATTGCCAAATACATCACTGTCAAATTGCTATTAATCACTACTGGTATAGTTTGGACCAGATACATTTGCCCAAATCATTACACTTGGACTTATCAAGTGGTCTGTTCTACACAACAATTAGTGCTATGTCTGGTATCATTCTGCACACCTGTTCCACACTCACTGATGCCTACGTTAGGGTGGTCTACATAATAATTTGTTTCATTTTTTAAACAGGACTTGGCTCCACTCCTGGCGAATTTCACCTGAGGTGATTTAATTGAGGGTCCAGCATACCAGTAGCACCAAGGTGTTGTTCTCTCGATAAACAGAGCATATTCTTTCATAAACCCTTTCTGTGTTTTTCTTTCTTGATTTTCAGCAGGCTTGACATTCAACAGCTTAAATCATCTCATCATCTGTGCCCAATCAACTCTGACTAATTAAGTGATTTAATGCACAAGCGATGTTCAAAGTAATTTGAGTATATCATGATCAGCCATAAATTATTATATTAATAAATCTAAATGGTGCCAAAAGCATTTAATCAATATCCAAAATCTGTATTCTTTATTGTCCTCAAAACATATAAGCATTAATAGTGAATTTCTAGTTGTTCCTTCTAATTACTTTCTTCTATCTCCTCCACATTTACTGATATATTTCTCTGAGAAAGCATTCCCTCACTGCTGTGCTGGTATTTTATGACAGTTTACAATGGTTTTATCTCAGAACATGTACAGCTTGATTTCACCCATCACAACAGCCCAACATTTAAAGTCTTTGCACCGTAAAAAAGTTCAAATTGCTCTACTTTGGGAGACACATCTCCAGTCTCCTGATGTTCACAGATTTTGCAAAATAAACATTACAGTATTATTGCTGCCTCTTGCCCTCAAAATAAAATAGGGATCCTTCTCCTGATTGACAAGAAGATGCTGTATATATTACTGTTAATGCTTTTAGCAGGGACACTGAAGGGTGTTTCTGTCTAGTCAAGGTAGTGCTTTATGATTCATGCACCTAATGGCATTGATGAAAGTTTTTTTAAACTTGTTAAATGGAACTTCTAAAATGTTAAGGAAGACTTTAATCTGAATTTTACCTTCTTTCTCCAGAGACTTTTAATCCTGTTCGTAAGATATAGCTGATGCTTCGTTTGTGAGAAATAATAGTATGAAAGATTTTGCATTAAGTAGTAAAAAATCTATCCACATTTTTGCATCAATCCTTACAGTAACATGTTAATTCTCCAGATAAATGACCCATCCTTATATCTGATCAAAACCAGGTTTTGTATTCATTTGTTTTATTTCTAGGAACCATTAATACTAAGCACCAGCGTTTTAACCCTTCTCAAAATACCTCACTGGATGTTTTTTTAGAAATGAACAGCTTTGAATGTACTGTATGTATACCTCTTTCAAGATTTTTGAACTTGAAACTCTCTATTTTTGTGGGAAGTCACTGAATGTTTCTTCAGAACAAATGTAGTAAGTGAATATGCCATTTTGAAATTATAATCCTACCTTTGAAAAATTAACAAAAATAATTCCCAGGACAGACTCACTGTTCGGTGATGTATTATATATAAAGTAATTATACTAGCTGGTTATTTGTACTCACATTTGTTCTCAGATGCTGTGCAATTAGGGAAAAAAACAGCAAAAATAAAAATAAGAATTGAAATAAGTCAGTGTGAGATGTTGCAGTGCTTGTCTTACACCAGGTGAAGGATGTCGGGCTCAAGTGAGGTGGTAGTCACTCTGAACAATGCTGGAAGCAGGTGATCAGCAGTCATTCTTGTTCTCAGATGTTGTTTAGTTTCAAGAAGGCTCTCGGACAGCATTCTTTTCTTCAAAACAAATGTAATAAGCGAATATGCCATTCTGAAAATATAAACCGACCTTACAAATACCTTTAGTTTCTCTTCAAATTGCATCCACTGCCTCAAAAAATCAAAATGAGTCTTTTGCTCCCCTGTAATTTCAAGTTTCAATTCAAGGTACTGTACGTATGTCAAAAACGCAAAGGTGCTATCTTCCCTTCACAGATCCATTCCTTCTTTTCACTTAGAAAGGAATGGAGTTCATTTTGCAGGGCAGATAATTTCTTCAAAATGTTTCCCTGCCTAAACCAGCTGTCATCAATGTGCAAAAGGACATCACCATTACAGCACTGATGCTCCTTCAAAAAGCTTTGAATTCCCAGTGATTAAGAGAATGAGCACAAATGAAGTTCACTGATGAAACAGCTACTGTACAGTAAGTCCATTATTTATTTTAATGTTTAATACTTCCCACACAAAGCCTCCAGTGGACATTGCAATGATATTGTTTTAGTAAAGCAGCCCAATCTCCGATGTGCCTCTTTAAGTGACCAATAAAGCCACTTGTCTCTCTTAACATATATTGAGCACCATCTGTAGTTATAGCCACCAATTTATCTTACCGCAAACTTTAGTCTTTTAAGAGTTTTCCTGAAGGCATTTAATAAATCACCTGTTCCGGTGATTCTACCACATAGTGACACGAGATATACAGTAAGCTCTTCATGCATTTGGAATGTTTCTCTTACTCTACAAATACATTGACATGCTCTCATCCAGAGCAGCAGAGAAATATAAAAGTCTTAGTGGTTTTTTTATGTTTGTAAGAAGTAGATGTCATACCAGAAATGTGGTGCTGCATGCATGTTATTGAGAGACTGATGTTTTTAAAGAGATGTTTGGTATCTCCTATACAACATTGGATATTTGCATCAAAAGTCACCACTGATGAAAGGACACCTCAACTCAGCAATTAGCTGAGCAACTTTGAAGCCAGCAATTGCATGCTTCAAACAAAAACACTATGTTTTCCATGACATTGTGTGTTCAAAGATTCTCTTTTTAGTTCACATTTCACCCATTAATTCTTTGCAATTACCATGATTTGCCTTGTAATGGTAACATACTGTACATTACATACAGCACAGCAACAGATTTCAGGCAATTAAAGAATGTACATGCCCTAGGTCAGAAAAGAAATATTTCTTAGTACATTCTAAATTTAACTTTCCTATGTTCAAGATCAATTCTTTTCTTTTGGGTGGTGCTGAACATTTTCCAAACATATCTTCAGGGGCTGGGATAAACTGACTGATGGGCCACACCTGGTCTGCGGGCTATACTGTATATTGTGCACCTGTGCCTTACATGATATAACAAACTGTGCAACTGAAAAGATAATTCTTGTAATTAAAATTGCTAAGAATAGAATAAACAATGTCATATGGCATTCCAGATGTGAAAGAAACAGAAATAAGAATCATGAAGAAGTACTAAAGACGTTTAAACCATAACATTGCTGTCAAGAAGCCTTAAAACATTTGTGTTGAAGAAAAGTAGTTCCTCTTACCTATAGAAAAGTTTTCAAATAAACAACATGATTAAAATTGAATACTTAATTTAAAGCAATCAACATCTTATTGATTAGTAAGAGGAATGTCTTTATTTTATTACTTTATTGGTGCCAAACTCAAACAGCTCCTTCATATCAAATCACATTTTTATACAAAAATGTCTGTGTTAGTATAGTTTTTGCTAGTCTCTTCATTTTTTGCAGCTACGGTAACAAGTCAAAGTGCTTAAATATGAACCACAAGCAAGCATTAGTCTAATATGGCCCACTGAGCAGAAAAACAGATTTCTCTCTAGAGAAAGCAGATGAAGGCTGATCGTCATAGAGCTAACAGTTTCAATGGGTTGTTACACAAACCAGGAAATTAGATTAGAAAAGAGTTGCTTGAATGTAGACCCCTGAGAAAAAGGATGTGATAAGTTTTAGAGTATTTCATGTACAGAACCTATCTGTAACTTAGTTCTTTTGCAGCTTTGGTTTTCTGTAAGGCTCCTCCTCTGATCGAGGCGCGTTCCAGTGCGAGGTCGGTCTTTGCTAATGGTCCCCCAGTCAGGTGTGTAGGAGTGCTATCCACTGTCACCAAACGTCCACAGAAATTCTAGGAGGCAGATCAACACAGCACTTTTTGCTGTTATCATGTAGACTAACATGTTTGCTATAATGTGCTCTTAATACTGTATCCTACACACACATAAATACAAATTTCAGAGGATGCAACATCTGACCAAAACATTTTGAGTGATCACAAAGAGGCATGTTTGTGATGTGATATCTGTGTGATACTGTGATGTGATATCATACAAGTAGGCTGTGTTTCTAACAACATTATAAGTCTTTAAAAACAACATATTCAGTCATAACTTCGGATTGGGAGCTAGAAAATAGATTTAATAGATGTAGTTTAAAAAGCAACATGTATTTAAATAAATATTGCATAAGGAGTTGTCTAACTGTACACTGACTTATTTCACTGAGTCATTCTTTGGGTGTACTACATTGTGTGATTTATTTAGTTATTTTAGGAGTATCATGGAGTATTAAACTAGTTGCATGCCCTAATAATATATTTCTGTATAATAGTCTGGGGATGCACGTTTCAGCATAGTTCAATGTAGTTTATTATGAAAGACTGCTTTTTCTGTAAAGCTTAGGTATTCCTAGGTGCTTTTCATACCCCAGGCATAGCTTCATCATCCTGCTTTGTTACCAGAAACGTCGAGTTAGGATAGGGACACATTCTGAATGGATATTGCAAACATCAAGTTCAGCTTATTAGATTAGATTTAGATATAAAAAGAAAACCTTCAGCCATCCTTATGGTTTCAGTAGTTCCTTAGACATTCCCACATACAGTATACAGTATCAGATTTTTTCAATACTGCCTTTACTTACTGTTGTTTGTAAACCAGTAATCTGTGTTGGGTGGAAAATGGCATCCTGATGTTTTATCTTGAGTTTAGAGGACTCGATGAATTTCTCTTGAAGCTGTTTTGCGACCTGCAATAAGAACGAACAATGTCATTTTGTAAAATACTGCATTTTCCACTCTGTTCGCACTCTTTTCTGTTGTGGCTGCCTGTTTCCTGTTTCACCTCTCTTGAAGAGTAAATATGGATATAAGCATATTATATTTGATCTCCTATGATATACATTCTTTCAGTCTCCCAGTTTGAAAAAAGCTATTGCCGTAGATTTTTAAACGACTCTCCTTTCTAGGGTTAAATCTAATCTTTGATCTACTCACAAATTTCAAAGAATAAAAAGCACTACTTTTTGTCTGTCAGGTTCTTCTTGCATTTTCCCAATTAAAATCCTACACTAAGTGCTCAGCTTTTAATAGGTTCTGAGATTTCAGGGTGAGTGGTAGGCTTGAAGGTCTCTGTACTTGGACTGTATACGTACTTCTTCACAAACAGCCTTATGCTTTCATGTTACTGTATATTTGTACTGAAGCAACTGAGGGACTGTGATATTCTTGAAATATGTATCCCCTGTCTTTTGTAATATTTCTTTGTTCATTATTTTTTAAACATTACCTGAAAAATTTAAAACAACGAATTAAATAAGAGAGTGAGCTCATCAAAAATCAAAAAAGGAAATCCGTACAGGTAACAACTTTGAAACGGATGATAACCTTTTGCACACGCCAGTGATGTACTATATACAGCAGCAGTATATTTGATAAATAATTGCATGCTGTTAAAACAAAATATCAGGAGTAAAAAAAGACAATGCTGAATAAACTTTGGAATTAAAGGTGGGAAGAAAAAAGGCAACAAAATTACCTAGGGGTTTGTATTATATTTTCAGAGCAATCAGCTCACTTTTTTGCCTGGAGTTAAGAAGCACGCATTAATCAGAAGCTTTTATATTCTGTTCTTAATAGCCTGTTGTGAAAAATAAAGCATCCATTCTGGCAATGTTCCTTTTTCATTTACAACAATCACTGGCATTTTACCATGGAATTTTACCATGTATGAACATTTTTAGAAACATGATAATATCACGGTTTAAAAAATATATTTTTGTGTCAGGATTAGATGCAATTAACCATATCTGTTCATATCTTTGTAGCCAATTTATTAAAATGATGTAACCTACTGAAAAACAATAAACTTTGAATATACACTGCTCTGTTGAAACTAATAGCAGACACAAAGATTTGTAGGTCCTGAAAAGAAACAATTTACCTTCAGGACTGCATGGTTTGATGTCTTCGCAACAAAATCCTCCCATGACTTTACATCAAGGTCTTGCTGCTTGTGGTTGGAGCGAATCTGTGAAGGAGTAGTACTGGAATGTAAGAAAGTGCAGGAATCTACTTTCTGTTTAATGTGTAGTGGCCCATCTCCATGAATTGGGTTCTCACCTCTGCATACATCTGCTGCTCATCCAGAAGATCCTGCTGCTGTTGGTGCTCCAGCATGCTGGTCTGCAGGGCAGCCACTGTCTTGGCCATGTCTTCTGAAGACTTTGCAATCGTTTCCAAAGCCACTTTGTCTGGTGTGACAGGTCTCACTCGTTCAACCTCAAGTTCTCTACTGATTTCATTCCAGACCTCTCCGACCTGTTAACAGCATCGGATAATAGATGTACAATGTTTAAAAAAATCACTACATATTAGAAAAACAAATAACGATAACTATACTGCTTAAATACTCAAATTGTGAAACTGGGAAATATTTTTTGTGAATTATTTTACAAAATGTTTAATCCTGAAAAAGACATGGATGATGGCTGCTGTCATTTTTATGTTTATATTTGGGGTACTTCAATCAATAATGGAAAAATAACAATAACAATAATAATGCTTAGGCAACTGAAATGCACACTTCAATATGCGCCATAAATAAAAGATGTTTTCTTGGGCAGATGAATGCTGTTTCCCTGCAGGAACTCGCCCTTACATAATATCATTTGTTTTGTGGACCGAGCAGATGTAGGATTTGTATAAAGCAAAAAAAAAAAGTGTAAATTTATTTTATCTAAATGTACGTGCAACTATAAAATACTAAAAATATACCTATCCTAACTTCACTATAAGTTATGCATTTTAAAGAAACAAAAAGAAATTAATGTGGGTGTGAATGCAAATGTGTAAGAACATTAAAATGTACTAAATTGTATCTACTCGTAATTTTAACCTATTGAACGCGGGGGTAAACAGCGATGAAATTAATAGCAGTGGCTTTAAAAATTCAAATTGTGCTTTCTTAACAATTAGATTTTACCTTAAAATCAAGATATCTACTGATGATAGCAAGGGTGACATAATCTCCTGTAGTTAATCCAGGTAAATCTTCAAAACCTACAAATGGAATAAATGTTATCAAACTATGCTGTACATAATCCAGTGATAATCATGGACAGAGGGCTTGATGTGGTTTTATTTTCCACTCCTGCAGAAATTTAAATCAATGACGTTCACCGAATAAAGAAGATGACATTGGTATTTACATAATGTCCTTGTACCCATTTTCATATATCACTGGCTTCTCCAGTACACAAGAATCTCTTTAACTCATTTCCTCCACAGGAGTAGGGAAGCTTGGGTGCACTGGTATTTCACACAGGCATCAAAGTGAAATCAGCCACTACAGGGAGAGTATAGTAAAATTCCCCGTTAGTAGCTTTTTAAAAAACGGTTTATTGCAGTGGCACACATGCCACTTTCCGCTCTGGCCAGCAGGGGTCTCCATTACAATATTTTACTGCATGTCCTAAATTATTTCACTTACCGAGTTTGCAAAACATGGAATAAATTTTTGCTCTCATGTTCTCAGAAACTTCCATCACTGCTGCACTTGGCCTGTTAGCAGACAAAGGCACAACCTGTTCCTCTTCTTGGTAGTAGCAGAGTAAAGGTTTCTTGGCGTCTAAAATTTCATAAATTGAAAAACCATTAGTAGAAAAACAGAAAAAAAGGCTTGTATACGTAATGTGTTATTAGGTCCCTAAACACACTTAAGAAATCTACTTCATAGAAAATATACAGGGTGGTTTATACCTAGAATTAAGTAGTTTTTTATAAATTGATTGTAACTATTTAAAAATGTATACATTTCAGGGAAAAGGTGATAAACTAAATCAAGGATTCACAGCAGATTACAGCTGTCAAAATACAGTGAACTGTAAATACAGAGAAAACATCCACAGTACATCTTGACCAGATCTCATTTCAGGGCGGTAGTGCATTCAACAGAAATGATAGTTAGCAATGGTAGACCAAGGTGTTGTGGTATATTGAATTTCTCACCATGAAACCACTAGTTGGCATGTGAGAAAGCTACAGTATACATTAAACATACACAGCTGGTTCTGTGCAGTGTACTTAAACCTGGAATGGGAAATGATATTGCAAAGATTGTAAATAAATTAAAATCTTATCAAGCGCAATTGGGCCATTTAAAAAAAAAAATTCTTGTCCTACAGGAGAACAACCTTAATTAAAACAACAATCTCTTTGTATAGGTACTGTAGTATTCATTTATTTTCTGCTTTCTGTAAACCTCTTCCCTCAACTTAGCTTCTCTTTGAAGTACAGAAAAGCACATTAGTGCCGTTCTCCAGTATTTTCCCATTCAAAGCACTTCAGCAACCCATCATTTGGAAGCTCTTTTCATCTGACACTGGTTGCTCCTTAACATTGTACAAGCAAAATGCCAAAGCAACATGTTTTTATGTACATCAAAGAAAGGATGAATTTACACACTACTTACAGGAATCATATGAAATAAAATGACATTTAATCAGTTTTTCTGCTGTTGTAGATTGCTTCCTGTTTACCTTCATGTAATGAATTTAGTCATTCAGAAATGGAGAAGTTCACTTTCGGAGGCAGACCCTTTTGTTGTTAGACTCTCCATTTACAGAATTCCATCGCACCAAACTTCAGGCAAGCTGAAACTCTGTGCTTTTTCAAGTCAAGTCCAAGTTGAAAACTTTTTTTTTATGTGAATTATATTTTTTGTACAGTATGAACATTTTCCTTAGACAATGCTGGGCTGCTTGTTTTTTTTAATCCTATGCAGTGCCCTGGGATTCTCTGATGTGATACAGTAAGTGCTATACAAAAATAAAATATGGCAAAAATGTGACCAAATATGTTCAGCTGTTTTGCACTGACTTTTATTTCTGATGACCATTGTAATCAGAATGTTTTTTCACATCCTAACACGTGCCTGATTTTAGAGAGCCTACCTACAACTCTTCCATGCTCATCCCGCCTCACTCCCAGCTCACTCTCCTCTGTTCTCCACAGACGCACCAGGAGCACAGGGGCAGTCAGGTCCTTGTCGCCCCGCCACGTGTTGATGTGTGAAATACTCTTGGGATTATCGCAAAACTCAAGCAATGTCCCCAGGATCACATTCTGCATATTTCTGGGACTTGACTGGATTTATCAAATGAGCAAAATCAGGAACTGGTCAGATTTAGTACTGTACATTCACAGCGTATGGTGCTAGTAATCATTTTACTGACAATCTAGCTTGATCGATTGAAGACATGCAGGTAATCATTAGGATTATTAACAACATGAACATCCAGAAACAGAAAAACATTACAGGATGTTTTGATAATCATCATAGATCATTAAAGTATGTTACAATAAATGCACTATCTTAGAATAATTCTAAGGATTCATCCCATTTTCCTCCTTGTGGCAGAATAAGTAAACGTTTAATAAATTACAAACAGAAAGTTTTAACTTACATGAAGCAAATCTAGCAGGAGAAAGATACCTTCTTTTGTTAAAAACAAGTCCTCTGTGGTATAGCACCCCACAATGCAAGACCTTCAAAATATTGCATGATGTAATTACACGTACAGAAGTAGCAATAACACTGATTTCCTATGTTTTAACACCTCTCATTCTGGAAATGACTAAACTGACTTTAACAGCGCCAAAATGTATAACAAAATGTAAACATTTCCACAAGCCTATTGTAATTCTCTTTCTGAAATGCTTAGTATGACTGTGTTAACAAAAAGGGTCATAAAACAGTCAAAAAAGTGACTGTCAGAAGACTGACTGCAACAATATTTGCTATAGACCTTTGTATGCATTAAACAGACACAGTGAGCCTTCCAAAGTAAGACTTCGTACTAGAAAAGAAGTTAAATTATTTAAGAATTAACCACATTGGCATTTACCTGTTGCTTATTTTACACATAACCTACTTTTCTGTGCACAGGCAGATAATTATTATGAGGCTACTAATAATAAACAATAGCTATTTAATTATTTGAGAGTTAACTCACCAGATGCAATCCACTGTGGAAAGAATAAGCTTGTTGTGACCAAGCCCACAGTGAAACTTTGTAGGGTCCATCTTTAATAGCTGAGTGGTCATTTCCACTCCATCAGAGCCAAATAATTCCTGAGGTGATAAAATCCTCTTTAAATAAACTATTAAGATCCCATAATCATTTTAGATCTCTTAGCAATATACCATTTGATTAAAGAAACATTTATATGGCTGCTGTCGCATCATCCAGGTGGATGCTACACATTGGTGGTGGAGGGGAGTCCCCATTACCTGTAAAGCACTTTGAGTGGCGTGTCCAGAAAAGCGCTATATGAGTGTAAGCAATTATTATTATTATATCACACCAAAAATTCTGAATAAATGTCTAATCCATATTATTAATTTAATTTAATTAAAATATTCTTAACTCCAAACCAGAACTGTTTTCACCTCTCCCCTTATTCCACAACTGTCAAATTTCAGCTTCAGCATACTTAGTCTTCAAAGAAATACTAAACATGCATTCAGATTATTTTCATGTTTAAGCAGGCAAAACTTCCATTTCAAAATCTAGCCACACCAACTAAATATAGTTTAAATAACTACGAGTTTTACCTTTCTGTGCATATCATTTTCACAAAGTGTTGAGAGAATCAGTAGCATGTCTGTCTTAATCTCTATTATTAATGCGTCATCCTCTTCAGTGGCATCTGCCATATTCTTCAGAATTCCTACAAAACATTTCCACGAATGCATTAAGGTTTACAGCACTATAAAATTAGCTTTAAGACAATAGTTGTCTTGAAGGAAACATAAAGATTACAAGAATGGCAGGATATTATACTCAGGAACCCTGCATGTTTATTCTTAGAATAATAAAGTTTAAAAAACATTAATCAGAAAACAATTTTTCCAAAGTCATTTCCTTTTTCCTACAGTATGTTCAATAAATTGTCAGTGTACCTGCTACAGAAAATCCTAATAATTTTCCTGATAATAACTATGTGAATCTGTTGCAGTTATAAGTGATACAGTAGGTTGTTATCCTTCTGAGAAATATATGTTGTGTAATCTGCTTAAGTGCAAAACCAATTATTTTTGTGATTTGCAACCACATTTTTAAGATGAATTAATATTGTAGGCCAACTGATAACAATCTTCACCTTGTTGTGAAGAATTTGGTGATGCTTTCCCTTAGCCACATCCACCAAAGGCAGCGATAAATTATTTTATTTCATACACAAAAAGTCAGAGCTGTCAATCTATAATATATGTGTACTGAAACACAGAATAAACTGTAATCAGTGTTATTTTTTTGACAGGCACAAAGTCTCCAGATATTACAGCTCTGGAATGAACTCAGAGAAAAGCGACCTATTGCATTCCATGGCTAAAAGGAATGTCCTACTCGGGCAGGCTAAAAATTTAAACATACAAAAGAATGGGGGACTTGATTCAAACCCTCAAATTCCTCAAAGGAATCAACAAAGTCAACCCAACGTAGTTCCTCAGGATCAACACTGTAACACAAACTAGAGGGAACACATGGATCTAAGAAGAAATTAATTGAAGGGCTGGAACAGAGCTTTCTCATTGTTCTTACATCAGCATTCACAACTTTCTCCGTATAAAATCAAATGAGGACATTCATATGCTTAAATGCATTCCTGGGCTTAAATGAGTGCTTAAAGAGGGTAAACATAAAGTGAAATTAATGGCAGTATGTCCCATGGAATGTAGACTTACACAAGATGCACATAAGCAGCCATATTTATAAACTGTGCGGTATCTAGACACAAAAAATATCGGTTTGTACTGTACAGTATGTCTTCATTTATTAAATACAATTTAAGTGCAGAGACATGTTATCTGTAGTCATAACCTGCTTTTCTCACCCACAAGTTGGCTGATTACTCCTTGATCACAGAGGTCCTGATTTGCCATCTCATCACCCAGAGATGTCATGGTTCTCAGAAGTCTGAGGCAGTATCGCATCTGGGCTTTTTTGCTACCCTTCCCACCACTTCCATGGAAACTGTTGCCATGTCCAAAGTAGCCATCTGTTTGAAGATATATAAAATGGCATGCAACTGAGAATATGCAGGTAAAGAGTTTTATTTTTAGGGTAAAGAAGCATATTTGTTATGTCAAGGAGAGAATACTTACTAAATCTACAATTCTCAAAATGCAAATTGAGACTCAAGACCATTAAGTGGACTCCAAATTGTATTACTTCAACAACCGCTGATAATCACTGCTTCCAGGACTGAAGAAAGTTAATGAAACAAGTGACCCACATCAGAGACATGAAGCTTAACAACGTCAGATGTAAGGGTAAGGGTACATCCGCCATCAGAAAGCTGCCTGTGACAACCCAAAGCTTATCCTGAGACCATAGGGTAAAAGGTGGGTCTACACCAAGGATGGAATGCTATTTCAGCATAGGGCATATAAACAAACATATAGGGAAAACGTAAAGACATCTGAGAACCTATCCCACAGAAAGAGCCACAGAGATTCAGGGAGACGTCCACTCAGAAGGCACCCAATTCCAGGATCAAACCCGGAGTCCAAGAACTGTGAGACAGCAAGATTAACAGTCATGCCACAATGCTGACTCTTGTAAAGGAATGAATCAATGTTATGACTATCACTACTAACTCCTTGTATGTTGCCAGAAGCATCCAAGATAAGAATGGTATCATTTCATTACAAAAAAGAACAATTACAATATGCAAACTATGGTAAGTGTACAAAGCTACTGGACTCTGAGTTAACCATCAAAATAGATATAAAAAATTACCTTCACTAACACACCATTCTAGCAATAGTAGCAGGCGCGTACTTCCTTGACAGGTCATGTAATCATCTAGCAGTAGAGGGGCGACTGCTGCCAGTGTAGCCAGGGCCTGCAGCTGAAGCTCCTCCTGCTGGACAGCAGTCCACTCCAAAGCTGCGGCCTTCTCACTCGGTTTGATGTGGTGGAACAGGGCCAGGAGCACTTTACACTCATTGAACAGCTATACGAGACACATATAAACATCTCTCTTTAAAGGCCACCTTGAGATAAACAGTGTACTACGCTGCTTCAGTTGTGATAACAAAGGCCAATGGAGGCAGAGAATTACTATAGATGATAATGAGTACTATTGTTAAGTATTGTCCTGTACTACTGTTTTACTAATGAACTCAGTGCAAGTCACATGATTAGCAAAGCAGCCTCATTTGCAATGTGTGCAAGGAAGTATAGAAGAAGAAAAATTAACTGAGTGCACAAAGTACCTGCCAAATTACTTGATAGAATATTTATATTTTAGCATGGACGAGTAGGACTGCTGAGAAAACAGCTTCCTGGCAAACCACGTAGACATAGACTGGGTTGCCAAAATCATTAAATGTTTGATTTTGATTGTATATTTTATAAATAAACATTTAAAACGTATTACAATATATCTTACAATACAAAATCAAATCAGTAACAATGGTCTGCGTTGCAGTTTTGGTAATTGTGTTATTTGAAAGTCATGTCAAATTCTCCATGGCTCTAAATCAAATCGCTCTAAAAGAGATCAGAATTTTTTTTATCTGCTTCTGAAGTTTTGTGAGCAATGCGTTTTTGTGTACATATCTGTGTGTTGATGAAAATGCATCAGAGACGTTCACTAATACAGCTCACACAGGTCATCATATTGCTGAACATATCACTGTTCTCAATGATAGTGTAGCTGTGTATTGTTAAAACATACCTGCACAGCAGACAGATCCCTTGACATGACAGCAATTGCATTAAAAAACAACTTTTTCATTTCAAAGTCTTCATTGTTAAAAGAAAGTTTCAGGTTGCGGACCAGTGGGTTGTGAGTCTTAACTAGACAAAACAAAAACAAGCCTTATTTACATCTTAATTCAAAAGAAAAAACAGAAAGTAGATTACATAAACTCTGCAGGAGGATATTTAACATATTAGTGCATTTTTATTAAATGTATCACTTGTTGTGCTTAGTATTACATTTCCATGTTTGGGTCAATATTAATACAATGAGTTATTGTTAATGAAATACCATATTTTATTAAGTACACTTACTTTCAGGAAATGTTGCAAATAATATGAGCTGCTTTGCAAATCCACTTTCCTGACAAAAAATTAAAAAAAAATAAGTTATTTTAATTAAACAAACATACAGCATTTACACTGAAATCAAAAATTAGCTTTTGTGCTTTACACAAGCCTAGTGATTATTCTCACCACATTTTCAATTGATAATCCAATGTAACTAAATTGTAAAAACAAATTTTTACTACTTACAATTATGGGAGCTTTAGGATTTTCTGCAACTACTGTTATAATCACTAGCAAATCATTTCGAAGCTGCAGGTCATATTGTCGGAAGCCTTTTAAAAGCTGATTCAAAAATGCATCTTTTAAAGCCCTATGAAGGGAAAATCAAAGCAATGTTAATTAAAACCATTACAGTATTTAGTTTTAGAGTTTCAGTCATTTTTGCAGGAAAATATTTAGTAAAGTGGATTCTTATAAGTATCAGTTTGGAATTGCAAATTAAATTTGTACAGTAAATTCACAAATGCCAACTCAAATTCCTCTTGATTATTTTGTATACTTTAAATCAATTTTCGAAACATATATAAAGAAAAAGATATAGCACCATCTAGTGCTTCAAACCCATACATACAGAAGAAAACATTTTTCTTCGCCATATCGGCTCTGAGCTGAACTGCTTATCAAACTACTATTACATGAAAGGTGTTTAGACAATTTTTGGATGATTAATTGAACATACTATGGTATATTTATGCAAGGTGCCAATGACCAATGAGTTTTGATAGGTATACCATCACATAATTCTGCTAGAATATACTAGTTGAAAAACAAAAATATAAAAAGCCTGTTCATACCGAACGATGAACAATATCTGTATAGGATGTTATTTCCATCATTTACAGTATGTGTAAGCAATAACAGCTAGATCAATCTTATGAGATTTTTTATCACCAAATACAGAGTGTACAAAAATTGATATACAGATTCAGTCACCCAAAGATTTTCTAAGCAACTGATAAATAAAGCAGCCAATAAATAAAGTATGTATTCATGAAAAATGTTTAAAAGCAAGATGATCTGCATGGACTAGCAGGTTCTCCTTTTGTATTAAAGAGGAACATTATTTTAAAAATAAATATCTTTTTTGGAATTAACTAATAAGAATCCTATCTTGCCCTTCAGACTTATTTTTTTGTTTTTTTTTTACAAATGTCAAAGACAGTGCACTAAAATATCAAATGCTAAAGCCATATTTCACTTTTATTCCTATTTCTATATCTATATTTTATTCCAATTTCTAGTTATCTCCTGCATTAAAAATAATGTACAGTTAAAAAATACCAACATTATACAATCCAGATTGCTTAGCTGAGATGTAACTTCTTCTTTGCAGCCATTTTCCAACAGATTCCACAATATTTCAGATGAACGGAACAGAAGCTGTCCTGAGGGGTCATGGCCATTCATTTGAGAGCATATCTTACTGGCACCTCCAGCTTTGAGGATCAGGCTACAGTTCATTTCTGCAAAGAAAGAAGCAGGTTGTTCATATTATGTGGTTTTCTAAAATGGAAGCTTACAGTACATGATATGTATCTGACATGCAGTGGTAACACAGTGGTACGTTTTGGACTGATAACAGGAAGGTTGTGAGTTCAAATCACAGGTGAGATGAGATGCTGCTGTTGTGACCTTGAACAAGGTACTGAATACTGCACTGTTCCAGTAAAATACCCAGTAGCATAAATCAGTGCAAATGTAAGTAACCTTGGATAAAAGTGCCCGCCAAATAAATCAATATAAATTAAAGGGATTACATTGGCATGGTTGAGAACACTATAAAAGCAGTAAGCATAAGGCATGAGTCATGTAGGTTGACCAGAGAAGCCACAGCCTGAAGCAGCGGTCCTAGTCCACTAAAATCAGACCAACCTGAAGAGTGGGAAAGCATCTGCAACGCTCGGAGAACTTGCAGCCTCACTTCAGGTTGACCTTCCAATAAAGCCATAGACAGTACCAGTGTTTCAGCGACGCCACTTTTCTCAGCCATCTGCACCTTATAAGCTGGACTGGTGGGTTGGAAACCTGTCAGAATGATAATGTGTCAGCTAGAAAATGATTTTGGAGAGCAAACATAATACTGTAATATTTGCTCATTTTCGTAATATCCACAATGAATAATAAAATAATATTAAAAAGCACAAAAATAAGCAATCCAAACAAAGAATTGGACCCTTGCAAGCTTTGTAGTTTATTAGCATTGTGAATCTAAAATTCTGTTCTGCTTCTATTTGAAGGAGCCAATCAATTTGGCCTCATCCAACAGGCTGGGAAGTGCTTCAGATACGAACAACTTTCTCAACCATTCTCAGGCCTAAAACCTAATCCCTTTTATTTTTCTGTTTGTGACCCCATGTCCTTGTTTCACAGCTGAGTATGATGTAAACCCTAGGGTGAGCCTACACTATGTAAGATTTTGTACAGTATGATTCATACACTTTAGCATAATGTGCCTTGATTTAAAATCTAAAGTACATTCAATTCTATATACCAAAGTATTCTGGTTGCTTCTTGTAGTAGACAATCATCCATTTCCAAAATGATCTTTAAAAAATAAATGTATAAATAATTATACATGCTTATTTTATGAATAATGTAATTTATTTTCATTTATAAAAATTCCAGAAATTAGTGAAATGGCACTGTTTTTTAATTAATTTCATACCTTCAACATGGTCTTTAGGCATTTTTGGATTATAGAATGATATTATAGAGGCACAGATCTGCAATCTAACTTCGACAATGGGGACTCTCATCATATAACCTGGAAAAGCAGAAGATATGACATCAGTTTCTCACCCATTTATTCAAAAAAATATTCCAAAAAACATATCTATATTACACATTCAAAAAACATACCCATCTGAGAGATAGATTCTTTCACAATCTGGGCATAGTTTGTCTCATCTGTCGACTTTTCTTTTAAGAATGGCAAGCTGAAACGTATGATAACTAACACAAATTAATACAAGCATAGACATTAACAATTACATAAAAACATTTAGCTACAGTATAGCCTGAATTAGTCTTATTCAACATAACATTACTGGATTTACAATGGAACTGAAACATTTTATGGGACAATTTTTGCAAGTAACAGTCTAAGAAAAAAAGATTTCTTACCTACATAATTTAAATAAGCCACACATTATCTGAGTGTATTCTGGATGATCCTTAGCTTTTTCAGCACAGAGATTTAGAATTTTAAATATCTGCACCAAATCTTTAAGAAGCTGTTAAATACTTGTGTTAAAGAAAACTACTTAAATTGTTCAAATAATTCCTAAACAAGCTATTTACTGTACATTCAAGTACTGTGAGAATTAGATTGACATAGTAATTCTTCATACAGTACTTGTAATTGGCAGGTTGAGTTTAAGTCTCCACTGCAGACACAGATGTTGTACCTCTTGAGGGAGGTACTGTACGTTTCCACCCAGCTGTATTAGTGGGAAACAAGCATTGCTGAGGGGTAATCTCTGCTCCGGACTGGTGTCCTATCCAGTGGGGTGTCATGTCATGTGTTTTCTAGTCTGCCTAACACTACAGAAACCAGGATGAGCTCTGGCCTGATGAGCCATTGGGGTTCTGGTAAGAACTCTGCCTTAACCTTAATAGTAAGAATAGTAGAATGTTTTTTCACATCTTGAACTTATATACACAGAAACAGTTGTGTCTTCAAAGACAGAACAGCAAAATCGTCCTAAAAGAACTGTTGATAATAAAGTCAAGGATTCGGTTCCTTAAATGTAAATATATACCTGGCTTTCTAGGACATCTATTGGATTACACAATAAAACATAAATTTCAAACTTTTTTCAAAACTAAAAAAAAATAATTACAGAAGGATTCCCCCTTACTACAAAACAGTCTGACCGTGGTAACAGATCACAAGGGGGAATAAAGCTGGAAACAAACCATACTAGAATTAATTGGTGTTTAGGGAATTCAGGGAGGCAGTATGTTCTTATGGTGACTGGGGATTTGGCCATTAAACAGTCCTTAACAATCCTGTATTTTCAAAACAACAGATCTTTAACACTCTCATTTTAGACTGATTAATTGGTAATATCAGAATAAAGTCAATGCCCAAAGCACAATGGCCTCAAATTATTGTTTTATGAAGAAGGATTTTGAAAACTCTAGCTCGAATATACATGTAGAAAATGTATATACTATTTTGCCCAATGCACTTTATGCAGCACCGTATAAATTGTAACTTGCTCAGGCTGTCTACTTTTATTAAAGGATGTGAGTCTTAGAGATGAGGGAAACTGACTTGAAGTTTTCTAATTGCTATCTGAAGGTCTGTTCTTGAGATAATACAGTATAAGAGTGCTAAAAAAACAGTACATACTAGGACTGTCAAAAAGCAAGTTGAAATGGCAGGTTTGCCAACTGACAAAGGGAATCAGCATAAATAATTCCTCAAGTCTTTACTTTGTTTATTGAGATTAATATAATTTGAAGAATGAAAATAACCTTTTAAAACTAATATATATAATATTTAGATGATTAATTATTAAAAATAAATTTGAATATATTCATAATTTTACAATACCTTATACTCTAATTATTTTTGTTGGACTGCCAGACAAAACACATCTCAAGGTACTTTCATTAAGCAAAAAAAAAGACATATAAAAGATATGTCTTGGGTTTGGGATTTAAAAACTGATACAGTTGTACACTAGCAGATGGAGGTAAGAAGGGTGCTTAATAATGTTGAAATCCCTAAAAAATCAATACTGATTTCAATTACTATGAGAACACTGTTTGAAGTTGACATAAACCGGTTCAAATACATTTCCTGATGATACAAACAAAACATTGAGGTCAATCCTTATCTCAATCCTTACCAATCCTTACCTTATGGATAAAAATTACTGAAAAAAAAAACTTTCAGTTATACTTTTCTAAAAAAATCTAACTATAGCATCCCTCTGGTTCAAAGACACCTTAATGTACAAACTATTATTGGTCAAACCTTTGTTGGTTCATGATATATCATATCTAACACTCATTCTTATCACTATATGATCAATATACACAGAGCTATTCCATTAAATGAAAGTTCTATTAAACAGATAATACAGATAAAGGATACAAAACCATTTTGGTATCTTTTCACCACTTTCTTCAGAACAAAAAGATGTCTTTCCTTCAACGTACTCTGAAAAACAAAACACAACATGGCTTCAAAAGAAAGTACACAACGCCCAGATTTCATTTACAGCTTATCCCGGGAGAGGAAAATTCTGGTGAACCGTCCAGACTTCTCCCTTGTTTCCTACTTCAGCACTAAATCACATACTCTATCATACATACAGTGTATGTGTAACTTTTGATAGTTCAGATTTCCTAGATGCTGTTAAAATTACACAGCAGATGAAATGCTTAAATTGGAGGCAAAACAGCAAGACTTGATCTGTCCAGAACTGATGTTACTTTTCCATTTATTTAAAGCAAAGTCTTTGTTTCTGGCATTCCTTTACGTGATGTAAAAATAAGAACATAAAAAGTATGGCATGTTACAAACATAAGAAAGACCATTTGGTCTAGCTAGCTTGTTTGTTGGTTAGTAGATGATTGATCCAAGAATAAAAACCAACATTTTTTTGGAAGACCAGCTTCAGCAGCATGTATGTTGTTTGATACTCCAACAACCCTTTGGGTGAAGAAGTACTGTACCTCCTGCTCTCAGTTATGCTGTAAATCTGTTTTCACAGTTTCCATGCCCTCTGCTTCATGTTCCATGTTTAAATATGGTCATTTCTGTTATAGCGCGATTTTGTATACAGGAACTAGTCACAGGCAAGCAGAGAGAAAGGGTTTTGCAGCATGGGGTAGACATACAGTAGGATGCTTTTGGATGCTCAAACCAACCCTTATTCTAAAACAACAACGAGCACCCTAGGCTACAAGGTCCTTATGTTCCATAGCACCTTGTTTATCATACAAACCTTAATTACTTATCACTGAGACATGCCTTTTCTAAATGTATTACATTCTTCATTTTATGAAATACTTACGGCAAATGGATCCTCTATAAGTTTGATCACTTGGCTGAGCTCTACAGGCTTCATAGAAGAGCCCTATATACAAAAAAATCAATTTCAACTTACATCAACAGGATTTTCTGATCATTCAATTCCCTTAGAGCGGTATATTGAAAAATATTCAAAATAGTGGATCATATATTATAATCATATGCATGTAAATATATAATATAGCAGATTTTTAGTATATTGTTCTTATTGTTTGTATTATTAATCTGTTTTACGCGATGTGACTTGATCTTGTTTCGACCTTCTAACTGCTGTCACCGGCATTCTATGTTTACAAAGACATTTTAAGCATGTTTAACTAAAACGTTGATACAATTATATCATAGATAATTGTATAATTGATGCAAACTATATTATAATCAATTCCATAATTTACATAACAGTAATAACAATAACAGAAGGTATGAACATGTTTAGACTTGCGCTACACTAACGCATTTAATGCCATTCTTAATGTGGTTGACATGCTTTCCTTCTTCATAAGAAATTATCGAAGATGTGCACCTAACTTTACCTCAGGCGTTCCCAGATCGCTGTCAGTGATGACATGTCGTACAACCGGGGCTCCCGATTTCTCGCTGACCATCTTAGAGGCGCCCCCCACACCTGTGCTTCTCCTCACCCCGTTTTCCGAAGCCAGCATCGCGCCAAAGACTCTCCTACGTTGAAATCTGTTCAGTAAAACCCCACAAATTATGCCTGCCTCACGTTATGCATTGCAACAGCTACTGTAGCTTTACTCTGCCGCCCTTCATAAGTCAATGTTAGGTCTCCAGTAGCTACTTCACTCAGCCCCCGAACCGCGAGGGACACTTTGTTGCTAACGCAAGCATTCCAGTTGCTATGGAAGGAGGGCTGCTGGGATACCTTAATTAGCTACGGGATCGCAAAGGGGACATTGACGCCGACCTGTGGAAGATTTGAGTTACAAAATTGAATTGCATGATCTACAGTTTACAAGTGTCGACCTTGTTTTTGACCAAATTCATTTATTGTCACAATGAAGCTTAACTGAGGAGCTTTTCCCCCCCCAGCAGTGGTAGTAAATCTGTGGCACGTTTTGTCGATCTCTGCGGTAAATAATGAAACTGTAGTTTCCGAGAAGCGCCGATGAGATTCCCTACCATCTTTTTGTTCTCAGAAAGCAAAAGAAGCCTCCTCCTTTCCGCAATTCCTTACTTTAAAGCCGGAGAGGTGCAGATTTTAAATATATTAAATTATTAATAGTTGGTCTTGCTTGTGGTGTCTCATTTGTTAAAAAGCGGGCAGCAGACTTGGTCTGTTATTGTATTGTGATGTCGGGGAAATTTTGTGGTACTGTAGCTGAAAAATCAATCTACTGTATTCCAGTATTCAATACTGTATATATCGCATAAAATTCAGTACATTTTCTCGGAATTCAGGAATCCCTGTTAAGTAGTTCGCAGGTATTTTGAGACGGTAAAAAAACAGTGAAAGTGAAGGTTGCTTAGTGAACATGCTGAATGACTGATAATTAGCAATTTCTGGACTTGACACCTTCAGATTGTGCCCCATAGTTCAATAGTTGCGACACTGGTTTATTCTACTTTTTTTCAAACGTTTTAATTTCCCTTTAATCACCGTGTTTTAAAGGACGGTAAATGGGGTCTACCCTTCTCCGTCCACTTTCATTTCACTAAAAAAAAGAGGTAAAACTGTTTTGAATTATAAAACAAGATATAACTTTATCTTAAAATTATTTTGACCAAACATTGTTTTTCAGGTCAAGTATAAATTTGTACAAAACAAAACCATTCAAATAAAACTTTTATTTCAGAATTTTGATTTAACTTATACTAAACATTAAGACTAACCTGATCCACTAATTTCCTTGAGAACCCTTCATAGGAATGGTTGACATTTGGATGTTTTATTTTATTTTTGTTTTAGAGTAAAACACCGAGACGTTTAGTATATACTTTAGACAACAGCGCTTAAATTAATGTTTTAGAATATGTTGTGAAGTGCAAATATCGATTACAAAGCTTTATTGTACAAATACATGTCTTCCTCCAGCAAAATCAAGTGGATCGAAACGGAGTGTGCGTTTCAGCATGCTTAAACTTCCACCATAGGTCAAAAAAACATTGGAGAAATCTGATGTACTCATATTTGTGCGTGCTTTACGTCGTACAATTGGAATAATTCAACCAGAAATAAAAAGGTCACAAATTACCACAATCTGCTAGATTTTTTAACACGAAAGCATAATTAATGCAACTATACAATTCGTGATCTAGAAAGCAAAAGCACAATGCAGTACCTATTTTATCATTTATTGTGCAATTTCTTGTTCTTACGATGTTGTAGTGGGGGCAAAACTTGCAGCGTTTTTAAGGACAGAAGAAAATCGTTATTTTATTCATCGCCAAGAACTTCGCCGATGCTGCGCCTGCTGTTGCGCTCTCAGCCGTGGGCTACGCGAGACTGTGCTCATTCCTCCTCCGTGCCTGCTGGTGAAACATCCAGTATTCCGGTCCCAACCATTTAAAAACCGAGAACACGCTGTTTGCCCCTGTGTCTGGTCGTCTAGTTGTCTAGTTGGGTTACTGGGCCTGAGTCGCGCATCCTCTGATGCTCCCCGGACGGCAGAGGAGGTGAGGAATTTGCAAATCGCCGTGCGCCACACTGCGGTGACAGCGGTTTCTTTCAAGAACCTCAGTCCTTGTCATCTCATGACTTGTGATACAGATCCTCCCACTAATCACTGTCTATTTATACGGCTAGGAATTTCCATAGGGGGGCTTAGTTTGAGAGGAAAAGAGAATTTCGGAGGAGCGTTAATCAGAGAAGGTAAGGTGGATAAGTATTACTGTATAGTGTCCGCCGGTAATCGTACAGATTGTGAATGCTGACATGGCACGGCCGTGGACGTGACCTAAATCTAATTTAGGGAATGACAGATATTACTGCGCTTCATACAGTGTATTTGAAATTCGCATCCTGTATTTGTGCGTGCACCGGCAGAACCATCTATGTAGTCCTTTAGGATTGCAGATCGATAGAGGTTACAAGGCGTGAACACTTTGATTTATTGCAATAATAATAATAATAATAATAATAATAATAAATGTTTAATTGTTAAACTGAGAAGAATTTAAAAAGCGACAAACTATATTGACTCCTATACTTATTTGTTGCGTTCCTAATGCATCTCAATATAGATGATTTTTATGTGTATAGATTTTAATTTAATTTTGTATCAAAATAGTTTAAAGCAATGTTTCTTTAAATAAAGCATCCAATTAGGTCTTTTAAATATTTTCCTGCTGTATACTGTATATGTTTAAATTGTATTTTTTCACCCTTTTATAAATGGATCACTGGCGGGTCAATTGTCTTGAGACGATTAACTTTATTTAAAAAAACAGCTAATGGTTTCAATGATTATAACCCCCTGAAATGTATTTGTGCTCTATTTTGTGTGTCAGTGGCATTTTATTTCTATTTATAAAGCGTGTGCATAGTTTTTTCTTGAATTCAGGTATGGATTAAGGTTTGCCAAGCACATTCAAATAAATAATAGTTATCGTAAACACGGAATAAAGGTGGAAACATTAGCATTAGAATAAATCATTATATACTGAATGGGAATTACTAAAACATAATACTAGGAATAATACTAAAAATTGCACTAATTACAAGAAATAAAACTGGACTGGAATAGATCTATGACATTTCAGTGCAAAACCAGAAATTCTCTTGGGCTTTTTGCAGTGCCAGATGAACATATACAGTATTTTTAAATCCGAACATACTATCAGAGTTTACAATCCAATCTCAATGGGATACAAACAAATTAAAATGCTGCAATATGCACAGCATAGTCATACAGTATAGTTGCAATTGTTTTTTCAAAGCATGATCTTTAAAGTTCTCTTTTTAAAGTGCAATAAAACATATTTTGGATCAACTTTGGACACTTTTATTATAAAAGTAACAGACATGTTATCCAAAGAAGCTTACAGTTCTCCACTCAGCAGGGCATCTTACTGAACTGACCTGAGTGAAGCACCAACAGCAGTGACCCACCTGGGAGATCAACCCACAGGCTTCTGATTACAAGCTCACAACACTCACCACAGCTCTACTCTGGTGCATTAATTTATTAGGAAATCTTTTTCCTTACCACACGGGAAACTAAACGAGAAAAAGAGACATAAATGCAGGATATGTGTTTACAATTAGACAGGGATCACAGTAAGCTTTGTGTATGTGCATTGTCTCCAGTGTTAACACCAATGACCATTATTCCAAAAAATCTTACCACCATTCAGGTCAAACAGAACAAAAGATGAACAATACAGGAGCTGATGTATATCATATAATTAAAAAGTGAAACTGCACTTGAGCGGCGAACGTTGGCTTTTCTATGTATATCTAAAATAATCATGAGCTTGCATGGTGGCACAGAGGCTGTCTTGCAGTGCTGGGGCCCTGGGTTCAGTTCTGAACCTGCTGTGCTGACCTCGTGGAGTTTTTACATTCTCTCTGTGCTTGTGGGAGTGTTTGCTGAGTGCTCTGGTTTTCTCCCACAAGCCATAAACATGCTGGCAGCTTAATTGGCTTATGGTAAAATGTGGCCCTAGGTGTGAGAGTGTGCATGTCAGTGTCTGCACTGTGATGGGCTGGCACTCGGTCCAGAGTCTACCCAGCCTCCCTGGCTTGCTCCCAGTGCTTACTGGGATAGATCAGGCTCTCCTGCTAGAAAATGAATGGATAGATTAAAATTGCTTACTAATTATTCTGAGTTACCTTTTTAACTTAATCTATATGATTGCCCCAATATACAGCATGGTCTTCTATTTCATCTCAGAAGACTATGGCACTGCAACAATGGTATAGTTTAGCACAGACAAGATGTCCCAAGTACAGAAAAGCAGGAGAAAATAACCATGATTTGACTTTCATTTTTCTATAGTTTAAAACTAAATCTAAAAACAAGTAACACAGCTAAACAGTGTTTCTGTGTGCATGAATGGGTAGTGGTAGCTCCCGGCTGCAACCAAGCACACCTTTAATTAAATGACCTTTTCAGACATTCAGTCAAAATGCTGAATGCTACCTTGATCCAAGCTCTTACGCAACACACCGGATAATGAGAAGAGTAAACAAGTGGGCAAAAAAAAAAAACACATGCAGTGGGCTTTTACAGACCGCCAGTAAAAGAAATAAACACCAGTGGGAGGATTATTCAGCAAATCAACATGTGATCAAAGGGATTTGTTTCTGTCACTGCACAATGGCACATTCAAATCATGAGTTTGACTGATTTGAGCCTTGATAAATAAGATTATAATTAGCTTTTGTTAAAGGGCGACGACTGAGTAAATGAACTTCCACATGGGACAGCAGACAGAGATCCATGTGAGTCAAATGCATTACAGTGTTATTGTGGTCATGGCTCTGTGCACCACAACAACACCCTGAATAGTTTTGATTTCTGTCTCAGGTCTGCCACAATGAACAATAACAAACAAGTGATGTGGTTATTAACTCGGCTTCTGAATAGAAGTGGTATTTAAAAATTAGCATCAGAAGCATTTTGGAAATCTAATTTAAAATAAAACACCACATTCACAATTTCACAATGTAACATGAAAGGTGTAAGAAAGAAAGAATGAGAGCCTATACTGCAGTATGTACTGTAGCCAGTTATGATCTTTTTAGTTGAAGCACACTTTGCTTATATCACTGTACAGTAATTCAATGAGATTATTGCTGTTCTGTTAAAACAGTATAGATGTAGGCAGTTTGCCTATGTATGCTGTTTCCACAGCTGACTGCGATGCAATTTCTACTTACTGCAGTGTTTAGTATTTCCCTGATCAAGCCACCTGATATTAGGGCTGACAGTCATAATCAGAAAGACACACTCAGGTGGTTGTTTGTGTGCAAAACCAATTTACCACCAGAAAATTATTAATACTACAAGGTGTGGGGGAAAATAGTCTTTTCCTAGCCCCTATTCTACTTTGCGATCATTTATATCATTTATAGCTAGATAAATGTTCTGTGGTTTTTGACCTCTTATGCCATTAGTGTATAGTTTTCAGTGTTATATTCTGAATAGCCCAATAATCAGTCAATTCAAGGGGACCATGTTCATGATAGCACTTCCCAAACCTTTTCAGCACACTTTTAACATTCCAAATATTTTGTTGCACATCAACAGTATGAATTGTACAGGAAATAACATTTACTTTGACCTTAAACATAGACTACAATTGTAATGAGAATGATGTGCCTTTAGTGTTTTGACTAGACTTTCAATGTGAAATATGGTCTTTTTCGATGAACAGGCGTATTTAATATTTGGTTCAGTGCTGGAAAGAGATACACAAAGTTACACTTTTACACACCTTTTAAACATGATCTCTTCTGATTCTGTCGTGTTCCACAGATTTGGTACTGTTTTCCACAGTACTCATTTTGGGGGAGCACTGCTTTCGGTCCCAGTTTTCGACACACTTATGAACATAAGAAAGACTATAACGTCTCTGTGAGCAGGATTCAAACCTGGGTAGGAAATTGTTTGGAGTTCAATGTTTAAAACCTGAGAACAATTATTGTGAAAACTGTTAGAAAAAAAGACATATCTTTAGTAACACATCTATTACTGGTCTGTAATGAAATTTAAAATGTGATAGAAAAAGAAAAAATCAAGTGCAAAAGTTAGAATTCTGACAGGTGGCAATGATAGGACGTTTCTTTAAGGCTGTAGATAATGCCCAGTAGAGTCACAGCAAACTGGCTTGCAGCGTGAACCAGATGTTACTGACTGGGGTCACATGTCCCCTGGGTCTTGGAAGTGACATAAGACCCTGTGAAGGATGAGGGTTCGAGATCACAGGCAGTGACATCATCTCGCTTGCACTGCAAACCAGCCTTAACTGGTTCTCTCAGTGACAAAAGTGGTTTGTGTGATAGGACAGAATCTCCCAGCGGCGCATTCTGAGGCATAACCAGTAGACATCAAAATGACCATCTTTCAAGCTGCAGCAACATCTTTTTTTTCTGGGTGGGGGGGAACACTAAGTTTGTGCCTTTCCTTTCCGCAGTGAGTGCATTACAGACCGGGGTCTCTGGTTCACAGTGCCAACTCTGGCTGCCACAATGCCACTGCTAGAAGAAAACACTCTGCCCAGGGACCACCCACTGACAGTGCCAGTTGTAATTATTGGTAGGTAATTGCCTGGGTGCGTGCTTTCATACAAAAGCAGCAGAGGCATTTTTTTTTTACCACAGAAAATAACCCCTTTGCCTCCTGTATTTTGGACCCTAACCAAAGAAATGTAGGAATTGGGCATGTCATCGTCAAGATTGTAAGGGTGCTTTCTGTTTTTCTGCTGCTGTACTCAGAACCTGAGTAAAGGGTCTTCCTTCTGTGTTCCCCTTCAGGCTCTGTTGGCTTGTTAGTTTTTACCAGGGCATCAGTTCACAGATGAGCTCATTCTAAGGAAGAGGAGGCTCACAGTATACAGTATTTGTTGCAATTTGCTCTTCTCTTTTAATTAATAGTTATGCATACTATATTATTATATTATTATTTTTTGGCACTCTTTTAGTCCTGGGCTCAGTTAGAAGAACAATTTCTATAATTACTGAGAGAGAATGAGAAAAATAATGCCTTTCCTGCAGAAGCCACTGTTGACACTTTTCTTGGTGTTGACAGTAATTTAGTTTATTGGTGTATAATAATGTCATTAACATCATGTCACACTCATCTTTTCTTGTCTAGGAAATGGTCCTTCGGGAATATGCCTGTCTTACTTGCTGTCAGGATACAGACCTTATCTAGACAGTGGAGCTGTACATCCAAATCCTATTCTCTTCAGGAAACTACAAGAGGCAAAGCATCTCTCTATTACTGATCAGGTAAATATGAGGTAGAAATTCTCAGTTGCCTGCAGTTGCCTACTGTTTGAATTGGAATGCATAATCTCTTATCAAAATTATTTATAATACTATGCAACAGTTCATGAGCAAAAATTCGAATATGTAGATTAATCTTGCCATCTTTGGGCATGTGCTCTAATTTCTGTGTGGTACTGTACATTATTTAGATTGTCCAGTGATAATTGCGTGTCATCAAAATTAAGAGTAATGGACGTACTGTAAGGGGATGCATTCAGTCTGGAACTTAAACTTGCATTTTAAATAATTAAAGACTTCTGAGTATTTTGAAGTCTTTTAAGAATACATCCGAGGAATTAGTTGGTAAAGCAGCATTTTGGACGTACAACATACTGGGCTTTCTAGACACCCACTTTAAAACATCTGTTTATTCACTGAAAGGATGTGTTGGGCATCCAATCAGCCACCCAGAAAAATGGCAGTTCTAACGTGTGGCGTGTGGTTCAGGATTTAGAGTACCTGAGCGAGGGGCTGGAGGGGAGGTCTTCCAATCCAGCGGCAGTGTTATTCGATACACTCCTGCACCCAAATGCCGACTTTGGATACGAGTTCCCCTCCGTGCTGACCTGGCGGCTGGAGCACCAGCATCACATCCCTCACCTGGTCTTGGGCAAAGGCACCCCAGGAGGAGCTTGGCATGTGAGTGACCCACGGCACTCAGGGCACGACCACGAGAGGCATTCGGCTGCAATACGGTCAGGGGATTTCAAATAATTCAGCTCTGTCGATATAGATTAAGATCCACTGTAGGAATTCATACACGAGAAGAGGATTACGTACCCCCTTACAAGCAGAGCTTCAAATATAAACTTGAGGTCTTTTCATAAATAAAATACAGTAAGTGGTCTATGTAAGTGAACTGTCTCACCAACGTGGAGGATCTTAAAGAAATTTGATTGCAGCACAGTTTGGGATAAACTCTTTCTTTCCTGTCTCTCAGGAATTTGGGAATCCTTTGTGAATTGAAGTGTGCTAGCAGGTGTCTGTCTTGAAGAGTAACACATGTCAGTTCTAGGTAGGGAGATGTCTTGGTGGACAGATAGGTGGTGCTTTTCCTTCTGCACTAGGATTTCTAAACTAATGCCCCGGTAAGGAGCTGCCATCCTCCAGATGAGACCTTAAACCACAGTCTTCCTGATTAAGATTCCATTGCTCTATTCAAAGATTAATGCTACTGCCAGTGTTATTCATTCAGAGTATAAGCAAGGTTACAAGTGGGAGGAGGCCATTCATCTCATCTAACCCATAGAGCAGAATTTCAGTCTTACTCTGGCCTTCCTAAATTTCTTCTTTCATTCCACTGGGTGCACAATACCTCACTTTTCCACCTGATTGGCTGTGTAATATGGGGCTGCGGACACAGATCCAGTCCACCACTTTACCAGTGGTGGATAAAGTGAGCCCCCACTATACAGTATGAGAAGCACTTTGAGAACCTTCAGTGTCAAATAAAATGCTATACAAACGCAATCAGACCTTTTTAATTTTGGAATTATTATTGTATATGCGGTGCTGCATGTCATTTGCTTTTTGCTGATCTTGTGGTTGCTACTTTTTCGCTCTGTTTTCCTTTACTGCTTTAAGTCTTCCCTTTTTGGACTGCATTGTCTTCAGGCCAGGACAGCAAATCTATCTTATGAGCGGTGCTAGGCCAGTGGTCATTGCTCTTTCTTCATTTAGAACATCACCACTACTGATAAACATGGTTCAAATGAGCATACTAAGAGTAATTTGTTGTTCCTTAGTGGATAAAGATACTATATACTCACTTTTCTCAGGCAATGGAAGGTTCCATGCTGACTATCAGTCTGGGTATTTGGATGGAACTCCCAGGAGTGAACTACAGAGACCTGACTGCAGGGAAACACAGGTACACTGGGCAACAGAGATCAATATTTTTGAGAAATGAGAAGAAATGTTCTGGACAGAAAAGCCGACTAGACAAAGGCAAGACGCATCAATTATCAGAAATTTAGCTTCTTATCATAAAAACACATACAAATTCTGCACAGTGGTGCATTTTGAAAGAAACGTTGTTTTGTAGTGCATAATCCTTTTTTTTATGCCAACTTTCCGATTCACTGAGAGCACAACTAAGCTCAGACATCCTTTAAATGATGATGTTATGTTATGTTAAAACCCTGTGCCTACATCTGTTAAATTGTAAATTTATTTAAACTGTTGCTTTTTAGTCAAAAACGAAAAATGTAAACTGCGGATAGTATTTAATTTCTTAAAATGCATAGTGTTTTCCACCCAAATTACATCATCACCTCAACAAAGTTTCTTTTCAGTAATGGCCAAATAAAATGATACCATTATGGAAAATGGCAACATTTTCACAGCCTTATAAGGAGACATATAACATTTTTGTTTTTGCATTTTTGTGTCAGAGGAAAGTCCGCCCATAAAAGCACTAGGAATCTTTGTGATTGCATTAAAAAGGAAACCTAGATAAAAAAAAACTTTTTAGCTTTTATATGCAGTGATACTCTGAATGAACTGCAGTGCATGCTGGCCAAAATAAAACGAATATTAACTGAATAGCCAAAATAAACTGAGAAAATAAAATACAAATTTTGAGGTTTCAATTGCGTATGTGAAGCACATTGTAGGAAAATAATGTGGCTACAACAAATTAACCTCATTATCGTTCCCAAGTAAGTCATAAAACTGCATGAAAAAATAACATTGATTCCCTTAAAGCTGTTCCAGGAATGTCATTTTAGCTCAATTGCCTTGAAGGACAAACCTAATAGTTTAAAATAAAAATGGGTCAGCTTACATGATACTAATTAAGCGCATTAAAGTTAAAACCAGAAAACTAAGTTAAGACTCAAAAGTACAGTATTAGAATTGTGTAACACACTTTAAAACAACCACTTCCAAATGTTAAAAGAAATCGCATCAAATTATTTATTGAGAATAACACCCCAAGTGAATCCAAGAGGAATCCAAGAGGAATCGGTATCACTTAATCCAAAGAATGAAATTGTTCCTCTCGACAGTGGCTAGGTAGTTTAGATCATTTATCAGCAAAGGTTCTTGCTGAAGGCCTGTTCTTTGAAGTCACAGTTAGGATGTTCAGCAACTGCCACACACTTTTCACATCAACAACACATGCACTGAACTGACAGTACTGAAGAATTTGTGAATGTCTACGCTGTGAAATGAAGAGTAACAGAACTATACCAAAACACACCTTTACGGGTTTCACTCTTGACCTTAATCTTTTAAAATCTCTGCATTCCCTGCAAGTGCCAGTATCCTCTGTGCATCCTTTCTACAGTAGAAAAGATGCTTTCTGCACGTGCAAGCAGCAGAGGTAGTGTATTTGTTCTGCAGTATTACACCTCTTGCAGCACCTCAAAGCTTTGGGCTGTGAATAACAAACTTTAAGTCATTTAAAAAATGTACGTGTAATATAAATTAGATCTTTAGATGTAGTTCTTATATTTTCAATAGACCATATCTAGAATTACAAATTGTAGTCAACCCAAACACATAAATATTATGACAGGAGTTTGAAAGAAACTAAATTCCAAAAAGTAGCTCAAGCAGGGAGCTGCATCAGCAGGCGTAGGCTGCAAAGGAACAAGTAGAGGTTTATTCCTTGCTGAAAGGAGAAGAAAGGAAACACAACATGCCGGAGAAGGCTCCACAGCCAAAATGTTGTGTTTCCTTTCTTCTCTTTTCAGCATGGAATAAACCTTTACTTGTTCCTAAATTCCAGAAAGGTTCAGCATCCAACTCTGACTGCTGAACACATCTAGGGGATTTAAACATTTCAAAGGTATCAAAGATTATGGTAGGAATTAACATGGCTCTGAACTGAGGCTTTCATCATTATTGTGTTACGTCTCATTATTCTTATTTCGACATAATAGTACAGCGACTGAACTGCTTGCTGTGTATGCTATATATCTAGAGCTAAAATGTAACTGAATTGTGTTTATATAGCATATCTAACAGTTACGTTTTAAAGAACATGATCAAGAGCACATTTTGACAGATTTATCAGCCCCGAAAAATACACTGTACAATGTGTCTGAAAGAAGCTATTTTATTCATGGAATTTCTTTTTTCTCACCCAACCCTTATGTAAAGCTATACAATATTTAACAATCAAGGATGGGGAACCCAAGATCAAACTGCTGAATGTGGAATATTGAGGCCTGTTGTACTGTGAGAGACCGTTGGTTCCCTGACTTGTTCCTTGGTTTGTTCTCCATATACAGTACATTTTAATGCGGCAGTGGATACTGCAACAGGTGTTAAACAGGTGTGATACATCAGAATGTGTTCATACCTCACGTTCTTCTAGTAGCAGAAGACATTTTTTTTCCCATCAGAGCAAACTGTACACAGCACAGCGATTATTGGGACTTATCCTTTATACTTTTGGGAAGGCATTATGGAGATGGATTGGGGCATCCGCCTATTTTATACTAGGACCCAATCCAGTACATTCATAGATTGAGTTCCCGTTTCCAGAGAAACACAGCATTAAGATTAGGGATATAATCAGAGTCACATTACTGTAAAACAAAATATCCATTTGTGATAAGGGTAGGTAATGGAGAGAATGGGTGTTTAGACACCATGCAGTAGTAAAGTTTTGGAAATGAAAAGCATTAAGGAGTTCTGAACTCCACCTAGCAGTACACCAGAATGTCATCAGCTTAAAGAATAATTCTGTTTCCTTTCCCAGGAGTGCTGCTAATGACAGAGCGACCCCGGAAGAGATTTCCTCCTACTATAGGAACTACGTCAAGCTGATGGGCCTCCAGAAGAACTTCGTCGACAACGCCTACGTCACCTCTGTGCTGAGGCTCCACCGAGCGCAGGGGGACGTAATCGAGATGGTGGACAGAGGAGACGCAGCTGGTTCCGAACAGGACGTGGAGGAGGGAGACAACGGCCCAGCGTCTTTTCCTCAAGGAATCTGGGAAGTGAGAGGCTACCAGAGGGTTGGGGATGATTCCCACGTGCCTTTCTGCTTGTTTGCCGAGAATGTGGTGCTCGCCACCGGGGCCTCTGACTCCCCAGCCCGGCTGGCAGTCGAAGGGGAAGATTTGCCCTTCGTGTTCCACAGCATATCAGACCTAGGAGCTGCCATAAGCAAAGGAAACATCACGCAGAGCTCGGATCCCGTGCTGATCGTCGGGGCGGGACTCAGCGCGGCCGATGCCATACTGTGTGCTTACAACAACAACATCTCGATACTTCACGTCTTTCGGAAACGGGTGGACGACCCCGGCTTGATCTTCAAGCAGCTTCCCGAGACGCTCTATCCCGAGTATCACAAGGTCTACCGCATGATGTGCTCTCACGCTGCAGCCTCCAGCCTATTCCCAGACTACTCCAGCTTCCCCGAACATCGCGTCGCCTCGTTCCAACCGGACATGAAGTGCGTCCTTCAAAGTGCCAACAGTTTTCAAGTCTTCAAGATCTCCATGGCCTTGGTGTTGATAGGCACCCACCCCAATCTCTTTTTTATGAAAGACCAAGGACAATACCTGGCTCTGGACCCCAACAAGCCGATCTCCTGTAAACAGAACCCAATCGACATCCATCCTTACACGTTCGAGTGCACGAAAGAGAGCAACCTCTTTGCCATGGGCCCTCTGGTTGGCGATAATTTTGTGCGCTTCCTCAAAGGTGGCGCGCTGGGGATCTCGAGCTGCCTCACGAAAAGACTGAAGAAAAAGGGGAAGCTGATCACGGACGGGGGAGGAGGTGTTGGAGTGGGATTAGCCTGCGTGTGAGGAAAGGTATAGGATCCAGGCTCTGGCACAGTCCAGTTTTTCACATTCACATGTATTTTTTAGCATAAAGAGGTAAACAACAACACAAGCCCATGGGGTCTGAGATGGTAAACCTTCTAAACCTTTACGAATTGTTACATTGCTAATTGTGGAGTTAAACACAAAGGCAAATTTATTTCTAACTTTATATTTAAAGTTCATTATACTGTACCATCCAAATTCTGAACTTGTGTTATACGATACAAAAATGGACCACAAAACAAGACCTGTTGTAAGGTTATCTCTTAACCATCAATTTGAAGAAAACAAATCTGCAGTCTGTAAATCATATAAAATGCATAATGAAAAGATTATTGCATTATTATTACTAGACTTCACAAAGAAAAACATTAAATGTGTGAAAATTCCTTCAGGCTTGGTTCGTGCCAAGAAATCAGTAATTTAATAAATAATGTACATGCAGGGTAAATGAATACCTTTGATTTGAAATAGATTTAATGCATTAATTTCAGTTTTCCTACCAGTTTCCCTACTGATATTGGGCAGTTAAAATGGATGAAGTACTCTTAAAGCCTCTATGCAAAATAAATTTAAAATGAATGTATATTTATATACCATACATGAGATTGAATTTAAGATAATTTTCTTAAAAATCTTAACAACTTGTGTGTAAAGTTATTACTTTATCTGTCTGGTGCCAAATAGTTGTTCCTAGTTACTAGAACTGAAACAGTTTTTAAATGATATTTTAAGTAGACTTATCAAAGGCACTTAGCAGGGTCTAGACTAAATAAGCCTTTTAAAACTGGAATGTTTGTTCCTGAAAATATAGGAACCTTTTGCTTCTTTCTGTGTAAAGGCCTTTTCTTACAGCGCTAGCCTTCTTAAATGTACTACACCAAGCTTTTAAAGGAAACATGTTGAAGGTGAGAGTGCAAAAAAACCCCAAAAAACAGGTACTGTAGCTACACCAGGCTGAATTCATCATATAGAAGCAAAGCTCTGAAATTAAGTTACAGGTGACAAAAACACATTATTCTATGTATCTAGCAGAGACAGACACTGCTCCTCACTGGTGCTCTTCCTTAGATTTCCATCACAGTTTATATCAATAAATGTCTTCAAATTCTACTTTAATCACATGTACCAAGTCTGTGGGTTGTAATAAAGGTGGTGTGAATATTTTAAAAAAACAAACAGCTGCTTTGTGCATGAAAACTGTCATTTTTGAGTAATGCTACAACAAGGAATTTTTGTATATATTTTTTATTATGAACAATAAAATCTTTTAAAAATAATCAGCTTCTAAGTGTTTTAGCTAAAGACTTGCCTATTACATCTCCCGTTAACACAAAACTCTTTTTAATTTTTTACTGCAGAGTATAAAAGAAGAATTTTCACATTCACTTCGGTAACTGTGTACCACTTGACTATCCTTTGTGAATCTGAGAATATCCTAGTGGCTTTTATGCATCTCCTGTCACATTCTGCGTGATTTTAACAAGTAACATCACAGACCTTTCCAAACTAACTACAATAACAACAGGCATGTGTCACACTTAAAAAAAGGAAAACATTGCCTGTGCGTACAATCACTCTGTGACTGAAAAACACTTGTATTATCATCAGTCTTGGAGACAAAATTTTAAAATTGAGACACCTATAGAGCTAACGAGTCAATACTGAAATTCCACTGAATATATTTAACTGTTCTTACAGTATTTCACAATGCAGTGCTGCTAGTACTCAAGCATTGAAAAGTTGGGTTCAGAGCTACATTTTACACCTCTATGCCGAACTTTAGTGCTATTAACGGGCACAGGCAGTTAAACTATTGTACAGTATGTTTCCTTAATGATATTTTAAACTTTACCAAGTATTTTTACAGTATTACATCAAACATATTCCAATTAAATCCTGAAATCTGTTTATTTAACATTGAAAAACTTTCTTTCAGAACAAAATACCTTGAAAGCACTCTGAAGAGGAGCAGGACAAAAAACAGTGGAAACTACTGCAATAAAATAATGCTATGAGACAAGTTCTAAGACAAGGAATGGATAAAAGTAAAGAATAACCTCATGTTCTGAAAAGAAAACTCAGTTTTTCTTCTTCACTTTCTTTTTGAGATTTTGGGTTCATACCTGTAAAAAGTAAGAAACATTTTCAATAACATGGCTGAAGATCTCAGTGATGGCCAGTAGCTGAGTATAACTTACAGCAATCATACCTGACTGATTTCAAAGCTTTACTCTCGTAAAAGGTTTGGTCAAAAATAAATGCCAGGCATAACAACACTAACGATTCTAGTTATCATATTTTAGTAAATTACATTTACTAGATTAAAACAATCTGTGTGTCTTTAACTCTTTAGATGTTCATATCTAAAAAAATTAACAAGACCAAAAAAATCAGTATGTTAATAAAACTATCACATCCATCTACATGCTGATTAAAGATGACCTGATAAGCTGATTAATAATAACATTTATAAAATAAATTTAAACTTTTTTTTAAATTAATCCACGCAAAAGTTCCCCCATTCCAAATGTCTGTTTTTCTCTGCCAAAAAAAAAAGTTGTTTTTCTTTGAAACTCCAACGTGATGTTCTTTCTTTCTGCATGAGTGGCGGAGAACAATGATTTAGTGATCAAACATTTTTGCTTCACTAAAAACTGATCCCCTTCACCGGATCATTTTTGCTTAGGCAGGAAAATGTCACAGCTTTAGAGCCAAATGACATCACCACCTAGCTGAAAATCTAATTACCAGCTAACACTGTCTCCAGGCAACTCTCACAGATTCCCTGAAGAACAGGCAAGAATCACACAAATGCAGCAACCAGTTTTCCTGCATCTGCTTAAACAGGTTAAGAACTGGAACAACAAGAGTAAATGAGTTCAGCATACATCTTTACCACATAAAAGGCCATTATTGCAGTAGTTGTTCTGGTAACTTGGATATGTGAAATGAGCTGATTTTTACAGCTTGACCTTAAACCCAATCCACAAGATTGACAATACCCATACTTTTCAGGGGACCAGATGACATCGATACAGTATAAAGATATCTCAATTTTCCTCATGCGACCAAAATTATAAGGATTATATGTTCCTGACTCTTGTTTGACTGCAAACTACTGCTGATCACCATTCCTATAAAACCATTCCAGACGCAACCACCACAGTGATTTCTCAAGGCTCAAGACGAATTATGCTGGTGAAGTAAATATGGTGAAGGAAAATTCCCTTCCTTGAGTGACTATTAACAAGGAGTAAGGAAAACAAACACTCTCTTCCACCTTGAGGGATGGCCTGGTTTCTGAGCCTTTGACAATAACATGGGGGAGAAAGCAGCACTGAAACGATGTGCAAGAGAAAGGAAAGGGAGGCCAGGGAAAAGCCAGTGTTCAGTGCTGATATTGCTTAGTTCATCTCTTCCAGTACATGTTGCACCTATTAAACAACCTGCGAAAGCTGACAGTAGATCTTTTTGCTCAAGAAGGACAATCACACTATTCATGGCTCTAATGCTTCTGTACAATCTAATGCTTAGCATTCAAATAATTCCTTATAGTTAAGCGGTATGTGTATTACCACTGGCAGCACCGTGGCACAGTGGTCAGCATTGCTGGCCTTGCAGTTCTGGGGCCCCGAGTTCAAGTCCAGTCCTGGGGATCTATCTATCAGCGTGGAGTTCGGATGTTCTCCTCGGCTTTGTGTGGATTTGCTCCAGGTGTTTTGGATCCCTTCCACAGTCCATAGAGATGCTGGTACACTGTAGTCAAATGGCTGCTGGGAAAACTGGCCCTGCTGCGAGTGCGTGTTTGTATCAGTGTGTTCCCTGTGATGGACTGGTGTCCCAGCACTGGTACCCTGCCTTGCTCCCACTGCTTGCTGGGACAGCGCTCTGGCTTCCCTGTGACCTTTAACTGGAAGAAGTGACTCGCAAATGGATGGGTGTATAGCTACTCAGCCAACACAGCTTATCACTGTATGCTTTATACTTCATTAAAACATTCAAACGATGAATAAATAACCACACACCTAGCATGCCCTGAAATTTCAAATCCTGTTTCAATAGGATGACACTATGTAGTTTCAACTCCAGTGTGCAAGCGTCACGTGCGTGACATTCACGTGGCACTAACACACAACTGCAAGCTGAGAATCTTAAGCTGTTCAAATCATAGCCAAAGCATGGCCATAACCCTGGTCTGTCACAACGAACCTCTGTGGATACAGGATTTCCAATATCGCTCATCAGTACCAATATGGTGGTCACATCTGAAACAATTGCCTGACTGCATGTCAAAGAGTGAAATAAACAACCAACAATGGCACACAGAGCTCCCCCCAACCCTGCCCTTTCCCTCCACAGCGCGAACGCACAACCAAACAGCAGTGAAAGAGGGTTTGTGAAAGAACAAGGCCTGCCTTGATCCAAGCTACCTTACTATTTTCTAGCCCAGCCGCCTTGTGCTATTAAAGCTGCCCAGAGCTGCAGCCACCACTGCAGGGCTCGATCAGTGGAGCAATTACATGCCCTGATGACTTCCGTCTGCGATCAAAGCAGGGGCTGGATAAACCAGACGCTGTCTGCCTCAGCCCTTTTGTCCACGCTGCCATTCCAAAAGCTGCGTCTTGCGGCATGTAGCATGTAAAACGGTACCGTACTTTTCAAAAGAGACAGAGGGGAGACATTTGTGCAGAAGCACCCCTGCTGTTAATCTGGCTACAAAGGAAAGACTTCATGACTCACTGTCGTAACAAAGTAATGTTTGTTAAGAGCCCTACATGTCTATGGGAACTGGCTGTACTGTATGTTTAAGCGGATGTTTATACTGCTCAGATAGGAATGACGGTGGTTCTCCATTCTGTAATCCCATTAATACACCTTCCCATGGTTGGTATGATGGGTCTTCCCAGCCAAACTGCGATGAAGCTTTGATGCTTTTAGCAGGCACAATCTAACAAAACACTGGCTGTCTGAAATCACACTTGTAACTCTACTACCTGGCCTAAAAGACAAAATCACTTTTCTCCAGGCTTATTTGTGATCCAAGCTTTCATTCACTATATAAGGATTTTGAAACATATAAAAAGGGATGTGCCATACATAACTGTATTTTAATAAGAAGTTCAAGTAGGTGGCTGCGTCAGCATGCGCACACTGCAAAGGAACAAGTAAAGGTTTATTCTATGCTGAAAAAAGAAGAAAACAAACACAACGTTTCGGCTGTGGAGCCTTCTGCAGGTGACACCCACACCCAAACGTTGTGTTTCTTTTCTTCTCTTTTCAGCAGGGAATAAACCTGCATTTTAATAATACAGTTGGAGATAACAGTACATCCTGTCCCTGAATCAAGTTTATTTGCTATATTTTTAGTACATGATATACACTAAACACTAATTTAATATATTAAACACTATTTTTATATTTCAATTATTTCTTAAGACTTATGTTTCACTTAAAATTCCTCAAACGGTACTCGGGTCATATTAAAATTTGTCTATTGCACCCTCACTAAACCTCACTAAACCCAGAAAATAAATTGCATACCTGAAGATATCATCTGCAATCGAGTCTTCTTTTTCATACTGGCTTTTTGCCTGTAATTTGATTGAAAAAATAAGATTTATTTTCCACAGTTTTCTTTAGAATTGCACAGATTTTCCATTGATCCATCATGAAAAAGGCACATACCACAACCTCCTGCCTGAACCATTCTTCTAGTTCGGAGTTCTTTGTCTGATGAGGTACGAGGTCTGACCCCCCAATAATTTTGGGAAGGCCTGCAGTTCCAGGAAAAGCCACCTGAAGGGCATTGCAACAACAAAGACTGAGTTAGGAACCAAGAAAGGTCACAAGACACAAGATAAAGTGTTATTGCTAAGCAGTATGCAAACATGTGAGTGTATCGATGATAGCAATTTCCTGCTTGTTACCTTCATAATATTGCAGGTAAGTAATGCTTTCTTTATGCATGGTTTAGCAAAAGCTATAACTATCTTTATTTTGGCTTGCATGCCACTCAATGCATAGCAAGTCCAAAGAGTTCTGTTTGACTGTCTTGTGGTCTACAGTGGTAGAAAACGGAGGCAAGGCTACCATGAAAGAGCTTTCAGAGTACGGCATATGAGCCATCTAGTCCAATGGGTCTTCTTGTTAAAATGTGACAGCATGAAAGCACATTAGTTTGGTCCTTTCCTTGCTGCCCTGCATTGTGAAACTGCACACCTTGGACCCCTGCTCAAATTACAATGTCATCCATCGCCTCTTGAGCTATCATATACTTTACTTGGCAACAGAACCCATTAAACTGCAAACAAATAAAAAGGGTGTTTTAATGAGAGTGTTTATCAAATTTAATAACAACTGTCTTCCATAATCTTTTACTGGCCAGTATGTTTCGCAGCTTGTTAAGGTGTGAATGGCATACTATGAATTGTTTAATAATGGATTACAACCATGACTAACCTTTCTGAACTTCTTAAAGTTCTTTCCGTTCACATTGCTTGACTGTGGCAGGTCTGCAGTTGCTCTTGTCGGTCTGATGACGAGAAGGGACTTAAACTCAGTCACAATGAGGTTGCGTGGAAAGTCCTGAGTCTCTTCACTTTTAATTACTCTAGATTCCTGGAGCACAGAACAGTGCAGTATTAGAAACTATACCACTCTATAACACCGATATCATCACCAATATGTCTTGAAGCAAATCCAAGATTTTGAACCCTGCTGGAACTGCTGCTTACATCAGTTTGTTTCTTTAGAGCGGAGATCTTGTATTTGATGTCCCTTTCCTGCTCCACTGGTTCCTGGGAAACTGGCTTCAAGACCTTAGAGAGAAATGGAACTGCGTGCATAAACAATGCTGACTTGAAATATGTTTGTACAAAACTCATCCTTACAATCTCCTGGCCTCAAGTGGTGACCAATATAGAGATGTCTTAAACAAATATTTAAATGCCTGAGCTCAAACAAAACTGAACAGCAGAATAAAAGGCGAAGGATTTACAGTATAATTGTAATGTCCAATGTTGGACTTAATCTAAACTTTTCAGAAATGGAAAGAGCAGAGAAAAAATGCTTACCTCCGACTTATTGTTGTTTTCTTCAACACTTAATTCTTCCTGCTTGACTTTTACTGCAGGCTCTAGTTTTTGTTTCTTGCTGGCATTCACTGAGAAATCTTGGCCCTCATCCATGGGTTCGGACATGATCGACGCCAACTCTTCCATCTCTGCTTCTGAAATAACAGCATCGGATCCAGCACAATCAGGGGTCATGTCTTTCCTCTTTCTAGATGTTGACTTCTGGTTGGCATCGCCAGATCCGCGGGCCAGCTCAGAGTCCTTGGACGTCCCCGCACCACAATCTGTCATGACCTGGGTCTCCTCCGCTGATTGGCGCTTCGTGAGGAAGGATTCAGACGGCGCCGGACTCGGCGGGTGGTTTTTTACAGGGTCACTCCGCTGAGGGACAGAGGATCCTGATGCTTTGTGCTCTGCGCCAGTCAGCCTGACTTGTTTGGCTTGAGGCAAGCCTGGGGTCGGATCATTGTCGCGATCCCTACACAAGAACACAAATCAGATTCAGGGGATGGTGCCAGAAGTGTCCTCTTATTTGGTGATCCAACCTTAAATGAAAAGGTCTGCTGGCATCTTACTGGCAGCAGGTTGTGCAAATTGCTTTCAGCTATCTGCTTTGTGGTCTTCTTTTTACAGCAACTGTGCTTTACCAGGCTGATCCCAAATTTTAAAATAATTAAAAATTTGGAGTTTAGACAAGAACACACAGTGGGGCTATTCATAAAACTGTTTTATCATGGAAATAATGTCTCTTAATCTTGCTGCTCTTCAAAAACAGGGCTTACTGGTATAATAGCTGCTTTATCATGACGGAGGGCAATACTGTCAAAACACCCCCTTAACTCCATTTGCATATACTGAAAGTGATTCATTAAAAAATCTGATGACATTGGCTTTGGCTTTTAATGATGTGGGGAAATTAACACATATTCAACCGCTGCTGGTAACAGTACAGGCTTGTCAATGGGAAAAAGTTAAACTTGTTTTATTCAATTTTTTGCATTATTGAAGTGTCAGTGTCTGATTTGTCATGTGGGTACTATACTAATTAAATTAAAAATTGTAATTTCAGACAAAACCGTAGGTACAAGTCAATGGAATGAGATGAGGCTGTTGTCAGGAACAAGAGGATTGATTAAATCTTCAACCTTGACCCTTTTGGTCCAAATCTTTAAATGTCAAAGTGATTATGTCTCCATTTGGAATCATGACTCAAGATAAAGGCTTCAGTTCAACAGAGAAAACGGAGAAAACAACCTTAAGTCTTTGTCAGAATCTGAACAGAGAAACAACGAGCAAAGATTAGTGGGATCTGTACAGTTACGGAGCTCGAAAAACCATCCTATACTCCCCTGCTACATTTTGGGGTGAGCGTGATGTCAATTTTTACAGGACAACATGTTTTCATTGCTTTCAGCGATGGCATTTGCCACCAAAGACTCTGCTGTTGCTATCGATTCGGTTACCTTTGATAATGAATCTCAAGTGTGCCGGATTTCAAGAGCACTATTTCCAACACTTATTGTGGCAGTCAATGACCCAGTTTATTAGTGGCGGTACCCAGGGTGTGTGGGTGAACTGGAATCAGTGGTCCCTGTTCATCTCCAAATGTGGTTCCAAGACCAAAATATGTACATAGGGTGTTTTTAATTTTACCTGTCTGCTCTGACAATTAATTGGCACTTTTTTTAATAAGATACTGATGTGCAATCTTTCTTTCGTACCATGTCCTCACAGAAATGGAAGTTTTTGGAGAAAATTCCAATGGATTAAAAAAAAATATGAAATTTTAGCATGTGGTTCAGAAATACTAATTTAATTTTTTCTGACACAATAAAGCACCAGTATAACAGAGAAGCATCTCTGCTTCGATGTTATGGAACGGTCATGGGCAGGGTGTGTCACTGCGTTATTATCACTTGCTGCTGAGTAATTATGATATTTTTCATAAATGGCTATTTTTACTTGTGTATGCCATAAACAAAATGCAGAGATACCTGTAATCTTCTATTCCGTTATGTCCCAACAGTGCACAATTATAATTATGGATACCAAAACCATCACGTTTTTCAGATGATAAAGAATCTTCGTTATGCCCTAGCATTATACCGTGGGAGGATTAGACAAGCTAAAAATTAAAAACAGCCGAGAAGGTAAACAAAGGAAGCTCTAGCTACCCGGGGTCACCTCATCACCCGACCGGAGAATTTATGCCGTTTCCTTTCTGTAGTACTGACTGGAATTCCACAAGGCGTAACCACAGTGCACATTACTGTCAGCTCGGTCATCCGATCTGCACACTTTCACCTGCGTGATAACTTCCAGGGAGACTGCCATCACTCTTAACACACCAGGAGGGCACAAACGCTGCATAATTCATCCCGACGGCAATTTCATAAATCGGGTAAAAACAAAACTGTTCCTGCGTTTTAGAGGGACGGCATGGACATGCTGACTATGTTATGAATAACGTCTTGTTTCCAACTCGGTTGACCTTAAAAGCAAACCAGCAAATAAGCATTTCTTAAATCTCAAATTAAAGTGCATTTGTAAAATACATTTTTTCCCACAGCGAATAGGTAACCTTATACAGTAAATCTAAATTCATCATGGCCACCTCTGCACTTGCGGTTTGTAGTATTTAAGCAGATCTTACCTCTTCTTACTCAGGGTTAGGGGCCTGGCCTGCGACTGTGAAGAATCGGCTCTGCTCCCGCTGGCCGAAGGAGTCTTGTTTGGGGTCAGGTGATTATCGACTGTGGCTCTGGACGGATCAGGGGGATACCTGGCCTGACCCCCCTCATTCTCCCAGTCCGCCAGCACAGACTCTGCAACAGTGCAAGTGCCCGAGGCCTCCTTCACCGCAGCACGTTCCCACGACGACCTCTCGCCCCTCTGCTGCTTCTCCGGCGTCTCCGTCACCAGGCCTTCGCCACTTGTGTCCATTCTGCAAACGCACCAGACATGTTATTCCCGAATTCTGGAACCCCTGTGACCACTGTGAAGATGGAACAGGAATCGTCGTGTTTGGAACTTAAGTACAAAACAATTAAAACATAAATACTGTCGTTACACACACCGAAAAAACATCCTCCGTGGCCGTGTCGTGAATGACTTCAATACAGCTAAAGCTAATCAACTCAGCCTTTACTTTACAATGGAGCCACATTTAAAAAGGAACATGTAAAAAAGGAAGTGCACTCCGCCGAGGAATATCTCAGTAGGGGCACAAGACGCTCTGCCACATAAAATGACACCATGTCAACTTCACCAGGAGGTGGACGACGCGAAGGCACAGCAGCGTGACCTGCCCCGTGCCGGCGGGGTGGAGCTCAGCGGGTGTGGATGCAGCAGTGGGGTACCTGGCACAGGTTTGAGAGGGCCCGGTGTCCTGAGCGTAGGCCGTGATGTTCAACGTGCCGGCAGACATGACGGTCTCGTCCACCGCCACGCTCTGAGTCGCACTGGGAAGGGCTGGTTTCACCGTAACGGCGGCTTCTATAAACAAAAAGAAAAAAAGAGTTAGACACTGAAATGAAACACATTTGACTAGTAAATGTCCTGAGCAAAGGAAAGGATTAAGTGATTTTAATATGGAATTAACTCTAACTACCCCTTATCTCAAAGCACTGCACAGGTTCTGAGGTCGTAACCAGTCAGTGTGCATGGCGATTGTCATGTGTATGAAGCAGACGGGGACAAAACTCACCACCAAAGCTCACTTAAAAACCAGTTAAAAATGAAACGCAATAAGGGGTCCGGACTAAAACATGCAATAAAACTGATTACATTTTCCTTTTTTCTATTCCCATTTAGCCAGCTGCATCTTTACATTTAAGGTATTTGTCATCAGAACCCAAAACAAACCCACCTGAACTGATCCTGGATGCTGGATTGCAGTACATGTTTGTGGCGACATAGACGGCAGCAAGTCCAATCTCTGCCTCAGAAATGAACCGAAGTCCATTCCTAACCCAGAAATAAAAATACAAAACGCTATCAACCCAAGGACAAGAACAACAGAGGAAAAGACACTTCACAGCTCAAGCCACATTGTCACTTACTGCTTTCAAATGATTCATGGGAGATAAAGTTTCACACAGTGCTTCTTCCAATAATTAAAAAACTATTATGAAGCACGGATGTGTGCCCTTAACACTCCCACATAATCAAGCCATACTGATAACAGGTATAAATAGGTATAATTACAGTCGTTTCAGAAGCAGTTTGGATTTATCACAGCACTAATTAGCATTGGCACTCTTTCTTAGTTGCCCCTTTCAAAATAAGCAATGTCACAGTAATGCTTCATTACTTCAGAAATGAAGCAACACTGCAATCGAATGATTTTAATGAATAGCATGCTTTGTTCTGGCAGTAAACTAAAGCTGTAAAATAAAAGTGAGCTTTGTCCGTTTAGATGAAGCAGAAAGGACAGGAGGTCTCTGCTTTCTTTTTAAACGTTCTGCAGTACTGCCTTTTCTTTACTCATAACTGCCCCGTGAAAGGGTGCCACAAGGTATCCTGTACCTCTGCAGAATACGTGCAATAGAATCCATCCACTTCTTTGCAAATGGGGACTCCTCCACCTGAGAGTTTGCCTCCCCCACTTCAATAACACAAGTTCCCGCTGAGGCCAGCAGAGGCAAGGGCACGGCTCCCTCCTCAAGCAGTCTGGCCTGGCCTCCCCCAAAGGCCACAGCAGAACCGAGCCTCTTGTGCTGAGGAAACATCAGAAAGGACCACTGGTTAGATGTGTGCATGTAGAGCTTTGGACTGACCGAGTATGTAACCTGGTCATCAAGTATAACATACTCGGCTCTTCATATGTCGGCACTTAAGTGAAATTATAATAGTGTAAGGGTATTGTTGATGCGAGATGTAAAATTCACAGCATTCCCAGAAAAATTACTCATACCTACTCTGAGCGTTTGAAGTGAGTTTAAGTACATTTCAACAAATGATATAGCCGTGTGAAGACACACATGAAAACCTCCAATGATAACAAGACCACATTAGGATATTATTAATTATTATCATTACCACAACCTTCAACAACAATTGATAAGAAAAGCAACGCTTTCATTAAAAGTGACTTAGAATTGTAACTCATTGTAATCTGGGTATTTTACTGAAGCAATCGGAGTAAATTACATTTCTCAAGGATATAACAGCTTCTCCCCACACCTGGGATTTGAATTCAGAATCTTCCAGTGTTGAGTACAGAGTCCTAACCACTTCGTCACACTTTTGCGTAATACCTGAAGATGGCCCAAGATCTCATGCACGAAATCAGGCGTTCTTTAACTGATCTACTTCACCGATAAAACCAAGCAAGCCAATGACTGCTTGAAAAATGTTGCTCGCAGGAAGACTCTGTACAGGCTCTGTTACTCTGACACCTCACAACATTTTGCAGATTGAAACCAAAACACATTCTAGCTGTGAAAGTGTGGTAGAAAGACAACATGTCAATGTAGACATTAAAAGGTGTGCCTCTGAAATATCTACATTCATGCAGAAAACCTCCTTTATTCCACTTGGTATTGAATGGGTTATCGTTTAGGCATCTGGAACAACCTATCCAACAATGTTATCGAGAAGACGATACTCTGGCTTCTTTCGAGAAATGGTTGAGATGAGGTTGCTCCTAGCAACAAACGGGCTTAGTGGGCTAAATGACCTCTTCTCATTTGAAACCATATGCCCATATGTTGATGCGCCACTTTTAAAGTTTCCATGGACATTCGTAGCACCCTTCTGGCACATTCAGTGTGATTATGCAGTACAAGCACTAAACAAAGCAAGACGAAGGATGAGCACAGCACTTGCATACTCCCCAAGAATGGAAATGATTTGCGACAAGAGAACTGAGCGCATTCGGGAAGTTTCATTGTGAAACCAGGAGAATTCAGGTCCATGGGAGAACGCAAGTTAGCTAGAAAAATAAGTTTAGAACCAGATTCAGAGAAATTTGGAGTCCACTGAATTTTTCTGGCACGAAACAAACCAAATATGAACTGAAAAAGTTTATTTGCTTCTTTTGGTAACTTAGTGTACTTGGAATTTTCATGAGCCTGGAATTAATAACTGCTAGTTTGTAGCTCAACGCTAATCAAAAATAAACATTTTAGTAATTTAAGACGAGATAGTAGATAATAAAAATTAATGGAACATGGAAATATATAATTTATTGAAATGTACTTATTAAAGGGCATGTAAGGCAAAGAATTTCATAAACTTCAGAGCACAATGCCATGAAAAGACAACTCATTTAGCAAACAGATTCTAAACCCGACTTTATGAGTTTATGGGTATGATAATAACCTTGGGTTATTTGCAGAGTTAAAGCAGGCGTAAAAAACAATGCTGCATCTTCAGCAGATAGTTACGTTTATAAATACATTTAAAAACATTTAAAACAAAGGGGGAAATGTAACCCACAGCTAGAGATTCTGCTGCTTATGTTTGTGTTGGCGAGCCTTTAGTGATGTCAGGGATGCAGGAGATGGCCGATTCTATTCCTGCTGTGTCTCCTGCAGTCAAGAGGCTGGGAGGATGTGATTCTCCTGAACCACATCAAAATGGTGCACTCAATAGAATACAAAAGTGTAGCCTGGGAAGGCTAAGTTGCCAGCAGTGAGCTCGTGGACTGCTGTGCTAAGGGCAGATTAAACTGGTGTCGAAGCCAGACACTTCGTACCGGTTCAACAGGTCCGGTGCCAAATATCCAGTGACCAAAGCAGTGAAGATGGAAAGCCTGGAATGTAAGTTTACTGAGCTCCCTGCAAATTAAAATCTAAATCACGCATTTGTCAGAGGAAAGTGAATGCAAACCTCCCGTCAGATGTTTTGAAAGAATCTATTCTTTCTCACTTTTTCCCCCCCAACAATACCAATATTCTTTGCAGGATGCCTTCATTGAGCCATGCATATAAGTGAGATCAGATATAGGTGTTTCACCTTGCTTTTCTGGTGTGTGCACAAGCTACTTTTCTTTAAGTCTGACCTGTAGTTTCATGTAGCTCGTTTTTTGTATTTTTTTTGGAGGGTGGTGTCAACGATGTTTATTCAAAATCAACACCTGACCCCATCTTAAGTATTTGGGTACTGTTTTGATACTCTTATGAGTTTTCATGTGTTCAGACATTTTCCAGACCTAGCAGTTTCCCTATATTTCACTATTGCAAAGGGGACATCATTAGTATATTGGTTCTGTTTCATGACGGTACAAGAGTCACGGGTTCGAGAAGTGGAGGTGACGGGTAGAGAGGGCCCCCTCTTTTGCTGCCATTTTTGGGGGGGAAATTTTTTCTATACACTTACCTGCTTGACATTTAAGAATACAAAGATTTTGTCCTGGAACAGAGTTTTACGGTTTGGCCTTGCACTGAGATCCAGCTCTTCTGGGCTTATGCTGGGCTCTTCAATAGGGGGGTAAAAACTGCAACACACAAAGCATTGGACTGGCGTCACTTTCTTGTACATAATGGATTGGACAGTCCACAGTCTGACAAACCATGCACATGTTCTACCACGGCCAGAGAAAACACCAAATTTGCAACAAGGCCAATCAAAGACAAGCACAAATGTCCTGACTTTACTCAGAAATAACGGTTCTATACTACTTCCATAAGACAGTACCAGTGTTGCTTCACCATACAAGAAAATAATCTGAAACCTCACAAACTCGCCATGAAGTCACACTGAGGATTGACTATGTATGTCATTAGACCGCATCACAAAAAGAGAATTAGTCATTCCTAAATAGTTTCTAAATGATAGACAGCCACAGCCAACCAGAAACCTATGACACCATTTCTGAGTATGTTGCCATTTAAAAGCAAGACAACATGATAGCCACAGTTTTACATAAAGCAAGGTACCGGAGATTAAATTCTACAATACAACAGAATGACCTGGACAAGAGGGACCTGTGATCAAAGTCAGACTATAGCAGGTTACAGGCTCCTTCACATCCTCAGTTTGGCCATATACACATGATAAACTTGCTAGTTGCTATTTCTGACTAAACAGTGCTTACAAGTTCATCAGCTGTGAGCATGTTTTCCTTTTGAGGAGGTTCTATTGGTTACATTCCGGGCGACACACCTAAATGAGGGCAGTTGTGAAATTCAGAAACTGGCACAGAGTTTCTATCAATTACAAACCCCATTTATGGCCTTTTAAGAGCTGAAGTAAATTTACAGATATGTATTAAAAAGAAATAAATGAGACAAATTCAGCTGGATCACAAATCAGAAGAAACAGTTTTCCTCCAGGACCAGGGTTAGTAACCCTTTTCAAAAAATGTTTTATATGTGTATTTTTGGCTGACTTATGCCCAAAATAAAAAAAAATTGACTTTTCCAACAGTTTTAAAAGCAAGACAATTTTTATAACCTGCTATAGACAATTAATCGCATTCAATTGATTATATTTAAACTCCCTTAGAGCTAAACACTCTACGCAAATGACAAAAAAACAAGACAAAATGTCCACGTCCGGTGCAGGTAAAGTAACGAGAGAAAGCAAAGTTGCTTACCCTGCAGGTTCAGGTGGCTGCTGCCTGAGCTGGACTGCTTTCCTGAGCTCGCGGAAATACTCAGGAGTCACGATCGGTCGGCAACAAAGCAACGCACAGATTGTCTGAAGGAATGAAACCACATTAACAAGGTGCACCAGCAGCCCTCGACACAACAGACAGACTCGCATCTACCAGCATTCTGCATTGAGCTCTTTCTCCAACAGTGTTCAATTAGTACAGAGTTCTCTTTATCTGTGGTTTCAGAGCATAAGAAACACTCAGGCCACAGTCTTGTCGTGTGACTGAAAAACAATCAATGCTCTTTACTCAGCATTTCGTTAAAGTTCTTTATTTGTGCAGCACATACACAGGGTTTACCTTGAAAGGTATGTCTTTCATCATGGGCTAAAATGAATTGAATACCGTCATATTCAGATAAAACTCTAGCATAGTTAACTATTTGTAACACAGCAAGTGAAGCCCTTCAGCAAACAATAAAGGCGCCTGCAAACCAGTTCTTCCTGACCTTGATGGTGACTTTAACAGAGGGCATGACCAGATGAGTGCACTCCTGTGACCAGCTGTGGACCACACGACCTCCAAGCAGCTGTACAGACTGACTCAGAGCTGCCTTCCCCTCACTGTCCAAACAAGACGAGCAGACGACCATGGGTTCATTCTCCACTCTGAGCACAGGGGAAGAAAGAGCATTAGGAAGGACATGCAACACTCAAACCAAGGCTCTGGGTTGAGTCACTGACTTCTGAGGCCCCGTTCTGAGTACTGACAACAACAGGGGTCTCCAGTCCTGGTCCTAGAGAGCTCCAATCCAGTCTTGTGGGACACCCAAATTGACACCCAAACAGGTGGTTTATTTAAGCAAGTAATGTACCCAGTTAGGGAAACCGGTCTTTGAAGCTAAACGGTATTCAGATTTTTCTTCCAAATGATCTCTAAAGTACAAAACCTAACAACAGATTGTTTAACAGATCAAAGCAGAAAGTTAAAGGGGATGAAATCTTCAGAAATTGATGATTTACCTCCTGGACTGGAACTCTCCAAGAGCAGGGCTGGCTGGGCTGCAGAGTTCACCTACAGACTGTACTCCAGCTAGACAATAGACAGAAGCCCTTTCTGCTGGTCACATTTCTATCATCCCACTTGCAAAGACTTGCCCTGCACAGAAAGGCATGCACAAATGGAGCGACGACTAGATTATTTTGAGTGGGACTTTTGGTATACATAAAACAATGAAAAGAATAATTAGAATTCCATCTGTACCACTTAGGAAGCACTATTTATAAAACAGGATGCAATCTCATTTGCATGCACTATGTAAAAAGGAGCACATCTAACAGGAAAACAGCTCACTTGAACTTGCTGTGGAAGACTCCGAATGTCACTCTGTCTCCAGGCTGTAAAACCTTTGGTGTGTCACATGATAGACGCTCATCATTCACATATGTGCCATATTTAGAAGTATCCTTTACAGTTAATGTGGGTAATGTAAACGACTGACTCTAAGAAGAAAAAAAAACAACATTTATTATGAGCCCTTGAATAAATTATTGCCTTTTATCTCATTGCCAAAGTCACTGTATTTTCTTCTGAAGAAAAACAAATAATAAATAAATAAGTTCATATTACCGATAAACGTTACGCATCGAACTATTACCCAGTGTTAACAGAATTAAGGACAAATATAAAAACAGCGACACCTAGTGTACAAAGTGTATCGTAGACCGATAGACACCAGTAGCTGTTCATGTATCTAGATGAGATATCACTTTATGAGATCACTTTATTGGCCATATACAATTTCTTGTATTAGGAATTGTATCTTTTTTCACATCCACAGTGCCTTGCAAAAGTGTTTCTTTCCTCCTTATGGCGTCCTGTTTTTTTAAACAAACTATTCAAAACCGGAAACGTTAAAACATAAGACATCTAACGGCAAGATAAGTAATAGTTTATGTCAGCAAAAGTAAACAAAAATTAAATATGTTAACTTCATAAGTATTCAGGCTCATGAGCTCATTGAACTCAAACACCTTTGGCTGCAATTACAGCCCGAGGTGTTTTCTTTGCACACTGGCTGGTTGCGATTCTAGTTGAAGCTCTCTCAAGTTGCTTGAGGATCACTTGTGGACAGCAGCTTTTCTCATCCTTAAGCCACTCCAGTATAGCTTTGGATCACTGTCCTACTGAAAGGTGAATTTTCAGCCTAGTTTTGTGTCTGTCACAATCTGAAGCAGGTTTCCCTCACGTATTTGACCACACTGTGCTCTGTCCATTTTTCCTTCAATCCTAACAAGCGTTTCCCGTCCCTGCTGAGTTCCAGAAACAGAAACCGCACATAATAATGATTCCTTAATCCCAAGAAAAACACAAAACGCACATATACGAAACAAAATACAGGGCACAGACTGGGCTGGATCCAAATGTTTTCACTCTGTATCCTCTGGCAATGTGTAACCAAATCCCTGGTACACCACTGGTGAACTATGCCTCATACTGGGCCCTACATCACAAGTGGTAAAGTTAAGCACACAGCTTGGTGCATCAGCAGGAATGTGTAGACAAATCTTGAAAATGAGGAGGGCAGATTGTGATAGTCATGGACTCAGCTATTCTGTGTCCAGAACAGGGCAGTGATGAGTGTCTATGGAAGGTAAACCTAGCACAACAATATTGCCCTACATCTAATTTCAAAAGTGCAAGGACTCTGTCTCTAGTAAAGATTACGCTGCATCTCTCACCACCTCAGATACACAATAAATCAAATTATCTGGGGCTACAAACTCATTCAGATTTGAAAGACTTACTTTTATTGCTTACCTGACTGGAGGTTGCACTGCTCACGGAGACAACTGCATGAAGCCGGCTGATGGACTGGTCATTCTGGAGTAATATGGGGCAGTTCTTGCGACCAACCACGTACTCCACACCAGGTAACAAGGAGTAGGAATGTCCTAGTAGATCAAAGTGTACATCGATTAGTGTACCATTGCACACTTGCAAAAGCAGTCACAACTGGACAGAAAACACGTGCACCGACGATTCTATTTGAATCAACAAGACACCGTTTTTAGTAAGTGGTTTGGTATGTTTTAGATGTATTGTCAGGTGAACCCTATCTTTTTTTACAATTAAGTAGTTCAAGTAGGTACCCATGCGTCAGCATGTGTAGGCTGCAAATGAACAGGTAACGGGTTTATTCCACGCTGAAAAGAAAGGAAACGCAACGTTTAACACCTGAAGAAGGCTCCACAGCCGAATGGCCGAAACGTTGTGTTTCCTTTCTTTTCGGCATGGAATTAATCCGTTACCTGTTCCTCTCAATATAATGCTGTTAATGTCTAAACCGACGTATGTACATATTAAACTATATAACGGCATTGTTTCAATTGTATCCCT